CTAGAATATCGTAAAAGACATTTTCCTGGCCTATATTGCATAAAAAAAAAAAGTTGGAAAAATGGCCACGTTTGGACCAAAGCTATGGGTTAACCCCTTTGGAAAAATGTCAATTTTTCGACTTTTTGAACTTCTTGTTTTTATAGCCTAGAATCGCGTTTTTTCGTTCTAGAATATCGTAAAAAGACATTTTCCTTGCCTATATTGTCTTAAAAAAACAAGTTGGAAAAATGGCCATTTTTGGACCAAAACCATATGTTAACCCTTTTGGAAAAATGTCAATTTTTGGACTTTTAGAACTTCTTATTTTTATAGCCTAGAAAGTCGTTTTTACGTTTTAGAATATCGTAAAAGACATTTTCCTGGCCTATATTGCCTAAAAAAAACAAGTTGGAAAAATGGGCATTTTTGGAGCAAAACCATTGGTTAACCCCTTTGGAAAAATGTCAATTTTTCGAGTTTTTGAGCTTCTTGTTTTTATAGCGTAGAAAGGCGTTTTTTCGTTCTAGAATATCGTAAAGGCATTTTCCTGGCCTATATTGCCTAAAAAAACAAGTTGGAAAAATGGCCATTTTTGGACCAAAACCATGGGTTAACCCCTTTGAAAAAATGTCAATTTTTCGACTTTTTGAGCTTCTTGTTTTTATAGCGTAGAAAGGCGTTTTTTCGTTCTAGAATATCGTAAAAGACATTTTCCTGGCCTATCTTGCCTTAAAAAAACAAGTTGGAAAAATGGCCATTTTTGGACCAAAACCATGGGTTAACCCGTTTGGAAAAATGTCAGTTTTTCGACTTTTGGAACTTCTTATTTTTATAGCCTACATTGGCGTTTTTTTTGTTCCAGAATATCGTAAAAGACATTTTCCTGGCTTATATATTGCCTAAAAAAAACAAGTTGGAAAACTGGCCAGTTTTGGACCAAAACCATGGGTTAACCCCGTTGGAAAAATTTCAATTTTTCGACTTTTTGAACTTCTTATTTTTATAGCCTAGAATCGCGTTTCTTTGTTCTAGAATATCGTAAAAGACATTTTCCTGGCCTATTTTGTGGAAAAAAAACAAGTTGGAAAAATGGCTATTTTTGGACCAAAACCAAAAATGTGAGTTTTTCAACTTTTTTAAATTCATGTTTTTATAGCCTAGAAAGGCGTTTTTTCGTTCTAGAATATTGTTAAAGACATTTTCCTGGCCTATATTGCCTTAAAAAACAAGTTGGAAAAATGGTTATTTTTTGACCAAAACCATGGGTTAACCCCTTTGAAAAAATGTCCGTTTTTTGACTTTTTGAACTTCTTTTTTTTATAGCCTAGAAAGGCGTTTTTTTTTGTTCTAGAATATCCTAAAAGACATTTTCCTTGCCTATATTGCCTAAAAAAAAGAAGTTGGAAAAATGGCCATTTTTGGTCCAAAACCATGGGTTAACCTCTTTGGAAAAATGTCAATTTTTCGACTTTTTGAACTTCTTATTTTTATAGCCTACATTGGCCTTTTTTCGTTCTAGAATATCGTAAAAGACATGTTCCTTGCCTATATTGCCTAAAAAAAACAAGTTGGCAAAATGGCCATTTTTGGACCAAAACCATGGGTTAACCCCTTTGGAAAAATGTCAATTTTTCGTTTTTTTGAACTTATTATTTTTATAGCCTACAAAGGCGTTTTTTCGTTCTACAATATCGTAAAAGAAATTTTCCCTGCGTATATTGCCTAAAAAAAACAAGTTCGAAAAATGGCCATTTTTGGACCAAAACCATGGGTTAACCCATTTGGAAAAATGTCAGTTTTTCGACTTTTGGAACTTCTTATTTTTATAGCCTAGAAAGTCGTTTTTACGTTTTAGAATATCGTAAAAGACATTTTCCTGGCCTATATTGCCTAAAAAAATCAAGTTGAAAAAATGGTTATTTTTGGGACCAAAACCATGGGTTAACCCCTTTGGAAAAATGTCAATTTTTCGACTTTTTTAACTTCTTATTTTTATAGCCTAGAATCGCGATTTTTCGTTCTAGAGTATCGTAAAAGACATTTTCCTTGCCTATATTGTTTAAAAAAAACAAGTTGGAAAAATGGCCATTTTTGGACCAAAACCATGGGTTAACCCCTTTGCAAAAATGTCAATTTTTCGACTTTTTGAACTTCTTATTTTTATAGCCTAGAATCGCGTTTTTTCGTTCTAGAATATCGTAAAAGACATTCTCCTTGCGTGTATTGTCTAAAAAAAACAAGTTGGAAAAATGGCCATTTTTGGATCAAAACCATGGGTTAACCCCTTTGGAAAAATGTCAATTTTTCGACTTTTTGAACTTCTTATTTTTATAGCCTAGAATCGCGTTTTTTCGTTCTAGAATATCGTAAAAGACATTTTCCTTGCTTATATTGTCTAAAAAAAACAAGTTGGAAAAATGGCCATTTTTGGATCAAAACCATGGGTTAACCTCTTTGGAAAAATGTCAATTTTTCGACTTTTTGAACTTCTTATTTTTATAGCCTAGAATCGCGTTTTTTCGTTCTAGAATATCGTAAAAGACATTTTCCTTGCCTATATTGTCTAAAAAAAACAAGTTGGAAAAATGGCCATTTTTGGACCAAAACCATGGGTTAACCCCTTTGGAAAAATGTCAATTTTTCGACTTTTTGAACTTCTTATTTTTATAGCCTAGAATCGCGTTTTTTCGTTCTAGAATATCGTAAAAGACATTTTCCTTGCATATATTGTCTAAAAAAAACAAGTTGGAAAAATGGCCATTTTTGGACCAAAACCATGGTTTAGCCCCTTTGCAAAAATGTCAATTTTTCGACTTTTTGAACTTCTTATTTTTATAGCCTAGAAAGGCGTGTTTTTGTTCTAGAATATCGTAAAAGACGTTTTCCTGGCCTTTATTTCCTAAAAAAAAAACTTAGATAAATGGCCATTTTTGGACCAAAACCATTGGTTAACCCCTTTGGAAAAATGTCAATTTTTCGAGTTTGTGAACTTTGTTTTTTTTTGTAGCCTTGAAAGGCGTTTTTTTTTTGTTCTAGAATATCGTAAAAGACATTTTCCTGGCCTATATTGCTTAGAAAAAAAACTTAGAAAAAGGGCCATTTTTGGACCAAAACCGTGGGTTAACCCCTTTGGAAAAATGTCAATTCTTCGACTTTTTGATCTTCTTGTTTTTATAGCCTAGAAAGGGGTTTTTCGTTCTAGAATATCGTAAAAGACATTTTCCTGGCCTATATTGCCTAAAAAAAAAACAAGTTGGGAAAAGGTCCATTTTTGGACCAAAACGGTGGGTTAACCCATTTTTAACTTTTTTTTGCTGAAAATAAGACAAAAAGGACGGTTTTGCCATATTCTGGATAGAAAAGAATGTTTTCTACGTAGGAAAAATGAGGTTTGTAAGCAGGGCCGTACATAGCGGGGGGGCGAAGGGGGCAGTTGCCCCCGCCAGGAAAACTAAATGTTTTTTTTCTAACATAGTGTCTGATTTTGCTGGGCTGTTTCTTGTAGCTATATTGGTCCGAAATCTCACGAAAACCGAGTTTGCCCCCGCAGACAAAAAATCCTAGGTACGGCCCTGGTAAGAAGTGAAGAAATTCGAAATTCAGTTTCCAAAGGGGTTTGTCCATGGTGTTTGTCAAAAAATGGCCACGTTCCATGTTTGTTTTTTTCGCAAAATAAGACAAAAACTGTTTGGCATTATTCTGGATAGAATAGAATGTTTTCTAGACAAGAAAAATAAAGTTTTGAAAAAGTTAAAAAATTCGAAATTTTCTAAAGGGGTTTGTCCATGGTTTTTGTCTAAAAATGGCCATTTTCCATCTTTGTTTTTTTTTCTGGAAAATAAGCAAGAAAAAAGTTGTTTTTATAATCTGGATAAAAAAATATTGCTTTGTAGACAAGACATTTTTTATCGACTAGTAAGCTTGGTTTTGTTTTTAGAACCTTATCTAACAATATCTTGAGGGCTATTTTAAACAAAAACAAACTTGGAAGAAATTTCAATTTGTTTAGCAAAATCAAAGTCAAAATGTCATATTGATACTCTAGAAAGCCTTCTTATATGTTTAGATCCTCATCTAACAATATATACATGCCTATGTTAAATGAAAACAAAGAAATTTCAGATTTTTGACCCAAATCTTTGGAAAAAGTAAATTTTTCGACAAAGTCAAAATGTCATTTTTATACCTTAGGAAACCTTTTTTTTTTAACCTCATCCAACAATATACCTAGGCCTGTCTTAAATAAAAACAAAGTTGAAAGAAATTTCAAAATTTCGACCAAAATCATGTGTTAAACCTTAGGAAAATTACAAATACTGCGAGAAATCGAAAATGTTATTTTCACACCCTAAAAGACTTTTTTTTTCTTTTTGAACCTCATGTTGAACAACAGCTACCCCAAGGACAGAGAAAAGTGGCCGTTGTTGGAGGTTCGATTGTAGCTGCCTTAACCAAAATGGAAGCTTAAGGTCACGCTAAACTGTGAAGAAGCCTAAAGAAAAATGATGGAAGACAACTTACAAAATACTTTTTTATTTGAAGGTTTAAAAGTCGTACATGTTGTTACAGTGGTTCACTTCAGTAGAAAACCAAGAGTGAATTTTTTAGACACAAATTAAAGTAAATGTTTCTGTCTAGCTTCTGTTTTAGCGCCCTTTATTAACTTTGAAATTGTTTTATTTTGCCTAAACATCTGAATGAGTTCTAAGATTTGCGTTTGGATATCAAAGCTATGTAAGTGTTAAAAATCACTTTTCAGATACGAAAAAATTGAGAAATTATCGAACATGAACTTGAGCACTGAGATAAAATGCCGCTACATGTTGGGAACTAACTACAACTACAGATTGGATTTTAGAAAAATATTACAAAAATATATCTTTGTTTCTAATTTCACAGGACTAAATTATTTTCAGTTCAGTCCACTTAAATATCGTCTGCAATCATTGCAAATAAATAATAAAAAAGTAGAAAGAAGCGACATTGTGACTAATGAAGGGATATTTACACCGGGCGGATTACTTTTTTGCCTTCTTTTTTGGTGATTTGCCCATGGCGGACTGCAACTTTCTCTCTGCCTGTTGTTTCCTTTCGCTTTCTGGTTTGCTTTCATGTTGTTGTAGTTGAGCTTGTTTCTCTTCAAGCCGTTTCTTGAACAAGTTAAGTCTTTCTAAGCAGTTACTCTTTTGCAATGCAATAGATTCTAGGGAACCCTTCGCGGTGGTGATCTTTGTCGTTGTTTCACGAACTGCATTCTTGTGTTGCGCATGTTCGGTGCTGCCCTCTGCTGACTCCCTCAAGAGATCGGTTTGCGCGAGAAGCTCTTGTTCGAGTTCACGCAAGTTTGTGGTGACGTCGAGTGCCTCTCTGGAAAGTTGCGCAAACTCTTGGTTCAAGGTATCGACAGTGTCCTGCATGTCTTCCACTTGAACCTAAAAGTCAACGGAAAACAATAAATCCCTCTAAAAAGAAACAGGCCGCTATTATAAATTGTTTTTTAAACCGGCGCCCCGTGATTTAAAGAATTTTGGGCGGTTCACGTTTATTCTGTCGCTACTGAATACAAAAAGAAACTAAGAGGTAACGACCGATTTCAAACAAAGCAAGCGCGTAAGAGGAAGTAATCAAAATGGCCAAAATATCAAAAGAAATTATCACGACCTTTTTAATTAGAAATATTCTACATTTCCTACTTAGTATTATGAATTTCAATAATGAAGGTAAATATGTTGACAGGCACATTGTCAAGTGGAATATACAACACATACCTGCAGGAATGTCTTGTAAAGGTCTTCATCTTCCTTTGGCCGAGATGGCAAAGATTTTCCGGAGATTGGCAAGCCAGTGGCAGTGCGTGATGTTGCCATGGCACGGGAGGTTTGACGTGACATTCCACGAGTCATCAAATTACCGCGTGACTGAACGTAGCGTGACATAGGCCGGTCCTTGGTCTGTGGACCTTGTAGCTCTTGCAATCTCTTGTCAATGAATTCATCTGTACCCTGCAAACGCGCTTGGATAGACTTATCTTCGACATCACCTAAGAAAGATCGCAACTTGGACTCAACGGCAAAGTTGCTGTACTTCGACAAGCGTTCCACGATAGCGTCATGAGTGAAATGTACGCCGTCTTTGTTTGCACCCCGCAGCAACTTCGCGTCCAGCAGCCCTTCCACTACGTTCGATTTATCAGCTTCAGCATGTGCGTCGCCAAACACTGATTCAAGCAACACCCGACTGGCACTCTCAAGGTCTTCATTTGCCGGAAGTGACGACAGCGTGCGTGCAAGCGCAGAGGAACGCCTGTAACGCGCAAAGAACAAGTCATCGCATAAGACAGCGAGAGCATGATGAAATTCTTTCAGGAAGCCAGGATGAGAGTCGTCACGGAGATCACCGGCAGCGATATGAGAAAGACAGTGAACTAGAACAAGCACGAACTCCCCAACATTATCCATTCGTTCGGCACGCACGTAAAGAATGCGGTTGTTAGCGTCATAGAAGAAAGAATTGCGATACGCGTTCCTCTGGAGATGCTTATTCGGAGGAAGTTTGTCTGCCAGAAGGAGAGTGACTGGAAGATGATGGCAATGAACAGCAAGTAAGTCTACAATGAACGAACCAAATTTGTACGTCACAAACGCACGGGCAGGAAGCTTGTTAAGATCCACAGGGACAAGATCATCATCGTCTGCCCACAGAGTGTCATCTTTGATGTCGATGTAGCCTTCGCCAGGTGCTGAAAAAAAAAAAAGCTTCATTTCAGAACTCGTTACGTGTGAATCGTTAGCGTGATCTGTGGACCTAACTTAGAGGGCTGTGTCACGAAATCTATCAAGATTTGAAACGAGGAAATAGCCACCAAAATGACTGAAACATTAAAAACACCGCTGTAAAAGTTAAAAGAAGGTATAAATAACATGGCAGATGTAAAGGGAAGCACGGACGGACAAACCTGAAGAAGATTGAAACGGATTTCAATTGTGTTTTTTCAAAACCTGTTAGCCTAACAGTTTTTCAAAGTTGTTTACGGCTGATATAATGCTTGGGAGGCATTTTTTTTCTGATGCAAAGTTATGATTTTGTCGGATTAATTTAGGTTTCTAGGAAAATGCCCACCTACCCCTCCCCTAAGCCATCATTTTGCCCCAAGTGAGAAGTAAGTGTTAATGTTAGCTTAGGGGAGGGATAGGTGGGCAGCTTCCCAGTTGATCCATTTTGTCATTTACAGGTAATTTCACAAGAGTTACAACAAATGAGGATGCGTCACTGGCAAAATAAACAAAATGAACTAGCCAGGGGTGACACAGCCCCTTCAAGACCCATTAATATTCACTCAAAATATTTCTCCGTTTCTGATTAGCTAAAATCCCACACATAATTCATCGTAACCAGCTATTGTCGACAAAATTTGCAAGAATTTTGCAATATTGAACTCATGACGTCAACCGTGCGGCAAAATTGACAGATTATTAAACCGTTGACCGAGAGGACCTGGGGCGAGTTTGAGTTGTTTTGCTAGTGAGTACAAAATGGCGGAAATTCAAATTGATCTGAAACAGGGCTGCAATATGCTGTGGGATTTTGAAAAGTTAACCAATTCTCTTGTTCGCCATAACACAGATTTCAATCCGCAGCGCGTAAACCAGCTTTGCAAAACGAAAAAGACTATTTTTATCAGTTGTTAAAGAAAAACAGTGGCCAAACGCAACATAACGCTGACTAATTCGTCAATAAATATACACAACATAAAACCCCGAGCGCTTACCATTTGTAAGGAAATTTCGGTAAAAAATGTCTGACAAATGGTACTGGACTTAAAAACGTTTCCGAAAAGAGAAATGGGTTAGAGTTGTACCATTTGCAAAATAACAGATGACGAGTAGGCCTGGGTTAAAACAAATGACCTTCCTCCCTAAGAGGAGGCCTGGCACTGGTTAACCAGACAAATGTTACAAAAAATTTCGGTCGTTTCGGAAAAAAACGGGCAAAAAGTTAATACCTCGAAAGGTATTACTTTTTTTTCCAGAAAAATTTCCACCGGGATGAACTATTCCATTTGAATTCTCCTCTGAATTACCGGGTTTTCTATACAAATGGTAAGCGCTCCCAGTCTTAATCTACGCATTTTTAACCGCGTAGATTTGAAGTATTTCCCAGAAAGACAAAAAAAAGCGAATGACTCCAAGCCTTACCGGGTGCGCTGAAGTTCGTTCCTCCTTTTCCAGTGCCACTGCTCAACATAGATTTGATGCCTTCAATCTTCTGATACAGCGGTGATGACAGCAACAAGGACGCCAGTTCACCCTCGCTTAGTGGTGCTGCTAATCGATAGCTCTCCGGCATCATTAGAGGTTGTGGCGGAGGAGGTGGCGCAACTTCGGACTCGATCGTGGCAGAAACGAGATTGTCGACGTGGATACTTTCTTTTAGGGCTAGTACCTCTTCAGCCTGAACTCGGTCGCGCTCGGATTGTACTTTTTCTTCAAATTCTTTCTTTTCTTCTTCGTTTTTATTCGTCAGCTCCTCAACCTAGGAAGAACAGTATGAAAGAAGCATTTGTCAGACCAAAAATCTGCTCTAGAGTCAGAATAGTACAAACTACAGTCCTCCTGACCTTAATAATACCATTTCTGTTATTAAACATCTTTTACTTTTCAGAAGATGGGATTTATTTACGGTCAAGTTACCATTTTACTTAGTCAATAAAATCCAGTATAGCACTGCTTATTTGAATGGTTTCTCTTATGGATTTTATCTACGAACTTAGAACCACCGTGTACAGCATAATAAACAGTACCACAGGAAAGTACTGCTCAGTAGCTTTATCTCGAATGGTTAATCTAATGAATTTCATCCATTGACTTACCACAGGATATTAATTGCCCAGTAGCGACATACTGTTTGGGGTAACCCTGCGAATAACTAGCATTTCGTTCAGGGGGAAGAGGCAAACTCCTAGATATGCTTGATGCTAAGGAAACCGGGATAACCTCCGGCCGTTTGGGCCGTTGGCTCGTGTGCGCCTTTACCTTTTATCTGTTCTGCACAATACATCTTACCTTAGCTTTCCGCTTTGCCTCCCGTCTTTTCTTTAATCTTTCTTCCAAGGAACTTTGCATTCGCATTCTATCAGCGTCCATCTTGTTCATCAGTTTTGCCAAGTCCTTGCTGTGTTCTTTCAAAATGGCGTCCTGATCTTCTTGGGAAGCTCCTTGTGTGCTTAGCTTTTCCATTTCTTGTTTGACTTTAGCTTTCTTTTCCTTAAGCAGAGCTTCTTTGCGTGCGTTCAAAGCAAGGATCGCCTTTTCGTTCTTCTTTTGTTCCTGCTCGGCTTCTTCTTCTAGTTGTTTATCGAACATTGCAAGGTCTTCTTGTAATTTGCGCTGTTGTTCAGCCTCGAAAGCTTTAAGTAAGAAAACATTTTATTTAGAATTTGTGGTGAATGCAACTGTAGTAAGTTAAGTTATTTATCATTATTCAAAGTAAGTGAGCAAAATTCTAGATGATCATGAACTTCCGTTTGTCACATAGGTCAACACAAACTCTTCTGTGTTCCCTAAGTTCAGACAGCACTGTAATCGGTACTAAGCTTTTGCCTCAGAATGGTAGACGCTCGTTTGAGGGACGTTTCCGTCTTAGAGAAGAGTAAGTACTCTGTAGTTGACACAATCAGTAAACACTTCCGAGGCAATTTCACACGCAAATCAATACGAAATCACCCCTCCTGCTTCACCTAAGATACAAACCTTCATTTTCTTGTTTGAGCTTTTCTTCATTTTCCAAACGCTGTTCGTCCAACTTCTGCTTTACGACTTCCAGCTCCCTCGCGGCCGCCAGCGCCTTTTCAACTGATCGCCTGTGTTCCTCTGCCTGCTCTGGCGTCAGCTCATTCAGGGCATCGGCATATTCCTGAATAATAATATACATCAGTGACATGACAGAAGGCCTATTTTAGAGGGGGGCGACTATTGATTTCTGTTGAAAAACAAGTGAAGAGGGTGGAGGGGGAACGAAAATTGCCAAAGGTAGAACTCTACCACGACTACGGAAAGCCTCAACACATAAGAGGGTTAGGAATATCATCAGTACAAGAAGAGAGAGTCATCGCGGTGAAAGACGCAACTTATCCAACTGAGAAAAGAAAGCCTGAACAAATTAAGGGTTTCTTTCCGCAACTGCATAAGTTGCGTCTTTCACTGCGATGATCGCCTCTTCATATATTTCTTCATTTCGTGTACGTGAAATTCGGCATATATTCATCATTTCAATATAACTAGTAAATAAGACAAGTAGGGAATGAGGGCTGGTTTCAGGCTTCTAGTCGAGGGTAAAAACGCTCTTACCCCAACCACGGTGCTTTGCATAAGTTCACGCGATAGGAGATCAAAACGCACGGGATCAGATTACCAGTGACAGAGGGCAAAAACGCGCGTGATCAGATTGCCTTTTTACATTTTATACATTCTTCGTACAAGTCCAAACGAACGCTGGCTACATAAGGGGACCAAGCATGAGTAATAGTAAACTGGAGATTAGAATTGTGGTCACCCGCAACAAGATTTTTACCCCTATTCACAAATGCTAACTCAAGTGCAGTACCCTCCTATACCCTGAAACGATTCTGGGTCAACTGGAAAATCCTCATCCAAAATTATACCAACCTGATAATGCTTTTCTTTGAGTTCCAGCTTCGCACGAGCAAAACGTATTTCCCAGTCGGATAACACGCCGTGTTGAATCTGCTTTCTCTCCTCAGCGTGTTTCTTGTCAAGCGCGCTCTGACGCAGCTGCTGTTGATTCAATAACTGCGCTCGTCTTTGTTGCAGATCGTCTGGACTGAGGTTTTGTTTCTCCAGATCTCTCAGTTCTTTCTCGTTCTGTGCACGCAGTTCATCGCTTTCCTGAGAGTGCCTTTCTTCCATCTTTGCTAAAGCTTCATCTACGGCCACCTTTCTTTCTTCTTGGAACATGCGCTCTAGGTCCTTTAGCTCTTGACTGTGTCGTTTTTCAAGAACCTGGAAAAAGCCAAAACAACAAATTAACGATAATCGCGAACCATTTTTATGCCAATGGAGCAAATTTTCCCGTTGATAACATCGTCGAAACTGAATTTTTCTTACCTTTCTAATAACAAACTCCGCCGATTCTGAGCCATTCTCTCTTATTCCTTCAATCATAGCCTGTTTCTCTGCTTGCTTGATCTGTTAAGAAAGAATACGTTAAATATAACTCTATTTGGTAATAATTTTTTGGGAATTGTCCGCATCTGGGCTTTCATTTTTGTACAGAATTACATTTGGTTTATTCTGAACAGCGAGCGACGCAGCCGCGCGTATTAACCAAACTTCCCCGTCGATGAAGACGTAACTGAGCCCTTGGAATGAGTTGGAGATTTTTGCCTCATGATCATCACGCGCTCTTTCAAAAGAAAACACGTGAAACGAGAATGCTACTCACGTGCTCAGACCGGACTTCAGCAAGTTCCTTCTTCTGTTCCAGAAGCTCTTTAGCCATTTCTCGTTCTTGTTTTCGTTTCTGTGCATCTTGCCTTTGCTTCTTCCTCTCCAACAACTTTTGATGCAGATTCGCTTTCTGGCGTTGTTTTTCTGCGTCCATCTTTTCCATGATTTCGTCTAGCTCTTGTTGGTGGGTTGCCAAAAGCTTTCGATATAGGATCAAGAGAAACGCTTGTTAATTCGAAATCAACACGGTGTTCGTAAACGCGCGCACGATACAAAACCTTTTCGGCGACCACACAATGACAGGAGTCTAGGTAGACAATTTCTTACAAATCACTCTGTTTGTCAACTTAGGCTTCGAACTGGTGCCATTGTTACAAGAATATACTAAAAACGGTTGTGTAGAAGACTAGAATTAGGGAACCAGAGCAAAAAAGGAAGTGGGCTTTTTGCATTCATGGGCAGTAATACAATAACAGCTCCTGCTTAGGGATGACCAAATGTTCTAGAGTGACTTGCGTGACAGATAATTATACGCCACTTCCACATTTCCCATAGTGCACCTTATTTGCCACCCCAAAATTTTGCATAGCAGCATTGTAACATAACATTACATAACATAACATACACTTTATTACGACTCCTCCATACGGGGCTATTCTGTCGTAATATACAAAAATAACAAATATACAATAATAAAATTACAATGGGACAAAAAATTTCAATTTCAATTTCAATTTCTCTTGGGACGGCTGTGATGCCCGGGAGAAATGAAAAATAAAGGTTATGCAAAATTTTGGTGGGTAAATAAGGTGCATTATCGGAAATGTGGAAGTGGCGTATTGACGGTTTTCAATCATTCCTGTCGTACTGGTCGGGCAAGACTTAATTTACAACAGTCGTTCTGTTGGACGCAATCACCTGTTGTACGTCCTCTGGGGACATGTCCTTAGACCTCGCAGCCATTTCAGCAGCATGCCTGTCCTTCAGCTCTCTAAGTCGTCTTCCTTTCTCAGCTTCAAGCATCTCTGCTGCCTGATCTTCCTCTGCCGCCAGCTCTCTTTCAAGTTTTTCGTTCGTTTTCTGTGTATCCTGTTCGTGTCTCTCCCGCATGTCGGCCAACGTACGCTCCTGTTCATTCCGCAAAGCCTGCCATTGACAAAAAAATACGTTACAGCGCTATGGACAAAGAGTTACTTCAACAAAAAATTAACATAAATTACCATAGCGTGTATAATAATCATATTTACATAAATTAGCATAAATTATCGCGAGTAATAAATGCTGGCCATTCATAGAATGTAGCAATTGACATGAAAATAAACATAGTAATCAGAAATTACTACATCTAACCTCCTCCTCTGCTGTCTCACGTGGAATTATGACTTCAGGGACAACCACGTGATCTGCATCCATTGGCTTGTTGGCCGCGATGGCCTGGCTCTGTTCTTCGAGTATACGCTGACCAGCTGCTTCCTCTGCTTGACGGCGTGCCTCATCTTGACGTCGAGCTCGTCGTGCGGCGAGCTTAGCCTGTAGGGAAGAGAACAAAATATTACAATTTTTAACTTTTCAGACACCTCTTTCTGCAATGCGAGTTTATCAGTTGATATCTATTTTACTGTCGCCTGTTACTCCGCGTAAATTGACTCTCTTTAATAAAAGCCCTTTTTATTTCATATTGTCTGTATATGCCTTTTTCGCTCTGACTACGTTGCTTAAAGTCGAACCTCCAACAGTAAGCGGCCACCCAAAATGCCACGTACGTGAGTTCCAACTACAGAGCTGGGATTGAAAAAACAAAAAAAGTGATTGGGCAAAAGGGCTTTTCAATAACGAAAGATTTGTCGTTACCTTCGTATCTGCAAGCGACTTGAGTTTGCGTTGTTCAAGATTTTCTTGCAGAGCTTCGTTGTCCTTTCTGAACTGATCCATTATCTGTTGCTGCAGAACTGCGTCTAGATTATCTCTGGTAACCTGTTAAAGCCGAAAAGGCAGAGGTAAGAGCTTAATTGATTTTAATTCCAAGCCTGAAACCTTTTTTAGCAAAAGCTCATGAAAACCATGTTAGTAGAGCGAAGACGAAAATTTACCTGACGTACAATGTTGACATTGAATTAATCTGTTGGCTTGTTTTGACTTGTTCGAGAAAGAGGTACTTTTTATAAGTTTCTTTTAACACAATAGAATACTGCTACAAATATGGTGAAACAAGCACGACGTTTTGATCGGCATAAGTGCTAAAACCCAATACAAATAGTAATCCAGAACGCACTTAAAACATGTGCTGTACATAGCTGGAATATATGAATCCTGGCCGGATCAGGCCTGCCGCTGATTGACTTGATTCATGACTTGATTTTTCGTAGACGCGGAAAAACCATCGCGGGGAAAAAACAAATTTCCCTTCAGGCAATTTCATTCCCTTACCCGGGAAATCTGAGACATACCTTATCCAAAAGAGCTCTATGAGATTGTTGAACGTTATCCATGTATTCTTCATTGAGTTTCTTGACAATCTCTGCAGAATGGCGCGCTTCTTCTGCATCAAAGCTGGCCTCCAGAGCAGCAATTTCCTGTTCCTGCTGCTTCATTAGTGTTTCAACATCACCACCCTCGCTTATGACCTACAATGAGGTTGGCAAAATAAAGTCAGAATTTGTTACAAGGTAAAAAATTGTCTGTGGAAGACATCAACATATGTTTCAGCGTTTATTGCGTTTGTTAACAAACGATAATTCCAAAATGGTGGCAGATTTAATTATTCTTTTTTTATCATGATAATTGGTCCTCAACGCCTCGTTTCGAGGTAAAAGGCGTTTTGAATTCTGCGGACAAAGTCGAGGCAGAGAGGGCTAATCAACGTAAATAAATATACAAGAAAACTACTGTTGCTAGAACTTTGGAATAATTTGAAAAATCTATTTTAAGAATTGAGCCAACGCAGCTGAGACAGTCGAGTTCTATGCTGGAGCCTTCAATATGAGACAGCTGAAATGTAATGAACAGCTTAAAATCTACTATATTACGCCGTATAGGTGTCCAATTCCATTCAAATGTTTTAGTGTCTGATTGACAGCTGTAATTTAATTCCACAAGTACACCTAAGGCTAGTTTAACATAAAGGAAAATCAAGTTAAATGATTGTACTATAAGACCTTTCAACAAGAAGTTCCAACAAAATCTATTGCCGCCAGGAACAATAAAGAGAGATAAAACTAACCTTGGCCTTTTCCAGTTCCTGTTGTTCTCTTAGTTTTTTCATTCTTTCTTTTCTCCTCTGCGCAAGTTTTTCCTTGAGCAGCGCTGTCTGTTGGGCGCGTTGCTGGGCGAGCTCACGTGACATCTTTTCCTCCAATTCCATTTGCTCTCGCTTAATTTGCTCTGCTTGATCAGCGTATAAAGACCCGGATGTAACAAGGTCATCCTAGAAAATGAGAGGTATTTCTTTTTACATCGTAGGTAATCTATTCTCTGTTATTTAAGTAAATACTGAATTGATTAATATATTTTGGGTGCTAGCTGTTTTTATTTGAAAGCTGTTAAGGTGCCTCTTTACTTTCTAATACATTGATAAAAACCTTGAGTTTGTCTGTTCAAATGAAGGGTACATAGCAATACTTTACGGTGCCACTGTTTTTGAGGACGAAAACCTGACGTGTGACAATGCAAATGAAAGCTATAAAGTAGCGCTTTGCTTTGGTATTGTTTATTATGCTGTACAAGGTGGTTGTGACGTTTGAGTCTGTGGATGAAATCCTTAATTGTGACCATTCAAATGAAAGCTACTGAACAGTACTTTCCAGTGAAATTATTATTATTATCATCATCATCATCATCATCATTATTATTATTATTATCATTATTAGTTTACATGGACAGACTTTCCAATAATGTTGTTCTTACCACCATAGCAGAGAACTTGTCTCCCATCTGTCGCTGGTATGTGTCTGCTTGCTCATTGGACAGCTGCTCTTCCGCTTTCGCCTGTCCAATTGATTCTTCTTTAACGATGACATCTTGAACGCCTTCTTGAGTCTTCAGTATTGTGTCTATACTGGCCAGCGGAGGTACGTCATCGAGACGAATATTGGACTTCTCAGCCTTGAAGAAAAAAAAAAGAAGAAATTCACAGGTGAAAACGAAATACGACAAAAATGGAGTCTCCCTATAAAAACTACAGCGGGTTGGAATTTCACGTGCGTAACTTGGGTAACAACTGACCCAAGGGAATGTTCTCTATAATTCGAGAAATAATAACGGGTCGCACCGAAGTTTTCTATAAAAATCTTAATTTCAAGCAATAAAGCGACACATCTTCTGCCTTAACCTGGATGAATGTGTCTAAGATTTACAGTTTGCATGGGGAAATTCTACTTCAGGAAGACTATATCTCTATCTTTTCTGTTGTCTAAATTAAAAGTATTTTATCAAGCTTTTTTTTTACTTGAAAAATTGATTCCCAACAAGCTCGTTTTTCGATCAAACTGGTGTTTTTAAACGACATTTAAACATGTCGTTATCGTCAACGTTGTATTTCTGTACCTCTTCTTTTTGTTTTCTGAGCAGGGCGGCTTCTTTCTCTTCTCTTCTTCTTCTTAGTTTTTCTCTCAGTGCCGCTAGTTGTTTGTCTTTCTCCGCCGCTAAGACGCCTTCCAACTGCGCCACTTGTCGGTCATGATCATCCATTATCACCTTCATTTCATCCTCACTCAAATCACCCGAAAGTTTGTCCGCTAATTTCTCAGCCAGTTTCGTCATCTCCGCTGCACGTTTCTCTTCCTTTTAATTCAAAAACGTGAGAATTATCAGCTTTCTTTTAAAAAAACATATAAGCCAACAAATACTTAACCTAAGGCAAGGTATAATACGTTTCAAGTGGCAGGAATCGTTTTTACTGACTTTTATTAAGAATTCTTTAACTTTGCATTCTACTTGTCATAGTTATCAAATTTTTATTAAATTGCACATCTGTTCTCTGTTTCTGAGCCTCACCTGTTCCTTAAGAAGTTTGTGTACAGCGGTTTCCTCGTCACGCCCAACCTGCTGCTCAAGGTGCATGCGCTCTGCGTTCATTCTGCGTAAGAACTCGCTGACGTCACTTGTTCCTTGAACCTGCCAATGCACGCCGGGAGCCTCACCTGCATGTACTTCCGTTACAGTTTGACCAGCGGTTGGCGGATAGACCGTAGTAGCGGAGGCACCACCACTTCCGCCCACTACCACCATACCAGAACTTGGAATGGTAATGTTTGTACCTGAAACCATTGCTGCATGAAAAAAGAAAAAAAAAGTGAGAATTGCAATGCTTTTGGAAGAAAAAGTAAACAGCTTTGCTAAAAAGGGGAAAAGTACTTTTTTTTTTTTAACTAAGCAAGGCATGTCTTAGTGAAGTCCGTCCGGCAGCCGGCCAACCAGCCAATTAGCCACAAACAAAATCAGTTTTATCATGCAAAGAATTTCGAAAGCTGATAGGATCTTAGTTAGTCGGTCAGTCATACATGCAGTCAGTTAGTCAGTCAGTCAGTCAGTCAGTAAGACAGTCACTCAGTAAGTCTTGTTTGTAATCTGTCTCCCATGTCTTCCTTACTTCCCTCGGCCCTCGTCATCTTTCCATCCTTGATTACTTATTATCTGGTTCAGTAGCAAACTGTCCTATGTGTACTTTCTCCAGTAGCATCTGTAGACTCGCCACGAGTTCTTGTTCTCTGACTTGTCCCCCTGCGGTCATACCGTACCTCTTTCCACCCCCACATCCTACACCACCCACTCACATGGTGTCATACATGCAGTCAGTCAGTCAGTCAGTCAGGCCGTCTCTCAACCTGTCACCCATTCCTTTCTTAATTTCCTTTGACCATCAGTGTATCGTTCAGGAAGATCGTCAATCTATCTTTCCACCACGTGATTATACATTACCTGGTCCAGTAGCAAACTGTCCTTTCTCTACTTTCTCCAGTAACATCTGTAGACTCGCCATAAGTTCCTGCTCTCTTACTTGACCCCCTGCAGTCATCCCGTATATCTTTCCTCCTTCACTTCCTACACCACTCACATGGTGTTCCTGAGGAGATTCCTTCAATGAAAGCACAGAGATTAAAAATTATTTTACAATCTCTTTGACTTTGTATGTTTCCGAAGTGGCTCAAAAAACGTCCATACTAACTTCTCCAACTATTAGAGGGCAACTTTAAATTACCAATTGATCATTTGTATAATGCCATAAACGCAAACAATTGTGGTGGTTGAAGTACAAGGTAAAGGAAAGATTCTTCAGTACTCGCTTCTGCTTAAACCAGTCTGGCGCTCTTCAACTTGACTACCCCCCAGTAGATGTCATCAAGCGTATTTTTGGTTATTTGTGATGAGATCATCGCAATAAATTGTTTAATTTGATCTTTGGGAGGGGAGGGGTGGGGTTTAGATGACTCACAGGTGAGGATCCTACTGGAGATGACACCAGAATTGAGTTGAGTGTGTTGTTGGTTCTCGGTCTTGTAATGATGAGTTTTACCCCTCTTCCAAATTCCAATTCAATCCAGAATGGTTGGCGAAGAACATCACCTTATTTCTTTCTTTCTTTCTTTCTTCATTTCATCTTAATTAGAAAAATTTCAGTACACTACATACCCGGCCTGCTCTGGTTGCTCCGGCCTCTTTAGTCGCTTTAATAAGAGCAGACACGTCCATGCTATCCAACATTCCTTTGAGCTTCTCAGCCTGTTGACTAATCCGATCATAAAACGCTCTCAGGTCCGCCTGATGACGTGCCAGCTGGGACGATACATGCAGAGTCTGATCCTCCAGTTTGTCGTATAGCGTGCGGACGTTGAAGTTTTCAAGCTCAAAACGAACATTCGGGGAGTCAAATGAAGCCCCCTCAGGGGCTCCTCTAGGGCCCAGGTCGTAGACATGGTCATCAATTCCTGGTGTACAACAGGAGAACGTTTACAATGAAAGTCAAAGGAAGTTTAGGGAACTTTAGACTATTATAGCGAATTACGTTAAGGGTAGGGTACGTCAGTAAGCATTGGGGGTTGTTAACGAGATAGATGGTTTCATAATGAAATTATTGAGAGCCTTAAGTTGAATGAAAGCAAATGAGTAGTTTTGTCTTATGGTAGTGTCTATTATGCTTTACAACAGTGTTCCAGCCAGAAAATTCTGCTTGAGGGCCAAAGTGGCCCCTACAACCCATTTTTGGGGGCCAGATTTTTCAAGAAACGGCAAATATCTTTCTAATATGCAAAAGAGAAGAAACGGTTGGGAAGTTAAATAAATTAAAATGGCAGTTTATTTAAAGCTGACATAGAGCATTCCTTTTCATACACAATAGAGTAAATCTTCGGCAATAAAGCAAACATTATCACAATCAGAAATCGTAAGTCCTCTTTTTCATTGCTGAATTATGCATCACGTTAAAATGAATAGCTGAAATCGTTCAGCGAACGTCTGAACGGAATTTTTTTCCATACGAGCTTGTTTTTGCATCGGTTCGTTTCGTCAGCTCCGCTACACCATCTACGTTTTCCAATTCACCGTCAAGATCTTCTTTTTGCTTCGCCGCCATCCACGTATTCGTTACTTACTGAGAAAAAAGTTTCGATGGACCACAAAGATGCATTTGCCAGGTTTAATCTCCCAAGTCGAGGCTCAGTGGTCTCCAGACCACTCATGGTAAATCAGGTAAACATGTTGGCCGATCCAAAAAGATTCATTTATTGATTTTCATGTTGTGTAAAAAGGTACGGAGTTGTTGTTCTTTAGATTAAAAATTCTGTTTAATTGGAACATTATTGTACTTGAAGTAACAAAGACGTTTTAAGCCCTGGGAATTAAAAAAGGAAAGGGCCATAATGGCCCTTTAACGCTTTTGTTGAGGGCCATCTCTCGATCTTTTGCGGGATTCACCCAATGGCGCACTCTGGCTGGAACACTGGCTTTACAATGTGGTTCTAACTGTTGGGTTTGTGGATAAAATCTCTTCAGCAACACTTTCACATGGTGCTATTCGTTGTAAGTATTTTTCAAGCATTTAATTCTGAATTTCCTCGACGACCGAATTTTCCCAATTTTGGGAGTTAAATGGACAATCTATATTTACCTTTCAGGGACGGACCTAGGGGGTGGGTGCTGGGGGGTTGGGGTCTCGAGATGTCCTGCGGGTTTTGAATACAACTGGTATTCTGCAAAATATGCAGATATGTAAAGCATTCTCAGCAGTTTACATTATGTTATATGTAACACATTCTCAGCAGTTCACATTATGTTACTGCCTAGTCAAAAGCCTTCTTCTTCGTATTCGCTCTTAACATTTATTTACGTCACCAGTCAGTTACGTCATTCCTTAGCAGTGTACCTCGTCCTAAGAAAAATCCTGGATCCGCCCCTATCATTACTAAACAAACCTGGAATCGGCACAACTGGTATGGGCGCTCCAAGAGCTTTGTATTTGGGCCTGAGTGTTCGGATAGGGTAGCGTCCAATGCTCTTGGGGCGCCAGATAATGACAGCGATAACAAGCATGATAATAACGACCAACATGAAGATTGTCATGCCCCAGATCACACCCCAATTCGGCTTCAGGTTCTGAGGCTAAAAATTAAACAATAAAGAAAACAAAACTACAGTTAATAAAACGTCACTTTCGTTCAATGTAACCCTTTACTCCTGTCGTCAATTAAGTTGTAACTTTTGGAGTCCGTGGACTAAATCCTGTAGTGTTACTATTCACATGAAAGCTACTGAGCAGTACTCTCCTGTGGTACTGTTTTTTTATGGCAAACGTGAATTTGTACCACGTGACCAGTTTTCCCCTTGATTATTACTTCTACCCAAAAATAAGTAGTTTCACGCCAGTTTTATCTATAAGAATTGTTCTGGACAGTTTTTATCTACTAATTTTTTATTCTGAGAAATTCTTAACTTGAATCTGACGTTTGCCGTTTGCTGTAAAGATGACTCTTAATCTCTTTAATGTTTCAACTATACCGTGTGCCTTCATAACTGATCCTTTAAACAACTACACTTATATTAGGTATTTTACTGTCGGTAGTTCTGTCTGTGTTCCAAATGGGGCAAATCTCTACAGACCGTTGCAAGAATAAGACCTCACCTCTTTATTGCTGACTCACAGGTTCGACTAAAACAGTTAATGAAACGTCACTTTCGTTCAATTTAACCCTTCACTCCTGGAGTCAATTAAGTTGTAACTTATGAGTCCGTGGATGAAGTCCTAATGAAATCCTATTGTGTTACCATTCAAATAAAAGCTACTGAGTAGTACTTTTTCCTGTGGTACTGTTTACGTCCTTACCTCTTTATTGCTGACTCCAAGTTCGACTAAAACGCCCTCAGTTATGGGCGACAGAATGGTGTCTGGGCAGCTGCTGCCTTGCTCCTTCACTGTGACGAACGTCTCTCGGAACGGCTCGGCGTTATCGTAGAACACAAAAGTTCCATTTTGCGTAAACACGTGCATAAAGTACGACAGACTATTGTTGGATTCCTGTACCAGCGAGTGGAGCTGTCTGAAGTTACCTGTACAGAGGACGGGAACATGTCTCAAACTCGACAAGTAACAAAGAAGAGAAAATCTAACCACCGCCCGGTTAGCTCAGTTGAGAGAGCGTCTGTCTGTTGCGGATTCAAACCCTGGCCGGACCAAAACTTTCTTATTTAAATGACTGAGAAGAAAGTGCTGCCTTTGTAATAACATCTGCAGACTTTCTAGTCTTCTCGGCGGATAAGGACGAAAACCGTGAATGTAGGTCCCTTCTCACAGCACTTTCAAATATCTGTTTCTTGTGGCACATAAAAGAACCCACACCATCGTTCGAAAAGAGTTGGGCACGTAGACCCCGGTGGTGTAGCCAACCTTTCCTGGGCTGGGTGGGTTGTCTGTAAGGATAGATCTTAATGAGCGTAAGGTCCTAAAGACCATTTGAGAGACGATGTTGAGGTCCCGTCCACACGTATGCCGATATTTTTTCACACGGAGACGAACTCTTTTTTCCGTTTCAACTTTCCGTCCACGTAAACGGCGTTCTCGGATACCAAAAACACATATTTAGGAAAAGTGTCTGCAGAGTTGAATTTTTTAAAAACGCCTGCTTATCGCTTTTTTTTTGTGGACGGACGAAAACGGAGGTTTTGGAATACGATGACGTCATACATTATACAGCGCATGTCCTGTAAAAGACACTACCGTATTTCTATCGTTTTAGCGTTTTCATGTTCACGGGCGAAAACGATTCGAATACGCTAAGTGTGGTCGCGTATTCTTTTTTAACACGAAATAAAAAATTTCCGTTTACAAAAATATCCGGATACGTTTGGACGAAGCCTTAATGGTTGGCACAGTATTTCACTGGATATCCAGACAATTGGTCGGATTAAATACCAAATAATAACGTGCTTGACATATTATTTTTCAAGTTAAGTCACCTTTGTCTGGTCTCTATACAAGTCATTTTCACCAAAATAAACAATTATTTCGATTCATACCATAATCAAACTCGCCATTTGTGTTCATCAAATGATTCTTGCGATATCGCGGGTAGTGGCTAAGGCTGCGGTTTATCGGGTTGATTTCAACCTTGAATATTAGCGCTTTGCCATAAGTCAGGCAGATGATTGGATTGGCGATGGTACGTCCTACAGTAGAGGGTGTGCTTGTCGAGTTATCTCCCACGGCGCGACGTCTTCTGCGAGCGGACTGCGAGTTGGGCTCAACAACACTCTGGACTTGTGAAAGCTCTCCCGGAGCGAAAGCCGACATTTTGTTAAGAGAATTGGTGAAGATGAACTCAGCGGAGTGTAAATCGTTATCATGGTCTCCAATGCCCAATTCCGATGTGATGTTGAAAGTTGCAGAGTTGCCATTATTGTCAGTACACGTCATTGATAAGACCCCGTCAGTATTCCGTTGAATGTAACATTTAACTCTTGTCCTCTCACAAGTGCTGTTACATTCTGTTGTGTGCGTACAGATACAGATTCCTTCAGTGGTGCTGAATGTACCCCCTGTTTCGCCTTCTTCTTTACATTTGTTGTCGCATGCTACAGTCTCCGTCTCCGGATCGACACACTGCCAGTCAGAAGCGCGGTAAACCTTTCCAGTCCCACACCGGTCTGCATCCTAAAAATACGAAAACGAAATATTTAGTTCGATAACTAGTAATAACCAAAGGTTACGGAGTGCCTTTCCCTTTTTACCAATAATTTAATAACAAAAAAGTTTACAAACCAACGGCCGACAATCCAAGTCACTATTTCCCTCTTCTCGCTCTTTGGTGGACGGATCGTCAAACACATATCGCAAAATGCACGTACAGGAACCGTCGGATACTTGAAAAGATCGAGATTGTCCTATGCATTGACACCTTGCTTGGCCTTCTTCAGACAAAGAGGAGCTACCACAGGGAAGACAGGCCTTTTGATTTGGTAGAGGGTTAAACGTGTTTGTCGGGCAGGGATAGCAGTCTGACGTTTTCGTCGCTAGAGATCGGTTACCATAGGAACCAGGAGAACAAGGCTGCGCCTCTCCAACACCCGCTGGACAATATGAGCCCTCGGGACAGGGATTCGCGGTGGGACTTTTTGTGCCCACTGGACAGAAATAACCGGCCGGACATTGATCACAGAAGCGACGCTGCGGGTCGTTGCCGTAGGTTCCTGCCGGGCAGACCTCACAGTGTTTTTCATGCGAGTCTCGCAGACCAGAAGTGTTCAAGGCTTTGTATCCCAGCTTACAGGGGAGCTCTTCAGTGCTGTTTGGCGGACAGTAGTCAGGGTAGTAACAGAGGGTGTGAATCTCTGATCCGTTTGTACAATAATAACCACCTACAAATAACAAAGACGGTTAATAAAACCCCACTGCTGCTCGCCCACGGCTCACAGAGTCAACTTTTCGAAAAAGGCTACCTAACTATTATCCTTTACATCTGTGAACGAAGTTGTCTGGTCTGACCACTGAACTAAGCAGTACTTTCCTGTGGTATTGTTTATTATGCTGTACAAGGTGGTTCTAACTTTTGAGTCTGTGGGTGAAATCCTAAAGTGTGACCATTCAAATGAAAGCTACTGAGCAGTGCTTTCCTATGGTACTGTTTATTATGCTGTACAAGGTGGTTCTAACTTTTGAGTCTGTGGATGAAATCCTAAAGTGTGACCATTTAGAAAAAAACATATTTAGCAGTATTTGTAATGATACCAATATTTTTAAAAGAGCTGTACATAGTGAAATTTTTACGTTTGAAAGTCTTCGAGATCCACTGTAAAAAAGTGTGACCATTCATATGAAAGCTACTGAGCAGTACTTTCCTGTAGTGCTGTTTATCATGCTGTACAAGGTGGTTCCAACTTTTGAGTCTTTGGATGAAATCCTAAAGTGTGACCATTCAGATGAAAGCCACTGAGCAGTACTTTCCTGTGGTACTTACTATGCTGTGCAACGTGGTTATAGCTTATGCTTAAGTGTGACAATTTAGAAAAAGACCTTTTTAGCAGTATTTGTGATGATAACAATATTTTTAAAAGAGCTTTACACAATGAAATGTTCATGTTAATCTTCTTGAAAATTGACAGTCTTTGAGGTCCACTGTATTGTGGTTTCTCTACGTACCTGGGCAAGGTTTTGGTATTTCTGTTGTTCCAGGGCAATAAGCACCTCCAGGACAAAGCGTCTCGAGGGAAGAGCCAAGAGGACAATAGGTTCTCGCCTTACATGGTATCCCTTGCACATTAATGGTATCATTAGGGCAATAATAACCACCGGGACACAAGTCGCATTCACTTCTACTTCCGGCTCCTGGTGTCAAGCGGCGACGGCCTGCACCACAGAGACTGGGACCCAGCTGACTGGGACAGAAATGACCGATGGGACACTTGCTGTTATTATAATTCACCATTCCAGTGAGATTGCACCAATGACCTGCTGGGCATGGGAAGCAGTCGTCCAGATCTTGGCCCCCCGGAATGTCTCGGTATCTATGAACAGGACAGTCAATCGGTGCTTGTCCTCGTGGGCAGTACTTTCCGGGTGGGCAGGGTACACCATTCGATGTTCCTAAAAATGGCATAAACAAATGTCATATCAGTTACAAATACAGTCTAACCTCCCCCATATACGAGCACCTTTCGTAAGCGACCACCTCCCATGAGCCACGATCTACCCAAACACCTGCACTTTCCCAATAAAAGCCCTGTAATAATTTCCCATTGTTTAAAAAATCTTGTAGGTGACCACTTGACCAATTGTCTGATCTCTAAGTTCGCAGTATGCATTTTTGATCACGGGTTCGACTGCATTGTGATGACCCACTAGGGTGTTGCAACATGGATTTCGGCTACTTGGGAAAGTGTTACAATTATAGTCTGGAGACTCTTTCTCATTCTTTACAATGATCACGCATGATAATAATAATGCTGTCATGACGACGGTGTCACGTACAACGATAAGAACGATATGATGGCGAATGGTGAAGACCACGCCACTGGTAATTTTATTGATGCTAATGGCGACAGTAATGAAAATAGTTGTTATAAAAATGATGATGATGATGATGATGACGATGATGATGATGATGGTGATGATGATGATGATGATGATGGTGATGATAATAACGATGATGACAATACACTATAACCCTAAATGACGAGCCACTTACCATTCAAGCAGAATTTTCCAGCCAGGCAAGGAGTACAATCGCTGACTATCCCATAGCCACCTGTGTAATTCTTCATTGTGTTATCCGGACACGGGATAGGTAGAAGTGTTCCATTAGGACAATAATACCCTTCCTGACAAGGCCCGGCCTCCACTGGAAACCAGTATTCTATGGAACAAGAAGAGGAACCATTTATGAAGCCACAGCAACAGCTTACAGTATAATCGCGCCTAACATCCCGGTTACAGGCCTCTACCAACAGCTGGGTATATCTATATATCTAAATCTTTATTAAACTCTGATTACCGTTTACGTCAGAGTTTTAAATTTTTTGAAATGAAGTAACGTACGTCTCGTGATGAACTTGTTTTGAAGCATTTTCGTATCCCACTTGTAAGTCTCCTGGAGTGTAAGCCGGACCAGTTTCCTCACACAATTGTGAAAACCTGGGGCTTGTAACTAGGGAAGCATAACATCTTCGCCGAGATATCTTTTTCTTTACCGAGTGTTATTAACATGAACCCCTGGCTCGGAAGACTGAGGAAAAATTCAGTATATTGTTTGATATGTTTGTCATTTCTTCTTTTGTGAGGTCATAACACGTATCGATTTCCATATGTCCACTATATGTCGTCTTTAACATTTTTCAAAAAATGAGTGTGCATCGTTCTTATAAGTGTTTATCAAGGATACAAATCACTGTGTTTTTCGAATTCACCTTGACTTCTCTACATTCTAGGGGATTTAAACGTTAACGGACTGAAGAAAGCATCTTTTAAGGCTGCAGACGGTTGCAATACTATTATTACGGAGCTTAACCAATACGTTTTTGAGTGACGCACGCAAGCCGGAAGTTGGCTTTTTGCATTCTTGGGTGGTGTTTTTACCCTTATTTTTTGGTAAATCGTCTCTTTAAGAGCAAAGACGCTAAACAATGCAAATCCGGTAGCATCAGGGCATATTAGAGACCTTTAGATTCTAAGACGAGTACGACTACGAGTATGAGATTTTCTCAATATACTAAGTAGTGTACGCGTGTGAGCCAGGGTCATTTTGGCGGGAAAACGCGGTAGCCGTCGTCATTCTACAAAGAGTTTTCGCGCGAATGTCGTGGTGGCGAAAACAAGATATCACATGTTAGAAGTTTTATCATTTGCGATCGGGAGAGCGCGTAACCTCCTTTACTGAAGATAACAATGCTAACTTCTCTAGTGAAAAATGGTAAAATGAAGCTTTCCGGGAAGTCTATATTTTGAGAAGACGCGAAGAAACTTCATGTCAAATCTCGTAATCGTAGTCGTCCTCGAATCTAAAGGTCTCTATTAGAAGGGAAACGAACTCACTTCCGATTGACGTGCGTCACTCAAAAACGCCTCTGCTTCAAGCTCCCTAATTACTACCTAACTGTATCCTGAGGCACATGAGCACATACCGTGTAAGCAGAACCGTCCTGTTCGACAATTCGAACAATTCCCACTACTGTAATTAGCAGTACTGTTATTCACACAAGGAGTGATGATGATAGAGTCAACAGCATTCCACACCCCAGTGGGGTTCGGGTCCGGACTTCTGCTCTTGCAGTAGTAGCCACCATGACACGGTCCGACAATCTGACCTAGCCGACAATAAGAGCCGGTAATACACGGCAGACATTCGTCTGCACTTGCTAACATAGTCATGTTGTCGTGTGTGTAAGTGCCGTTAGGGCAGACGAGTGGTACAGTAGTGGCCTCAGGACAGAAGTGTCTAGGTGGGCACGCCTTGGGTGTTGACGTTTTGCTTGGACAGTAGTATCTGGCGGGGCATGGATCGCAATCTTTTTGCCCCTTATTAAGCTGGTTGTAACCTGTAACAAAAGTGTTAAGATGGAGTCCATCAGGAAATTGAGTAATTTTAATTTTCAGTGGACAAAAACTTTGTAACAGAGTAATTTAACCAATACCGCATTCTTTTTTGCATTTTTCAAGGGCTATAGATGTAATTAGTTATCTGTAATAACACCAAAGACAATTTCCTATGAGAGCCCGAGAAAATGAATGTCAAATTTCAAAAATTGACATCTTACACATGAAATATTCAGAATTTTACCTGTGTTCTCACAATTCTTGTGAAATTTGACATTTATTTTCTCGGGCTCCCGTGAGAAATAGTCATTGGTGTTATTTCAGATAACAAATTATATCTGTAGCCCCTGAAAAATGTGTAAAAGAATGCAATATTGTTGAAACTAATCTGGTACAAGGTTTTTGCCCACTAAAAATTAAAATTCCTCAATTCCCTGATGGATTCCTTCGTAAACTGTATAAAAATCGAGAGAAATATAATAAGATAAATAACAGCAGAAGTGGGCCTACTAAGTTCTATGTTTAAATGAACGCAATCTGTTGTCCTCATTTCTGCTCTTTTTACTTTTTTTTTTTTTATTATACTACAACAGGAGAAATTTCTGCAATTTGATTGGCTTAGAGCAGTGGTATTTCAGCTTAATTTGAAATACCTACATGTGAAAATTACAAACCTTTTGCGGGTAATAGTATAAACACGTAATAGCATGATATGGAAGTGATATTTGGCATAAATACCACTGGTGATATTTCAAAATTGTCTCAAATTTCACTCGCCTAACGGCTCGTGAAATTACGTTTAACAATTTTGAAATATCACTCGTGGTATTTATGCTAAATATTACTACAAATCATGCTATTACCTATACAAATTTTCCACAATTTTATGTTGCTATAGCAGCATTTCATGACGTGACCAGTGGATAAAAGATAAAACTGCCTGCATTTGCGTGACCTTATCCTGTAAACTAATTTACCTAAGGTCAACAATAACTTAGCCACATGTTACAAGTCAGCCCAGCAAAGATATACATCTACAAACCTGCACCGCATTCGATTGGGTCGGCGGTTCCCTCGGGGCACTTATGCGCCTTAGGACACAAGTATTCGGAGGGCTTGGACACATTGGCTCTGGACCCTTGAGGACAGTAATAACCAGCTGCACAGGGCCCAGTTACAAAGGAATTACTGTAACCTTTGCAGTAAAAACCAGGAGTGCAATCAAGACACTCATCTTCAGAGCGAGCTCCAGTGCTGTTACGGAAAGTGCCTGGAGGGCATCCAGCCGGTGCTTGGGTACCCTGTAGGCAGTAGTGTCCTGTCGGACATGGGCCATTTTTGGGGTACTCAGGTATTGAAGTCGGAGTAGAAGTATTAGCTTTGCCTTCACAGAACCATCCAGCTGTGCAAGGACCTTTGGGTGTAGTTTGAGCATAATCCTGTAATTGAAAGATTGTTAGATTAACTTGCCTGGTGAATGATGACTCTAACTAGTTGAAGCCTGAGTTGTTAGCTAAACTCAACTGTTCACACATATTTAATGTCGAATAATTACAAGTTAACGTGAGCGTAACATAACGTCCTTGAGAATAGCAAGAAGCATGTCAAACTAAGGTCACCAGGAGACTTACTTCCATCCGCAACTACAAATTGCGCTACGCTGAGTTACCAAGACAGACCTATCGGCGCCAAAAGTAGCTAATGAAAATTGATGTGCCCAATAACGTTCAATACCAACCAACACTGTGCATATTTCTTACCTGGCAGTAAAATCCAGCTGGACAGTCAGTGCACATATCAACTGTTGACAGTCCGCTGCGATTGCCGTAGGTTCCAGGAGGGCACGGTTTCAGTGTTCCATCCGGACAGTAGTAGCCGGCTTTACAGGGCTCGACTGACGACATGTTCTGATATGGACACATATTGCCTGGACCACACGAGATACAGCTTCCTTGCCCCTCATTGGGTTGATAAGTGCCCGGTAGGCAACTAAGGGCTGTAACGTTCCCTGTTGAACGTACAAAAAGATTCATCACATCTATTCAATTATCACCGATTATCAAGTGGTCATTTTAAGGACAAATTGGCAAACACAGAATACATTTAACATATCGGCCTTTATGACGTTTTTCAAGAAGCTAGAAAAAAAATCTGTTTCTTTCTAAAACAACCCTTTAAATCAACCTAAAATATCCCCTCCCCTGATGGCATTGTAGAGACCATAACACTGGACTAAGAAGTTTCTTATTTCATCTCATTTCTAAGACTCTCTCATACAGTCAGTTCCATCCAACTGATACGGATGCTCTTCAGATTGCAGACTATTTAAAAGGTACCTGAAGGACAGAAGAAGCCTCTTGGACAAATGTATCCCATGGATGGATGTGTGGGTGTTGGCGTGCTTGATCCCCTTGTGCAAATGAACCCAGCGTCACAAGGTGGAGCAGTGCCATTCAGAGTACCAGAGCCATTGCAGTATCTCCCTCTGGGACACGGTACACACTGTGATCTGTTAGCGATGCGTCCTTCGTTGTGGAATGTACCAGAAGGGCAAGGTTCTGGGTCAGAACCGTTGGGACAGAAATGCCCTGCAGGACACGCATCGTTCAAGAACGGGAACGGGAAGCTAACATAATCTGCATAATTCTTCGCCAGAAGGTCTTTCTCTGGTCCAGGTGATTTGGATCTCTCAGTACAGTAGTGACCGCCATAACAATCTCCCGATGGTTGCGTCAAACCTTCTCTTCCACAGTACTTGCCTCGTGGGCAATCGGTGCAGTTTCCAATGGCCATCAATCCTAATCTGTCATTATACGTACCTACAATTTGAAATAAGGAATTCGCTCTGAAGACATTACAAGTATTTTGCTGTTGTTTAAGGTTGATGTTATCGTGGTTTCTAAATGGTTTCTACCATCTCTACTGCATAATAATTTGAGCCCCGGTAAGATATGCTAACAAGATTTTGTTTCCCATAGAAACTACGATGCTTTTGGCATTCTCAGTTCCAGAACAGTCGCTAATCCCTGAACGAACACCTATGTAAGACGGACGCCTCAGTAAAAAAGACACCTACAGAGTTTTCATTAAGAATTCTAGTAGCAGGAGAAAGGTTTAATGTTACAGGAGAATATTTTGAAAGAGGCTCCAAGTCTGAATACAAAAAGAGGCTAACGAACGTTATACGGAGAATTCTGCGAAGAAAACGAAGAATTCTCCGTTCTCCGATGCCTAATGAACACCACGCAACGAGAGTTGGTCTCTGCCTTTCTTTACGTCCTTTAGTCCTTTAATTTCTATAAGACAGACATTACTCTTAGACGGACACTCAATGCCGCTTCCAGGTGTCCGACATAGTGAGAGTTGACTATACAACTTTTGGAAACTTTCTTCACAATAACAGTCGATTCATTCTAAGACGAACACCTGTGGGAACGACACTATGTGTCTGTCTAACTTCTCACAGGTTACCCTTCTTTCTTTTATACTTACGTTCTGGGCAGGGGAAGTCACGATAGTTCCCAGTGCCAGAAGGACAGTAATAACCCTTAGGACAAAGTGTAGCATTCACAACCGCAGCATTGGTAGCATCGCAGTAATGACCATCTGGACAAGTCTTGCAAGAACTCTTGCCTTGCTCATTTTGGAAAGTACCATTTTCGCATCTCACAGGTTGAGCTGTTCCCTCTTTGCAGAAGTGACCTGGTGTGCATAGATATTCTGATGGTGTTGCTGTGCTTTGACCACCGGGACAGTAATACTTTGGAGCACATTTGCTGGTCGCTGCAAAATTCCCAGTTCCTGCACAAAAGCTGCCTGGGGTACAATCTCTACAATCCCGCAGTTCTGTGTTCTTTGTGGTATTAGAGAACTTACCTGCAGGGCAAGGCACCGGAATACCTGTTCCTGATGGACAGTAGTGTCCGACTGGACAGTCAAACTGGTCGGGCACAGTAGAGCTATCATTGCAGTAATACCCTGCAGAACAATTTCCTTGGGGCGTGGTCATGGCGGCATGTGGGCAATATTGACCAAGTTTACATGGAAGAGGACGATAAGATCCCTGGGGACAATAGTGGCCAGCGGGGCAAATGTCACCTACAACAAAAAATTAAACAACAGATGATCGTGATGCAAAATAACTTGTTTTCACGTACAAAGGAAAAACTAAAAACTGCTGAGTTTAAGATGGTAATAGCACCAGATGAGTTATAAACCGCCGCCACGCACGTAAAGGTTCACCATTGCCTGTTTGTGTGTTTGGAATTTTATGTCTGTGGATGAGTCATCAAGGTTCTAACACTTAAAGTTAAAATAAGGCTGCAACAACAGAATTTACCTGTTGTCTTGTTCCATGCTGGGCAAATACATTCAAATGCAGTGTAACAGGTGTCTGCAGGGCTTGTTGCATTATCATAGTTGGGTACACCAATATCACCAGGTCGCTTAGACCAAGACCCACCAGAGCAGAAGAATCCCTCATCACAAAGTCCATTGGGCCACACCCGTCCATATCCCTCGCAGTACTTTCCTGGGTCACATAGTTTACATGCCGACTCTGATGTTTGGTCAGTTTCATTATTGTATGTGCCTGGTCTGCAAGGATGCTGTGTGGCAAATTCTGTGCCATTTGGACAAACGTGTCCCTTGGGACAAGCCGCTGGGGTGACTGTGGTACCATTGCAGTATTTACCTACAAATAAAAGTCGAGTTAAGAGGAAAGACGCCTAATAAATGCTAAATTTGTATTATTCTATCAATTATTTTTTTCTGAAAAATGTTTCTCTTCTCTTGTGCTCTGAGTTAATTACGGGGTTCAAACATTGCATGAAGGCAAAACAAACTGACACTAGTCGTCGACTACATTGGTTAGGCCACAGACATAAATATCGGCGCTTGGTGTTCTTGTCGTTCGAAATACCATGGTGATAGTCATGGTAAGGAAAGTGCTGCTCCAGTTTATACCTGATGGTAATGATGGCATCAATGATCAAGATTATAACCACACAACCTACCTGCAGGACACAGGTCACATGCAGCCATTCCTGGTACAGCTGCGTAATATCCAGGGTCACATGCATGGAATGTACTGCTTCCTTCTGGACACTCATGCCCTACAGGGCATATCCCTCCAATGCCAGTGTAATGCACATCTGGAGCACTTACATTCACTCCAGATGTGCAGTAGAAACCTACAAGAAACAACAAACCAAACATGAAAACTCAACACCTCTTGATAGTAACTCGCTTCGTGTGTAACTGTGTTTCAGGATCTGTTGTGGTTTACTATTGTGCCACTATTGTGTTGCTTGGTGTCTTCTCAATTTTTTTTACCATACTTATAGTTTTTGTGTTACTAGTGTGTTGTCTTCCGAATTCATTTATTATACTTAAAGTACACACAACACAGAAACGGGAGAAATTTAAAAACTGGCCAAAATTATTGGAGAAGAAACAATGTATCTACATTTCTATGTAAGGGCAGATGCATATATGACCTACACTAGGCCCTGTGCTCCTAGATAGCATGTCAGGTGACTACAAATGTAATACTAACCACTTTTACATAGTCCAGTCACGGTTGCACGCCCACTAGTCTCGCAGTAGAATCCTCCTGGGCACTGCGTGCACTCAGACTCATTTGCCAGGCCAGTCCTGTTGCCAATAGTACCTACAGGACAGGGTTGAGTATCGTAGCCAGTCCCTTCTGGACAGTAGAACCCAGCAGGGCAGGGATCAGGAAGAACAGCTTTAGTGCACTGATATCCTGCAGGGCACACGTAGCATGAAGAAGCATCTAACGTGGAAAAAGTGACATTCATGAGCCTAATTCAAAGAATCATTACGTACATAAAAGAAAAAATAAGAATAACATTGCCCAGAATCTCTTTAAGGTGCGTGGAAAATTGCATTTCTCATATATACATTTTTGTTTTGAATTATTTTTGTTAGAATGACTGCCTAACCACCACAACCGTTGTTTAACTAAGGACACAGAAGATTGTGAACTACCAGTTTATCGTCTTCAACAACCATTTCTTGCAATTGCTGGTACAGTCTGTATATATCAACTCTGGAGGAATCTTAGTTCTTATTCACCCTGTCTTTTCCTCCATAGAGTTTCTCCCGCTCCCTTTATTACGCGTTGCTCAATTTTCCTTTGGTTTGGGGGTGGGTCGGAGAGAAAACATCCAGATTGTCTAGCCCTTCAAAGCATATCTCATTTTCAAGAAAATGTGTCGCTAATTTCTGAGAGGTAATGAGGAGTAATATCTTTCATCTGACACCAATGTAACAACAAACCTGTGTGATTCATGTACGTTCCGTTGTAACACGTCTGTGGTTTGAAAGAACCTTCAACACAGAAGCTGCCTTTAGGACATATGTCTCCAGTGATCTTGTCCTCAGGGTTGCTCTTGGAAGCATTACCAACACAGAAGAAACCACGCAGGCAATTACCACTTACAGCAAACAGACCAGTTTCATCACAGAACTTTCCTGGATCACAACCAACACAGTCTTCTACTCGCACCTTGCCTCGACTTGGCTGGTAGGTTCCTTTGGGGCACTGCACAGGAGATGGGGTACCTGTGGGACAGTAACTGCCATTTGGGCAGTCTGTGCCATAAGGTTGATCTATAGGCATTTCTTCAGGAGAACCTCCTCTACACCAGAAGCCTTCACGACACTTTTTGGTTGGAACTATGTTTCCTGTTCCATCACAGTAATACCCTGCTGTACAGGGTAAGCATCCTGATACATTCTGTAGCCCAGTTAGGTTGTAAAAGGTGCCTACAAAAATGATGAGAAGCAATACACCGTCAAAAAAATTAACCACCATCTACGAAACGCGCTACTAGACAATTTACATAGAGTTAGGAATTTTGTAAGATGTATCATACACAACACTATTCACTAAGGTCATTTGCGATGTGGAAATTCCGTTCTGTAGGAATCTGGGTTTTATAGATTTAGTGCCCTAAACCCTTGCTAACAGGGGGAAAACCACTAAATGTCTCCAAACAACCTTAAAAGTAAGCTACATTCATTCTGAAATTTACAGACGGCCACTGATCAAGTAAGGACGTGGCACGCTGAATTCACTGTTGCAAGAAGTTAGTGTACCAGTAACTTGTAGTGAATAAAGGAAATCATACCAGCGGGGCATCCAATTCCCTCTGAAGACCCTTCAGGACAGTATTCACCCAGTCTACATGCATCGCCTGTCTTGCCGTCAGTTGGTGTTGGAGTTGTAGATCCATTGACACAATAGTGACCTGACAAAGCATTAGATTATTAAAATTTAAGAGATATATGACTAGCGTTTAAGGTAAACTGGTGATTGCTTCACTGCACAAATACCATCTTTGGGTATGCAATGTTGAGGAGTCAAAAGAACTCTGATTCCTTCATCACCTTAAGTAATAACGTTTTACAAACCTGCATTACAAGGTCCTGTAGGCTTCCTCAATCCAGTTGATCCACAGAACACTTTGGGTGGGCATGGTGTGCAATCTGAACGTCTCTCAAGCCCTGTGTCATTGCTGTAAGTACCCGCAGGACATGGAAATTGTCTTTCTGTTTTTGTTCCAGCTGGGCAGTAATTACCGGCTGTGCACTTGGTTGGGTATATAACACCTGTAAGATTTGTGGATGGGTCACAGTAATATCCTGGTGGGCACTCTTTGCACTGATATTGACCCTCTTCATCTTGATATTCTCCTGGAATGCAGTTCTGTGGTTGGCCGCTTCCAGTGGGACAGCTTGCTCCCCTTGGACATATGACAGTGGCATTGTGTGTAGATCCACTTGGACAGTAAAATCCTTGTAGGCACTGAAACAGCACCTCTGTAGCTCCATGTAAGGGACAGTAGAATCCTGCAGTACAGTTCAAACAGTCTTCCACCTTAGATTTACCTGCATATGGAGAATACGTCCCAGCAGGGCATGGTCTCTCGGTTTCTGTCCCTACAGGACAATAGTAACCAGCTGTGCAGTTTCTTGGATTAGGAACTACATCACCGCCATTGCAATAATATCCAGCTGAACAGTTTCCTTCTGGACTTGCAAGTCCTGTCTGGCCACAGTACGTGCCTCTGAGGCAACTCTTTGGTTCTGAAGAACCTCGGGGACAGAAGTGCCCAACAGGGCAAATACCTCCAGTAAAGTTCACCGAGTATATGGGACAGGTGAAGTCATTGGAGTTATTAAAGGTCGTATTCACATTAAGAAGTGGTTTCTTTGAATATGCACCCCTTGAACAGTACCAGCCTTCATCACAAGGTCCATCAGGATAGGTGTTACCATAACCCTCACAGTATTCCCCTGGTGTGCATGGTATACAGTTCGAAGGTTGAGTTGCATGAGTCTCATTGTTAAATGTGCCAGGCGGACATTTGAATGGAGTGGTTGTCTCTCTGGGACAGTAGTGTCCTGTGGGACAAATGCCACCGCCTTGAGAAGAGTTAACAGGATTAGGTCTGATAGCGCGAATCTGACAGAAGAATCCAGGGTCACACGAGCCATTGGGAGCAGCCAGGCCCTCAAAATCACAAAACTTTCCTCCATCGCAATCCATGCAGCCTGATAAGCTTTGAAGTTTCTGGGTTGGGCCATAGGTGCCTATTGGACATGGTTGCGGTTTGTGCGACCCTTGTAAACAGTACGAACCTGGTGGACAAGGGGCGCCTGTCACAGTGTCATTGGGTGTTGGTACACTTGCACCCTCCACACAGTAATATCCTGCATGACACTGGTCAGTTGGAACTGTGATTCCGGACTTATGACAGTAGTAACCTTTAGTGCACTGAGTGCATTGTGCTTCTTCCATAAGCTTTGTCACATTACCAAAGGTTCCGACAGGACATGGATACTGCTTGGCCCATTTGGTACCATTGGGGCAGAAATATCCTGCAGGGCAATCAGATGGTGCAATAACTCCACAAGAGCCATTTCCTTCACATGACATGTTTTGTCTAGCTTCATTTGGATCACAGTAGCTGCCAGCTGGGCAGGTGTAGCAAAAACCTTTCCTCGAGTATGGCTGATAAGTCCCAGCAGGGCATGGATTGTGAAGTCCGCTACCCTCAGGGCAATAATGACCAGGTTGACATTCCTTGTCTGGAGGACTTTGCTGGGTTTCTCCTGCTGGACAGTAGAATCCCTCAGAACAATTTCCACTGGGGTAATCAAGTCCAAACGTTGGGCAGAACATACCGGGAATGCACGGCTTACAATTGTTCTTAAACTGGTTGTATTCAGTGTCAGCATAAGTTCCTGGTGGGCATGCTGTTGGGTATGAGCTTTTTGTAGGACAGTAGTAACCTTTTGGGCACCTATCTCCAGTTGTTTGATTGACAGGATGACTATAAATAGTGCTTCCATTGCAATAGTGTCCAGCTGCACAGGCCCCAGACTCACTGTCTAGTTTATCGGTCAAACAGTAATATCCTGGCGTACAAGGCAATGGTTCATGAGATCCCGCTGGACAGAAGCTGCCTTTCTTACAAAATCCTCCAATTTCACCAATCAGTGGACAGACAGCAGTACCATTTGCTATGTCGCTTGTGTTTAGAGGCCTCTTCTGCCATGACCCACCAGTACAGAACCAACCACCAGCACACAAACCTGATGGCTGAGGCAAGCCGCTAAACTCACAATATTCTCCAGGAGGACAGATTGTGCAGTCGAGGACATTATCACCCAAGGTGACATTTTTGTAAGACCCTTTTGGACATGGAATAGCTGACGCTGAGCCATTGGGGCAGTAGAATCCTTTGGGGCAGTCAGTAACATTTGTTGAAGCATTCGGACAGAAATAACCAGGAGGACAAACAAGGCATTCACTTTGTGCCCACCGAGAATTGTACTCGCCACCTTTGCAGGCAATTGGATATTGAGAACCACCTGGACAGAAGTGGCCGGGTGGGCAAGGACCTCCAGTGTCTGAGACATTCGGTTTTCGAGAGGCTGATTTCTCAATACAGTAGTAGCCAGGATCACAAGGGCCATTTGGCCAAGATAAACCATCTTCTTCACAGTATTGCCCACCGGGACATTTCTTACAGTCGGCAAAAGACGTTGCATGGGTTCTGTTATTATAGTAGCCAGCAGGACAAGCTATTGGAGCTAGTGGATTACCCTGTGGACAGTAGCTTCCTGTGGGACAAATTCCTGCATCACCTCTGTTACCGCCAGATGGTTGTTGTTGGTCAGAGCCATTATGGCAGAAAAATCCCGCATCACAAAGTCCTGAGGTTGCTGTAGCATTTAGGAGAGCACAGTAGTGGCCTGGATCACATAACTTACATTGTTCTTCTCTAGAAAGGAACTCAACTGGACTGTAGGTTCCTCTTGGACAAGGTCTCCAGTCGTGTCCCGTGCCAAGTGGACAGTACCAGCCTGAAAAAGAACAAGTCAAAGATACTCTTATTTTCTGTTGGCTTCCACCGGGAGGCTTAATCAAAATCTGTACTTCAAATATGTAGTTGAAACCATTTTTAGCAAGATCGTTAAGTGACGTGAGGAACATATCTAAACGGACAACTCAAATTTAATTCGGATTTTTGGGTTCAAAAAAACTAGGACATTGAGAGGATCTACCAACGAAACAGTTTCCTTAGTTGCTGGAGCAAATTTCAAAAAATTCAAGCTTATTTAGAAAAGAAGATGTAGATTAAGCGAAGAATACAGTTAGTCCATACCTGGCGGGTGTAGAAAACGCAATTTTTTGTACTTGTGACTCATATCCTTATTTCTTACTCACTTTCAAGGGGAATTGGGGGAGGGGGGGTTCTTACCAGCAGGACAAGGTTCTGGATAAACTCTATTGATACAATAGTACCCGGGTGGACACGTGTAACACTCAGCAGCTTGGGTGCGGTTCATGTACGTTCCTGGAGAACAAGGAAGAGGACTGGCTGTGCCAACAGGACAATGATGCCCAATCCAGCAAACATCACCTGGAAAGAAAATTGTGAAAGGTTCTGTTTGTTATAGAAGCACAAACTCTCATGCCAGGTTATTTTGTTGGGGATATGAGCCTTCTGATTCCCAAACAACGTGGGACTGAGATTGGGTAGGAAAAAAATCTATTACGTTGCAACGTTGTAAAAGATAAATCAAAAGATACAAAACGTCACATATCAATTTTTTTATTTGCAGACGTAGTTCGGACCACCGTAAAAAATATATTAGCTTAAAAAGTAAGAGCTCCTTTGATTGCTCTGCATGAAAAACAGCACTAAAGGCCACTGTTGCTCAACAACAGCTACAGTACTTACCAGTAGTACCGTCTGTTGGTTCACTCACAGAGGCATTTTGTTTGCAGAAATACCCTGAGGAACAATTCCCAGTTGTTTGGTTGAGACCATCAATAGCACAATACTCTCCTGGATCACACCCCTTGCACTCTGCTTGGGAACCTAGCTGTTCTGTGGGGCCGTATGTACCTTTCTTGCAGGGGATAGTGACAGTTGTGCCAGCGGGGCAGTAATGTCTGCAGGAAAGAAAAGAGAGAAAATCTAACGCAGTTCCTTGCTATTTAGGTATAACGGTTCGTAAAGATTTTTGGATCCAATATCCAAGACTTTTTCCAAAACAATATTTTCTTTTTTCCAGACTCAAGGTTATCAAATAGGCGATCAGTGGAGCGGGAACAAAAGTCTCATGATGTGCTACAGACGTACAGGCAAGATTGAGCAAGATTTGACTAAAACGAAAAAAATTCACATTATAAAGCATTTATTGAAGCCTTAAAAAAAATACTCAATACTTTTTACCATTTTTCCAGACGCGACCTTTATTTTCCAGACCTCTTCCAGGTCTGAAAAAAATTGCTGGGCAAATTTCAAGACTTCTTCAAGAATTCAAGACTCTGTACGAACCCTGAGGTACGGCCGTGACAGACCAGGCAGTCTGCAGTGACTGTACCTCCACCTAAACTTAGTTCTAACGCGCAATTAAAATCCTTACCCAGTAGGACAAATTACACCAGTTGTTCCATCATTAGGAGAGGCATTGTCAGCACCGCCAATACAGTGAAACCCAGGTGAACAGTCATTTGTCCAGATTTCATTTCCCTCCCCTGCACAATATTTGCCGGCTGGACAACTGGTACAATCACTGACATTTTTACCATGTGTCTTGTTATTGAATGTCCCTAAAAGAAAGATTGAGGAACATAATTTTTTTAAAACCTGATGATACACGACTGCTAGTTTTGCGAACAGCTTCAAAATTTCTGATCAATATCAACTCATCCTTACACTAAAATTTATGACTTCCGGTTTTTTTGGTCTAAAAAATTAGACGTAAAGTTTAGCCGTGTTTTTATCAGATATGAAGACATTCATTAAACATTAATTTCCTTTGATTTTTTCGAAGGCTCTGTAAGTGACAAGAATAGGTAAAACCAGACTATGGTTTCAATGACATGAGCTAAAAATAACAAAAAACTTAAGGTTAAAAGATAATTGCAATGCTTCCTTCCATAGTAGATACACCATTAGCTTAATCTGTTAAGTTTCACTGTCGCACTTGGCTATTGTATCGCGGGTGTGAGGCATGACTTAATTACTAGCAGGCTATCCGTCATTTCTTTACATCCAGTGTGGCTGCACACAACATAACAATCAACATTTCTGTAAACTTGTACTCGTTCTCGGTGTTTGTTTTGTTTCCCAGAAACCGGAGGTACTGTTACAAGAAGCAAGTTCAACATTGACGAGACCACAAAGTTTTTGAATCTTACTTTTATCATCAATCATAGCTTGACCTCTTACCTGCTGGACACTTGTGTTCACGTGCAAATTTAGTTCCACTTAAGCAGTAATGACCTTTGATACATGGGCTTGGGAATTGCACGCCGTGGCTACAGTGTGTTGCATTGAGAATTGTTGCATCACAGTAAAACCCTTCAGGGCAGGTCTTGCATGATCCCTGTTGGAACTCATCTTGGTATTTTCCGCTCTCACAAGGCACCTGATAAGCACTTCCAGCCGGACAATGATGTCCTGGGGTACAGGTGTACTCTGGTGGAGTTTTTGTCTTCTGCCCACCTGGGCAGTAGTAGCCTGCATCACATGGTCCTGATGGCTGCTCCAGACCTCTCGCCCCACAGTAATACCCAGGCATGCAGGCTAGACAGCTACTTATATTTTGATTGGCAGTAGAATTTGAGTAGGTTCCCTCAGGACACTTAACTGGGTCATACGTTCCAGCAGGACAGTAGTGACCCATGGGGCAAACGCCTCCGGTAACATTATCTGTTGGAGCAGCAAATCTGGCTCCCTCTTTACAGAAGTAGCCAGCGTCACAGGGACCTGTGACATTAGACAGCTCGGCAACAGCACAATAGTGACCTGGAAGTAAGATTCAAAACAGAACAGTTTATTTCTAAGCCTTTGCTAAGAGCGAAAAAAAAAGGGACAAGTACTGATGGGGGTTACGTATCAGTGGTTGAAGCGTAAATCATCCTTGAAGGACAAACTGTTCGACTACACTTTTTGTTTTCTAAATTGGTGCTAGGAAACGAGCGGAAAAGTAACTCTTTAAAGGACGACACCATGTTAAATAGACACATCAAAAGTGGCTGGATGGTTCTGACTAGCAGTTAATTAGGTGTTTGCAAGGTAATGACCAAACCGTACTGTGACCTGAACTCTTTACTGTCTCCTACAACAAATTACCTCTCAAACATGGTGTTGGCTCACGAGAACCATTAGGACAGTAGAACCCTGGCTGGCAGACTCCTCCTGTAGTTGTATTGGGACAGAAGCATCCCATTCCAATTGAAGAATTACAGTAACCAAGGACACCCACTTCAGTTGGTTTATTAGACCACGCTCCACGTACACAGTACCAACCCCCTGCACACTCCCCACTCGGTTTTTCAAGGCCTGCTTTGTCACAGAATTTGCCTGGCAGACATGGTGTACAACCACTGCAAGAGAAAAGTATTTGACAGCAAAGTCAACAGGAACAAAAGTCCTTATAACTCGCTAAATGCACCACACGGGATTTGTCCTCCACCCTGAATAAACCATAATCTCACCATACTCTAGCTCCAATACTTAATATAGAGAATTTTCTACCAGGAGCCCAAGAAATAACCAGAATTTGTTCAAGATTTTATCATCAATGTATCATTAGTAACAGGAAATTGCAAACAGTTCACGTAAAATGTCTAGTGACTGGTGTCAATTTGTCAAACGCACATAAAGAATCCAAATATAAGCAAGAATCGTTGAGCAATAAGAACTTAAATTAAACACAATAAACTACTACCTCATGCTTTGTCGCCTTGTCTCATTATTGAAATATCCCTTGGGGCATGGATTATCAAATGGTGCCTCAGTTCCCACTGGACAATAATGTCCCACTGGACACTCCAGAACACATGCTGTTGAGTTGGATGGACAGTAGAACCCAGCACAACAAGATGTGCAGTTTGCTTGGCCAGTGCGGTCATTGTAGCTACCAGCTTCGCAACCAAGTGGATATGAGGTTCCTGCTGGACAGTAATGCCCCACTGGGCATGGTCCTCCGGACTCTGTCACACTTGGTGGGTTAGGCACCTTAGATCCCTTGTGGCAATAGAAGCCAGGGTCGCATGGTCCAGAAACATTTCTTCGTCCAAGTTCTCCGCAATAAAATCCCTCTGTGCAATTTTGACACTGATATTCATTTTCTAAGAACTGTACATTGGAGAAAGTTCCAGGTGGACAATTTTTGGGTTCGCCTGTGCCCAGTGGGCAGTAATGGCCTTCTGGGCAAGGACCAGAATCTGAGCTTGCATTAGGTGTTGCTGAATCGGCACCACGACGGCAGAAGTAGCCAGCAAAACATTCTCCAGAAACAGCAGTTGCATTCTCGTGTGCACAAAATTTACCAGAATCACAAGGGCGACAGCCTGCAAAAAGTAGATCAGGGGTCAATTTTATTAAACTTTTACAAGTGTAGCTATTGTTTTCAGAGCCTAAAAGATTGGCTACACTTGTAAACTACACTTGTAAAAGTTTTATTAAATAGATCCCAGAACAATACTTTAACATCATGTGAATACGTTGAATTACATATTGAATTGAATATTCTGAGCAGCACTTTCATTTAACCTTGACTGGCAAGCCAGTCCTATAGACGTACTATGTACTGGTTACTTGTCAACAGGTTCTACTGTGCATATCATTAACAACCTATAGTCAGAGGTCGCAATGTGCTAATCTGCTAAAAATTCAGTCGTGCTGTTCCAGGAAACAAAATTACAGTCAACTCTCGCCTTGAGGACACCCCGATAACACGGACAGCAGCTAAATCCCTGGCAAAAACAGATTAAAGACGTTTGACTGAAATAAACTCCCGCTATTACGGAATCTCGCTAATGAGGACACTAACTCGAGGTCTCTAGCGTGTCCGCTATAAAGGCAGTTGACTGTATAAGGAATAGTCGCTAAATAATCACTGGCAATGAATTTTCTGAAACGTCATAGTAAAAAACAATATCTAGTGCACTGACATCCTACACGCTTAATGTACTCTCACTTGTCGCATTTGATAATCCAGATGCATCTCCGTACGTTCCCTTTGGGCAGGGTTTCCAATCAAAGCCTGTTTTTGTTGGACAATAGAATCCTTTAGGGCATGGCTCTGGGTCTTGACTCTTGTCGTTTACACAGTAAAACCCAGCAGGACAATCAAGACATGCATCAGCAAGAGGATCCTTCATGTATGTTCCATCCTAAAGTAATCCGAATATATTGTTACACTGAGCACTTGTGTCACTAGTTGAGACAAGGGAGGGGGGAGTGGGGGAGCCTAGGCAACCACGAGGGCGGAGGAAAAGTCACTTTACAGTCGACAGATTTGCCGAGATCCAAAAATATATTTCCATTAGCAACTGATAAAAGAAAACTAATTAATGAACATGTTACAGGTCAAATTTGATTTCAGGCTAATTTTATTTTAACCAAGGTTGATTCACAGCTTCCTTTATCTCCTAGCCCTGGAAGACCAAGGAAATTGAGAATCAACCTAGGTTAACAAATATACAGGAGTATAGCGACAAGTTAAAAAGTATAGAGAAATGTTCACTATTCTCAGGCCTCAACCAACACATACCTCACATGGAATAGGTTCTGGTGTTTTTCCCGGACAATAATGTCCTGGTGTACAGTTCCCTCCAGTAATGCCATCTTGAGGAGCTGGATGCTCTGCCCTTCCTCTGCAGAAATAACGCGGCCAGCAGTCACCACTGGGCGCTACAAGTGCGCTTCCATTACAGAACAAGCCGGGTGTACAGTTTGTACATTCATAAATGTTCCTGAGGCCTAAAGAGTTGGAAAATGTCCCAGGAGGGCAACTCTCAGGAGCGATAGTGCCGCTTATGCAGAAATGGCCTTCAGGACATTCTTCACCCGTGGAACCATCGGTCGGAGTAGGTGTGTGTGAACCAAGTCGGCAGTAATAGCCTTCTTGGCAGTCTCCACTAAACGTTGGTGATGAACCTGTGAAGATATTAAGTAATTAAAAGAACGGACTACAAATCAATTGCTCTGTTTAGGAAGCGTTTTACTTATATTACCTCTTTCGATAAAACGAAGAAAATTCCCGTTAAACGTGGTCGCTAGTATCAAGGGTGAGCTCATTAGAGGCTCGAAACTGATTTACGTTTTAGCGCCTCAAACTGACGTAATATTACATTACAGAATTAGGGAGTGTGTATTGGAGGTTGGAGGCTAGGACATGGAAGTAAGGTGTGTTCTATTTGATTTGACTTTTTAAATATTGACTGTTATGACACAAATACTGATGACCCAGACGTACTCAATGCGGCCAAGAAGTAAGGACAGAAACAAATAATTCATATCAACATAACAAGTAAGAATCTCATTTGGCCAGAGAAACTGAACTCGGGACTGAAATCAAATGCCGTAAGCCAATTAGTCATACTACCACCTCCATTTTCCATCTTACCATAGCAGAATTTTCCAGGTGGACATTTGACACACTGATCAGGGTGGAAGAGCTGTGTGCCATTTCCATGAGTTCCGTTTGGACAGCCAAACTCTGTGGCATATCTCGTTCCATTGGGGCAGTAGTACCCATTTGGACATGGGTAGGGTGTGAAGTCGCTTAGGTCATCCTTACTGTCACAGTAATGACCAGCAGGGCAGGTCTTACAATAGTCTTGTTGTACTTCATCCTGGTAGGTTCCAGATGGGCAATGGACTGGCTGAGGACTTCCTTCTCGACAGAAATGCCCCTTAGTACATGACAGCCGCTTATCTATTGATTCACCAGAAGGACAGTAATATTTTGCTGAGCAAAGCGCAGTAGGCTTAGTTAATCCCCTAGTTTCACAGTATGATCCCTCCGTACAAGCGGTACAGTTGTCCTGATGGCTGTTTCCCGTGTTATTTGAGTATGTTCCTATTGGGCAAAGCTGCGGAACTTTGGTACCCTTGGGGCAATAGCGCCCTGGTGGGCAGATGTCCCCAGTGATTCCATCTGATGGTCGAGGCACCTTAGCTCCGCTAGTACAAAACCATCCTGCATCACATTCTGCAGTGACTGCATCCTTTCCTTTGCCAGCGCAGTAAAACCCTCCTGTACAAGCGGTTGGCTCATGCGAACCCTCAGGACAGAAGAAGCCTTCTTGGCATTCTCCTCCAGTAGAATTTGCAGGGCACAGACAGTCACCTGAGGTGAAGTTATCATAGTCCTGAGGTTTGTCTGTGTAAGCTGCATTGACGCAGAAATAACCAGCTGCACATGGCCCGGTGGGTCCCGAGAGCCCTGATTTATTGCAGTATTTTCCACCAGGACATGGTGAACAATCTGCCACACTCACACCCTTTGTAGCACCATTGAAATAGCCTTTGCTGCAAGGATACTGTGTAGCGTATTCAGTGCCATTGGGGCAATAATGGCCGGGTGGACAAGGATAAGGATTAAAGTCTGTGGAGTTCTCAGGACAGAAGTAACCTGCTGGGCAAGTAAAGCATGCGGCTTCTCCTTCATTGGGATTGTATGTTCCTCTTCGGCACCCTAGAGGGAATGCTGTACCAAGTTCACAGAAATGGCCCTTTGGGCAGGGTCCTCCAATGGCTGACACACTGGTTGGTCTTGCTGTGTTCGAGCCTCGTCTGCAATAAAAGCCTGGTGCGCATTTCCCTGATGAAAAGAAATGAATAAACAGAAGCACGTCAGAACCTAGACTGGACTGGAAACACAATAACTTAATGACTAAAAATGGGGTAATGAGTGATGGACATACATCGAGTCCCTGCCTACCTGTTGGTTCTGTGAGGTTTGACTGCTCACAGTAATGACCATCCGAGCATGGCGTACACTGGTCTACGCTCTCAAGCTGGGACACATTAGAAAATGTACCGTTGGGGCAGCCTATGGGTTCAGATGTTTCTACAGGACAGTATGCTCCTGGAGGGCAAACACCACCGATGCCACTGAAGTTCTGACTGGGGCGAGGAGTGTTCACCCCTGAAACACAGAAGAACCCTGGATCACAGTCACCAGATATGTTACTTGGGAACGTTTCAATTCCAGCACCACTGCAATACTTGCCAGCAGGGCAGGGATGGCACTCATTTTCACGAGCGAGACCCAACTGAAAAACATAAGTAGATACAAACTTAAAGCGAACTACAGGTAAAAAAAGATGAACGTGATCATCTGTGTTCTCTGGCAACATTACCATTGTGTAAAAGATCTGATGAATGCTGCAGTTCTGGTTTGCAAGCCCATGACAAGGCGGCTATGTGGGTGACCAATGTAAAAATATTTTTTCGAAACATTTACATAAAAAATGGAGTTCAGGTCCCAAAGGGGTTAAGTGCTACCAAACCAACATGGCTGCCCGTGACTTAACGTGCAAAACCAGCAAGCTACCTTTTTGCAAGCTTTCCTTACTATTATTATAGTGGTTTATGCCCTCAAGGGCTCTAAACTCTAATTATTACCTCAAGGAAATATGAAAAAAAAATTAACATACGTTAGTACATGTGCTTGATGTGGTCACAAGATAGATTTTGATAATTACGAAGTTTACCTGGGGATTGTATGTACCAGCGGGGCATTTTGGCTGTGATAATCCAGTTCCACCAGGACAGTAGCGACCCTTAGGACAAGGGATTGGTTTCTTGCTATCAGCTTGGGCAAAATGAGCACCATTGCAGTAAAAACGTTCCGGGCATTCTAGACATGTTTCAAGTCCTGTGACGTTGCTGAAAAACAAGCAAAGTTAAACGTTTACTCAAACGAGCTCAATTGTCAAATATGGAACAACTTTTGTGGAATTTAATTCCTATGGACCGCATCCAAGTTGAGAAGAGAAAGAAAAAGTTGTCGTGGTGTGTTCTTACAGCCTCAATAAAACGTGGCGTAGGAAAGATTTACCTGGAAGTCGTGCAGTGACGGGAAAGAAATGCACCAGAGTAAAGAGTGTGATATACGCACATAATCTTTGTTGTTTTCCTTATTAAACCTACTGCTTTTTGACGTTTTTATTGCCGTTAACGAAGCGAAGACCACTCTTCTTAACAAGCAAAGCTATTAATACTTAGTGGGTCACGGAATATATGTTATTGACCAACCTAAACTGTTAGTATACAACAACTTACAATACAATAAACTGGACTGCCATTTGATATCATGTAAAAATAACGGTAACAAATGGGAATCAGGTGCATGCCTTCTTAAAAAAATATCACTATTATCATTTTGCAACTGGAAAGGTGTGGAGATCTATAGGGATACCTGTAGGTTCCTGGCGCACAATCCTTGAATGTATCTGTTCCAGTTGGACAGTGGAACCCAGCTGGGCAAATGTTCCCAGTCACCCCATCCAAGGGTATAGGTGTAGTTGCCTTACTGACGCAATACCATCCAGCCCTGCAGATACCGTTTGGCGCTGTTAGGCCTTCGCCTGTGCAAGATTTTCCAGGGTCACAAGGGATGCATTCATCTTCTCTTTCCAGTCCTGTTCTATTGCTGTAGGTGCCATTTGGACACGGATTTTCATACGGCCGTTCACTACCAACTGGACAGAAGTAACCAGGGGGACACACACCACCATACGTTATGTTTGAAAGCAGTGAGCCATTATTCTGCAAATAAACACGGGCTTAAATGGGCGGTTCTATAGACACTTTTAGTTATTCTTAAGCTTGAAGACGCCATACGTTTACTAAGTATATTTCTGTCTAGGACATAATGCAACGAGTTTCAAAGGAATAGTTATTTATCTGCAGGAAAGCGCAGGCTTTCAACGACTGAGGTATGGTAGTTTCTTGGTGCTGCAGATGATGTTAACAAGCAATGACATGACCCAAACGATCGATTTTCAAAATGAAACACAATGAAAAGTAATTGTTTCTGCAACGCTAAGAACATTCTCTGCAACAGATAAATACACTACTGATTGCGTCAAGTTCAACACACTGATAAGAACTTACGGGTGTTGGGCTTGGGGAACGACCAGTGCAGTAATATCCAGCAAAACATTTGCCTTCAGTGGCATTCAATCCTGGCTGTTTACAAAATGACCCAGCATCACAAGGCAAGCAAGAATCGATTGTAGCTGTTCCTGTATTCGGGTTAAAGGTACCCTGCAGAAAAGAAAATTGCAACCTCAATAACGTTAATTCAGTCACCAGGCGAACTGTAGAGTCTCTCGCAAGATCTCACAAGAATGACTTGACTCTTTGCGGGAAAATTAGAACAAACAACCAAAAAATAGACTTGAGTGATGACGTCACAAAAACGTAACTTGCGAAATAACGGTATTGGCCAAAAATGGTCAAAAATCAGTGTGTTAGAAAGTGTTCGAGCAAATTGGAGGGGAGATATAATCACCGTTAAGCACTGATAGATCCATACAAATTCTTTGCAGATACGTAGGATTTACATGGGGACATCAGAACATAACGGTACTTCTTCCCCCCAATGTTGTTTAGGGTGTACGTGCATATTTCTTATGTAATTTCTTGTGTTTAACAGTATTCAACAACGCAAAAGCTCCGACTAGGTTCAGTATTCCTGTTTTCTGAATACTTACGGGTGGGCATGCTGTGGGTTTAATACTGTTTGGAGGACAATAGTGGCCTGAGAGACACGGCTTTGGAAATGTCAGCCCCATTTCATCACAGAAATTCTTCTCAGTGCAATTAGTGCACCGCTCAGCACGATCACTCTGTAGACAAAAACGTGAAAGATTAAACACAAAATGCCTGTGTTTTCAAAGCATGTTAAATAATAGCGAAAAGGAAGTGCGGAATTTTGAAACGAATACTCAACGAAATAGCAAAGTACACTCTGGAGCCAAGTCAAACTAACAAACCAGACGCTAGCACTTGCTGTGACGTAACCATTTATGAAGCTAGCCCCACTTACCCAAATATTGTCAACACACATAGTCAACATATCTCCATTGCACATTTGCGGGCTTTGCTCATTATACTGTACACCAGTATAAATGGATTATAACATTTACCAATACCTAATTTAAATTATGATATCTGAACGCGTACCTCTTGGTAAGTTCCCACAGGGCATTGGACGGGCGAAGAAGCTGCCTCACCAGAAAAGTGACCTTTGGGTGTGACAAACTGGGTTGGTGTAGATGCCCCACCAGTGCAATAATGTCCAGGGGAGCACGGGCCAGTTGGTTTGGGGTTAGTATCACCTGCACAGTAGTATCTGAAAATACAACAAAATATAAAAGCTCAACAAACCCTTTTATTGTTATGGAGACTCCTCGCAATACAGGTCTACTAGTGGAGATGATCATAACATTTCACAAAGTAAAGAGGCTAACAACAAGGTTCCTGAATTATTTTTTCGTTCACGTAACTATACTTAATTCTACACTATTCTTCATCTTTTTGTGCCATTATTACCTCATGTATTTAGTTATTTTACCAACGTTTTACTTTGAGCTTTCTTTTCAATGCAAGGTGTTCTTTATTGCTCAAAATAGTAACTCAAAATAGAACGTCCTCTTTGACATCAGCGTTTATTCACACAATATTTTTATTCAACCCCACACGGCACAATTAGCAAATTGTTGCCCTATATGATGTGTTCACATTGTCGTTTCACTTTATTTCCTGCTGCCATGTCTCCATAAAACTAACCTGTGCCAGGCTCTCAGTTAGTACGAACGTCGCGAAAATAAAACAAGAAAAACGAAAATAAGACCCGCGCGATTGGCGAGGAGGACGTTGCCCTCTTTCCCCAGCCCCCGCGCGTTTTTCGCATCACTTTTCTCTGCACGACTGCACATGGAGCCTGGATCAGGATATTCTAAAGCAAAATGGAGTACCTTCAAGTACCTACCCAGGATCACAGGTAATGCAGTCATCAGGTTCCTTATTTCCTTTGGTTCCACTGTATTTCCCCACAGGGCAGGGCTCAGGTGTCTTTGCTCCTTGTGGACAGTATCCTCCTTGGGGACAGAGACCTCCAGTAGGACTTCCCTCGGGGGGTGCCTGAGAGAAATCATCTTTACTTCAATTACCGCAAGTCAAAAAAGAAATCCTTTTCCCACTTCCTACTATCATGTTGGCACGAAAAGCTATCTGGTGTCTTAAAGACATCACCTCAGTCATTCCTTACGCGCGGAGGAATAGAGAGCTTTAGATTCTAAGACGAAAACGACTTCGAGTACGAGATTTTCTCAATAGTAAGTAGTGCTCGCGCGTGGGGCAGCGTCATTTTGGCGAGAAAAAGAGGTAGCCTTCACCATTCAACGACGACTTTTGGCGAGAGTGTCGTAGTGGCGGGAACAAGTTATCAAATGTAAGAAGTTTTACGATTTTATAATTGGGAGAGGTCTCAACCTTCTTCAATAACGATAACAGTGCTAACTTTTCTGGTGAAAAAAGTACAATGTGTGGCTCGGATAACCACTTAAAATGACAGTCCCGTCTCCAGTTGGAGGGTACTTACGTGCTTTATCATTGACACTCTAGTAAAGCGCATTTTTAACCACTTACAGAAGTATAAGCTCTGCCACTGCAATAGAAACCGGCATCACATGGGCCACTAGGTTCTCGAAGTCCATACCCAGCACAGTACTGTCCAGCAGGACATGGGGTACACTCCTCGCTTCTCTTTACGCCAGACGAGTTTCCGTAGTAACCGCTTGGGCATGGCTGTGGAATGGTAGTACCAGTGGGACAAAAGAAACCCTACAACAAGAAAAAAAGGATGTCTTTAGCATAAATACAGTGTACTCTCTCTAAGGGCGAACGCCATTGTGACCTGCAGTAAATGTTCATCTTCTGTCCCGTGTGACTAATGAAGGCTAGGGGCCCGTTTCCAGAAAGTCCTGTTAATTTACGAGTTGCAAACCCTATTGTTTTTTATTTTTTTAATCAAAACAATCTCCAAACCAGTCCACTCTGTTTTGCAAACCGTCAATTTTCTTGCATAACCGTCAAAACTCGACCTCGAACCGGATAAGACCTCGAATCTTGAATGCGCACAAAATAGCTTTCCACGCCGGGTAACTGCCAGGACGTTCTAGAAACGGGTGATAGGAAACTCTTATCAAACTAGGTTGAAGACTGGTTTGATATAAGAACGGATGCTTAGAACAAATACACTTTGAGCCTCACCTCAGGACAGTTTTTAGGAGTTGGAAGGCCTAATTCATCACAGTAGTGACCCGAGAAGCAAACACTGCAATCCTGTACCGACACCGCAGCAGAAAGCTTTCTGTAAAATCCCACTGGACACGGATGTGTAAATCTGTAACCAGTTCCCTCGGGACAGTAGTAACCGGGAGGGCAGACATCAGCCTAGAAGGGAAATAGTGATATTCAACAAACTGCTTGTGCTCTTGAACTTTGGGCAGATGTTGGGAATATTTCACGTTCTTAATCTAGGGCAAGTTTGAGTGGATTGAATTTTCTGCCTAAATGCCGCAAATCTAAAAAGAATGGCTTGCTTCCCCTTCGTTAATCTCTTGTTCAAAGAGAATCGGATGTTTTAAAGGCTCCTGGAAATAATCACGTTCGTAGGCTTGGCTTTCCTGTTGCCTTTAGAAGCGGAAGAAATCGACTCTTACAACTTTAAGGGTTATTTTTTGAATGGAAGACTTACAAATAACTCTCGGTTCAAATACGTCCCCACCAATCAATCTTTAATTTACTACGAATTACCAGCATTTTGACTCCATCCTTTGCCCCTTACCTCTTTCTCTAGTCCTTCAGGTTCACAGTAATATCCTTGTGTGCATTTAATACACTCACTGACATGTTTTCGTCCTGTATGAGGGTTGAAGGTTCCGTTTGGACACTTGATTGGGTAGGCATTCTGTTCGAGAAATCAATAATGAATGTAAGGACATTCTGTATAGAAAAACGTCTCTTGGCGGTGATTCGGGCTCCCACCTCCCAGACTGCGAACTTTTGTCCCAAGCAATTTTTTGTAGTCAGAGGGAGCCATGGTAAGCCAAGATGTATTTCAAGTATTGTCTCAAAGCTATATTCCATTGTTACAACTTAAAGACTGGGAGGTAGCTTAACTTTGGAAGTAATGATAATTCTGCCCCCAGTTTCCATATGATAGGTACTATCGCTGAACAAATCTCAGCGAAAACAATTAAAGACAGGCGGATCAATGTACGTTTCTGGAAAACTGTCCACCTACCCCTCCCCTAAGCCAACATTTTACCCCAAGTGAAAAGCACGTGTTAACATTGGCTTAGGGGCAGTTTCCCAGGAACGTATAATGATTCAGAAAGGCTTGACTGAGTTTCCAAGGCTTACCTCATCTCCCCTGAGACAGTAGTGTCCTTTAATACAAGCGTGAGTCACAAGATCCGGTTTCTGAACGGTACCAGGCGGACAGTGTGTTCCAGCGGGACAAATCTTGGTGCTTATCATAACGGACTTGCTTGTTGTTCTACTATCACAGTAGTGACCTGCCTCACATGTCGTGCATTCAAATGCGCCTGGAGCCTATAATAACACAACAACCCGAAGTTTGTATCACACAAGGAAGAGCCAGCCTCCCACGCAGATCTTCGAAGGACTTTGTCACGCATTCCTCTAGGAGACGAACGGATAACAAAGCCCTAAGAAGGCCTGACTGGGAGGCTACGACACATTAAACTTAAATCCCGCTCATCACACGCACATCCCTTGAGCATTAAGTCTGGAGAAAAGCAGATAAAGTAACATAGTACCCTTACATCCACCGGTATCATGTCAGGCATTTCTTACCGAATAGTTCCCAACTTCACAAGCAGTAAGTTCGTAGTTCGCTAGGTTGGGACAAAAATATCCTGCGACACACTGCTTGCAGCCTTCAAGTTGGTTCTAAAACAAAGAGAGATTACTCGTTATTTACACAGTAGTCTTATCTATTCCCTTCTACGTGTGATGAAAGGAAGGGTTTCCTTGCTTAGAGAAAAGCACCTCATCAGATCACTTAAGCTCTCAAGTGGCTAGAGGTATTCTTACTTGCCATTTGATGGGGCAGGTGTTACCCTGTCACCAAACCTTTCATTCTTGTACTCTAACTGGCAAATGGGAAGAGGTATATTTCACCTTTAATGCCATCAATGTAGATCCAAAAAGCAAAAAACACCCGAACCTTAGATCCCCGCTTGGGTTCATTGAAGTACCTTTTAAAAAGGGCAAGTAGCTAAATGGGCCATTTTTGCGATGATTCTGTAGCTGTCAAATGACGACTCGTTGAAGACCAACGCGCTATTTTTCCACATTTGACAGCATGTGATAATGAATGAAAGAAGGAGTGAATGAAATGTCCTGTATTAGAGGACAACAGACGTGCCCTCTTTACATTAAGCTCGGACGTCAGTATAAAATGGCGCCACTGAAAGCTGCTGTCAGTCCATTGACTGCCCCACCCAGCCCAAAACTATTTAATTTCGACTGAAACGACAAAAAAACGACTTTAAAAAATATATATTTTTTGGTGTTTACCTTTGCTCCCAGTACATCATTAAAAGTTCCCCTTGGACATTGTTTTGGTACTGATGTTCCTTGAGGGCAGTAATGACCAGTTGTACAAGGCACGCAATCCTCGACCCGTTCCAGTCCAGTCTTGTTGTTGTATGTGCCAGCCGGACAAGGAAATTCATTACCTCGTTTGGTTCCTTTTGCAGAAAAAAAAAACAAGAAAGAAATACTCTGATCGCTTAATATGTTCTCATTATTTTCAAGATGAGTCATCACCTTTGATAGACAAAATACATCTATGGCGAAAAAAGCAAATTCCAGTTCTGAATAGCCTGTGCCGCAGATGAAACTAAACTCTGGTTAAGTCCGTCTGTGAAACAGCGCCGAAATCCTTGTTCTGAGCTCTACACCATTGTACCAGGGTTTTAGTACGCGCCATCGTTTCATGTACTTAATCCAAGGCATTAGACTCAGCTCATGGAACTTTAAGTCTCTAATGGGACTAATGGCGGGGAACAGAGAGGGTAAGCTGTTTCTGTTTCCAGTAGAAATATAACACTTCGTTTAAACAGACTATCAAAAACGCACTTTCTTCGAGGACACTATTTTTCGTTTTCTAATGGAGACGTGACCGCCATTTTACGCAGTCATCCACGAAACTGGAAGGTTCCGCTGTTTGCACAGCAAAGGCAGTACCTTCATTTCTCAGTTATTTTAAGAATCTGAGTATCAGTCCGGTCCTGGGAATCGAACCGGCGACCTCTCGCTTTGCAGTCTATCCGTCTACCGACTGAACTAGTCCCGCTGTTGTAAATTTGCTTCATGAATCAGTCCACTTACCTGGCGGACAGTAATGGCCAGTAAAGCATAAATCAGTGGGCGCTGTGCTTGCCGTGAGACAGAACCAGCCCTTGGGACACTCATAACACTCTTCTTGTGACTTTAAATTCGTTAGATTGGTCCACGACCCTGCTACACAAGGGTACTGGGTGGGACTCTGGGTTTCAAGTGGGCAGTAGTGGCCTTAAAAAGCAAAGGGAAGACAACATAAGGGTTGAAATTATCATAAAAGCTTTGCTGATTTCATCTGCTTGTCTCACGATAGTCGCTCATATTAGAGGGGCTAAGTATCACGTTTACAGCTAACGAAACCGGCACAGATGGCCACGAGCCACTTTCTTATGCGTTTTAGTGCATTTGGCGTTTGCCTTAAGCCGTTATCAAATTGACAGTTATGGTTTTACAATCATGAAAAACTTGAGGAAGAACGTTTTCAGATGCACTATTGTCCGATTCAGTAGTAATTGTATAACCAAATCCGTCCTTAGCCGAAAACTTGATGCTTAACATTCCTGATGTTCGTGACATTTCGACTGCTATGTGCTAGTCTGAAGACCATGTTGTCAAATAACAGCCCCACATGCGCAACAGGCAACCCCGCAGAGCGCTTTCATAGGCAAAGTGCAGCCGCTGACTTAGCACGATAATCTCCATGGTAACTTCGCCAGGTTTCATTACCCACATTACCTTTTGCGCATTCTTGTGGGGGTTTCTGCTTGCCTCCGGTACCCGCCTCACATGACTGTCTTTCTGGGCATGATGTGCACTCTCTTGCATGTGTCAAGTCATGTCGGTCAGTGTACGTTCCTGCTGGACATGCGTGGATGGTCTCATTAGGTAATGATGACCCCGCTGGACAGTAATACCCTGCATCACATTTTACTGGTGGCCATGTTAGACCTGCATGAGGGCACGCCATGCCTGAGATACATGATCGACAGTCTGCCTGTGATTCTCTACGAATCAAGGGGTTGTAGGAACCCTTTGGGCAGGCCACGGGCTCTTGCGTTCCTGCTGTACAGTAGTAGCCGGGAGGACAATCTTTACAATCCAACTGACCTAAGAGAAGTGATTAAAAGACCGTCAGAAAACGCTGCATGATTCTACTTACCTTTAAATTATGTACTACACCACTATAAGAGCAAACAGTAACCTTATTTACATTAACTCTTGTTTGCAGCTAGCCTTGAATCTGTGAAAGCTGTGCGAGGTGCCTCTTTACAAAGGAAAGCTTACTTTTCGCACACCTGACAATGGTAACCAATAACTCTTGTTCAAATTCGTATAAAAACTTACGAGGGTAAAAACTCTCACATAAGGGGAGCTTTATACTTACTAGACAAAGCACTTAAATCAAAATTTCGCACAAAAAAAACAAACAGTACTAGTTTTATTTTATTTTCAGGAAAGCACACGCTAAAAAATGCAGCAAAATCAGCTTAAGACAAGTAAGAATTGAAAAAAGGAAATATATCGCCTCAAACATGAGCCCTCATTGTCCCTTTAAGACCCAGCATCAACATGCATCTTCTCCACACTGTTCTTCATACGTTTCTTATGGTACTGCTTGAGAGAATTTGTTCTAATATCACAACATCTTATCTTTGGTGATCATTTCATTCATTCTCATTACCTGTCTGTTTGATCAGGCAGTGTTATTGTTGGGAGAAACTGGATGTGGGTCACCATCGGGGCTTAAAGGGTTATTGCGGGAGTCACCCAATAGAAATGGCAACAAAATAAGATTGCACAAATCAAAAAGCGCCTGAAAAAACTTACTTTGTGCCCCCTGTTCCTCCGTGTACGTCCCGGCAGTGCATGGGTGAGCATTAGCAGCAACAGTCTTATCTCCACAGTAATGTCCTGCGGGGCACAATCTGTCCCCAGTCTGATCACCGGCAGGACAGTAGTAACCAGGAAGGCAGTCAAGACACTGGTCTTGTCGTTCCAGTCCAATTTCTTTGTTGAAGGTGCCAGCTAAACAGGGGTGTTCAAATTGAGTTTGGGTGCCTTCAGTGCACCAGTGACCAGGTGGGCACTTTAATCTGCACAACGGTAAATCTTCATTAGTATCAAATATGAAGTTTTCAAGGCGGCCAAATAGCTTTATAAAGTGGTATCTATCATTGGCCTCCCCATCATTTTAACTTTGTAAGCGGATAAACAACAAAAATTCCCTCGTCTAGGTATTGAGCAGGTAAATTCCCGTGCAATAAGGAAACCATGGAATACCATTGGTTGATTCATGGTCACGTGGCCTTGATTAAATTCAAATTTACCTTGAGCAGGATACAATTCAGTAATTCCCCAAAAGGGTTACAGCAGCACGTGATTAAAGCATGGTGGAAAGTGGCGTGAAAAATTAAGGAAGGAAATAAACTGCCAGCTTTCACTTTTGCGGATGAAGAGTCTCGGGAAATATCAGGACTCTTGGGGTAAAAAAGGATCAGTTTAGGTTTCTAGGAAACTGCACACCTACCCGTCCCTTAACCCAACATTTTACCCCAAGTGAGACGCAAATGTTAACGTCGAGTTAGGGGAGGGGTAGGTGGGCAGTTTCCTAGAAACCTAGATTGCTCCGAAAGAAATGACTGTTTTCCATGGGACCTAAGTGTATATTAACAAACGTCAGAATTGTGAGAAGGTAAGAGTAAGGGTGAGCGAGACAAATAGCTCTACCTTAAAATAAGCAGGGTCAATTGAATATTTTATATTATAGCATCAAAGACAAACAAACCTGTGGCTGGGGTAGCCTCTTGTTCCCGCTGGGCAGTAATATCCAGCAGGGCATGCGGGACACCCTGCTGCTTGACTCGCAGCACCAGTTACATTGCCAAATGTACCTGACGGGCAGGGATCTTCCATGAGCCCATCGGGGCAGAAATATCCCATGGGACATAACCCAGATGGGGGTCTTGGAGTGATATCAGAGCCCTTGCAAGCATATCCAGCATCACATTCTGTGCAGATGATGGCCGATTTGTTGCTGTATCGACCAGCAGGGCACGGTAAAGGAACGGAGCCTTTCATGCTGGTTTGACAGTAATGACCAGCTGGGCAGTCTATACAGCTCGTCGCAAAACCCAAGCTGTAAGAACCGTCTGGACAATCAATTGGCGAGGCTGTTATGTTTGGACAGAACGAACCGGCTGGACAAGGAGTACAGACCTGCAAACACAAGGCGAAAAGTACATTCAGCCACCTTTTACAAAGAAATAGGAACCCTTTCCCCGATGTCAGGATGAAGTGGTTAACAATCAGAGAGTGGTGTGGGCTGAAGACTTCAATACCCTGTAACATCGACTTTTTTCTTAGTAACTTGCTACATAATTTTCGTACAATACTCCCCTCCTTGGTATACAGGTTATCATCAGTTCTCTACATTACACCTTTTTATACGACTTTTTTTTTTTTTTTTGCTAAATTTTTTATTGAATTAAAGACGAGTTTTACAATGTTACTTAAGAATAAACATTAATTAAATGAATATTTATTTTCTATAAAGCGTTCACATCGAAAATTTCGACTTGTGCCAATTGCCTTTTGTCGTCCTCGGACTAAACAGTGGCAATTGATTCCATTATACAAACCTTGTTCATACCTCTTCATACAGTAAGTTTCTCATTTATAGAATCCCTTTTTTTGCTATTTTAGTACGGGCACGTAACATACTACTTTCGAAGCTGAAAGACTCAATCTAGACAATAAAGTAGCAAGCGTTTTTCGTTTAAAGTATTCTGTGAGATGTTAACAAAATTTCCCTCCATCCAAGTAGGTATGTTGTACAGTATTAAGAGAGTTGATAAAAACAACATTTATAACACAGCAAGTTAGTTTCTAAGGAAATAAAGGTGCTAATACACTAAGGGAGTTGGACATACGTAGTCAACGATTTAAAAATGGAATTACAGATTACAAGGCAAGCACTTGATGTCATTTGACTTATTTTGACAGCTGCTTTGAACGAAGCTTGAGAGTTACGTACCGCTATTAGTATCCGTTTATTAACAATTGACCTGTTTATTAAGTTAATCTCTTTTATATTAATTCGCTGCAGTAGTTAGATTTTATCATTAATACTCACACCAGATTTGGGAGGAGCATAAGAACTACTACCATTTAATCCCCCACTTTGCTGCTAGCAAAATAAAAAGTAGCATTTAAACAGATTATATTAGGTTAATCTAAAGCTTTAACCAAATTTACGAGTTTTTTTACAAAATAAACAACATTAAAAGATGTTGATTAACAACAATTAACAACATTACAAGTGGGTAAAAAACAAATAGCTTGAAAAATAACTACAAGGAATTAACAAAACAATGTAAAACCCATATTCGCAAATTACAAATCAAATAATTGGCAATTAATCTAATTATTTAATTGTAATCGCTAAATAAAAAGAACCTGGAGTTACGAACAGTTTGTTTATCACATGTTGAGCTTAATATAAATATTGATTAATAAGTACGACTTAGTTATCTTGATTTGTGACGTATGCGTTATAGCTTTAGATAATCAATTGACAACGGATGATTGACATATGACCGTGGATTAAGAGACGACTTACGATCCATGATTTATGATAATAATTTATGATTTATGACAACAAGACTTATGAGTTATGATTTTGAATAAACTTATGGTGATTTCATGAAAACAATCTGACTATGAATTATATGAGTTAATGATTTTTATGATTTATGGCGTAAAACATGAATGGTGAAACAATGGTTGTTTAAAGGCCGAAAAATGACTGTGAGATAAAGTTGAATTTAACTGATATTTCTGCACTTTATAAAGTTCAATGAATGACGGTCAAGATATGACTTAATGTTAATAGACCAATTGATTTACGATTTTAATTTATGATTTACGAACCTTCATGATTTACACTACAAGAGACGACAAACGTTTTTGGTACGCCGGGGCTACCCCTATTCACAAACAATTCACACCCGTTTTCAGACCTGGCCTCTAAAATCCATACGCGTTTTCGGACCTGGCCTCTAAGAATTAATGTCATCATTACTTAGATTAGAACAGCAACAAAAAAGATTGTTTAAAATCCATTTCGAATGAAGATTTATACGCCCAGGACTAACAAGCGGAGGTTTAGGGTAGTTCTGATAGTGACTATCATCTGATGATGGTGGTAAACTCCAGTTGTTGACCTCACAGGTCAATGAAGTCGCGATGCTGTCTGGTTAAACCTTGATTTTATTGTTGGCCATACCTGAGAATTCCCAAGTGTGTAATACCCTGCGGAGCACTGCACTTGAAAGTCGTCTGTCTTTGATGGGCAGGCATATCCTGCAGGGCATGGTGTACAATCTTGTTGTCCTCCCTTGCTGTACGTACCATCTGCACATTCAGTCTCTGTATTTGATGTTGTGCTGGGACAGCGATACCCTGGCGGACACTTGGTGCAATACTGGAAACAAAAAACACGTTTCCAACTGTTGTCGAGAGAATGTTTGCTTTAATGACATGTTTCTGTTTAGACAGACTAAATAAATAGTAGGCGTTTTAAAAGCTGTTACATCCTGTTTCAATGAAGGTGACAAAAGAATTTTTTGTCCTAAAATAGCCTCTGCTATTGTTGATAATTAAAAGAAAAAAAGAAAAAAATCAAAAAGGGATCAAACTAAAACCTGAGATCAGGCTTCGAAGTGATTTTACGACACATATTTTGTAGTTTAGCCTGAGTGGCAGGTGTCGAGAAAGAAGGGGGTTTCCTACGCGGGAGAAGCGCGAAGGCCGCACGAAACGTCTCCCTTGCGCGTGCACTCGTGTACCCGAATTCCCTTCCACTTCCCTTTTGAACGCCTGCCACACAAGCTATTGTACTTCCATGAATGTTTCTATTTATGCACGTAATCACGTAAAATTCAATTATGTCGCCCTGATGCAATCTGTATTTGAATATTATTGTGTCGTATGGTACCACGCCTTGCCATTTATTCTCTTTTTTTCTATTAGAATCGTTTTGAAACTGTTTGTAATTCGATATTATCATCATTATTGTAACCCAATCCCTGATTTTTATATGATTTGCTTGTGACCTCAGTTTTTAAAACTCTTGTAACAACATTGTAATTCATTAATTTGCGATGATGTTGAGATTAAACCTTGCTTACTTACTTGCTTACTTATTATAATGGCATGGCGGTCCACCGTTCGAGCCGTAGCCGCAGAAAACAAACAAACAAACAAAGGCAAAAACAAGACATACCGTTTGTGATCCAACTGAATATTCTCCTGGTGAACAGGTTACAGTTTGGTTGGTATCTGTGTATGGACAAGCCTCCCCGGGAGGACACGGAGTACAAACTGTTTGACTACCAACTGAGTAGGATCCCTGGAGACAAAGAAAAGGACAAAGATATAATTAGTACAGTTCTGTTCATTAATGGCAGCATGACATTTACTTCATGTAATAGTATTAATCTGTCCTATGTTCACTATCTTTACCAGTGTTACCATCCTAATTGTGTCAATAACAAAATGCTTGAATCTGATTGGTTCTGAAGAGCCCATATTCATAGCCTAATTTTGCTTTTGTAACTCCAAAACTGTCCGATTTGACCTGTCCGATTACCGGGAGCTTGTAATCGGACAGGTCAAATCGGACAGTTAAAGAACCAATGAAAATCAAGTTCCAAACGCCACTAGGCAATGAAATTTAACTACATAGCGCATGATAACCAATCAAAATCAATGAAAAAATAGTGACCAGGTAAGCTGTCCAGGTTCAATTGGAAAAGAAAAATGGATGAAACTAACTGGTCCAGTGACAATTATTCCGATTTTTTCTTTAGGCTTTGACAGCTTGTTACTCGAAAAAAAGTTCATCATGCGGTCAGGCTAGCTTCCACATTCTGGAAAATTTCATCCAAAGTTGTAACCGATCATGTTTTTGCTTTGGAATCTTTCTCTTACATTAATAAATATTCTAAGACTAAGATTCCCGCATTTTGTTGTTGAAACAACCAATTGGTAATATGACTTCGTGCCGTGCAATTCAAGGGTACTCCCTGAACTGTACTTCACTCAGTCCTTTTGCCATTACCAATCGAAGTAATAATACCAATATCATCATCTCCATCAGAGTCCCCAAGGCCATTATCCACATCACGAGCGATGAGCATCATCATCTGTACTTAAGCTATAACTAGTGCCATTCTCCAACACTGTCACTGTGAAAGCGGTAAGGGGTTGAGTCGTCAAAATTCCAAGATGAACCTGTCATTGCTGATTCACTACTGCCATCGTCAATAGCATCAGATTTTTATTTGTCGTCATTTTGAACATCACCGTAATTTACAATTACATCATCAGTACTATCATCATCCTCGTCGTCCGTCGACATCATAATCATCATCACCATTATCATCATCGTCATTATCATCCCACAGTACTATTGTTATAACACCCGCCCTCAATATCAACACCAACATTACCATAACCAAAAGTTAGGTTGTTGTTTGAAATCGTTTGGGTCAACGTCATCCTCAATAGGACTGTTGTTCCATAACAAAAGTGACTGACGTTTGATCAACCTGTGAACGTAGTCCTTCAGAATAAGGACTGTTCACGTTGTTGATTGTATTATACTGACTGACGTTTCGACAACCTGTGCGGTAGTTAGTGAGTTATTATTATTATTATTATTATTATTATTGTTATTATTATTATTATTATTATTATTATTATTATCTTAACCATTTTGATAATCACCAGACTCGTCATAGGTTTGTTAACACGAAAATTAAAAATAAACAATTTAACAAAAATGACCTCTACTCTGCTACACAATGTGGAAAAACGACATACATACCGGTAGACATTTAACATTTCCAGTTCCATCCTTATTTGGGCATTTCCAGCCCTTTGGGCAAGGAGTACACTGCTCCTGACGACCATATGAGAATGTGCCACCAGGGCAGTCTGTCACCGTGGCAACAGTTGTTGATGGACAGAACTTTCCTTCTGGACAGACAGTACAGGCCTGCGCTTTTCCAACAGAGTACGTTCCTAAAAAACGTAAGAAAGAAGTTTGAAGGAAGGTTTATGAAGGAAACATTTACTATTGGCTGGGTGAAGACTCTTCATCAATTAACTCCAATGTCTTTTGCCTAGAGGCACTTAGTGTAAATCACGTCACGTACACCATATTGGTGTCCCAAAACATGGAACAGCGGCTACGTCGGTGTTCCAAACCAATCCTGTGGGGGTTGAACCCGTGAATGGGTCATTAATATATGTATCTTTGTGGCTATTAATACTGTTTATCCGAAGTCCTTCAACGATATGTTTTCTGTAATTTGCTAAGTTTTCGTTAGATCACTGCTGCATATTTGCCAAGACCCTCCCGGAGTTTGCTTAGTGACACAAAGAAGGATGGTTACAAGGAAACCAACCCTAGAAGAATCTTAGAGTCATCGGCCAAACATTTTCTTTAGTTTCAATAAATTTGCATAGAGGCTGGTCACGTGGGTGAAAATTCACTCACGACATGGGGCAGAAAGGTCGACGACTCTAAGATTCTTGTAGGGTTGGGTTCCTTGTAACCATCCTTCCTTGTGTGACTAGCGAAACTTCGGGAGGGTCTTGGCAAATATGCAGCAGAGATCTAACGAAAACTTAGCAAATTTCAGAAAAAATATCTTTGAAGGACTTCGAATAAACAGTATTAAAAGCGAAGCCACAAAGATACATATATCAATGACCCATTCACGGGTTAAGATGAACTCAACAAATTGGCCTACTCCCAATTTACGGGTCTTTATAGCTCAGATGGTAGAACACTGCAGCGCTAACACAGAGGCCATGGGTTTGAATCCCGTTGAAGTTAATTTGCAATTGCTTAAATTGCAATTACTACTGCGACGATCATATTTCAATTCAAATCTGTGTTTCCGCAGTTCACGTCATCTTCATTAATAGAAAAGGTTGCTTAAAACTGATCTGCAGATTGTAAACATTTTTTTAAGACCTTTTACCGAGAATTCATGATCAGAACAGAGGATTTCTGGATCTGTTATAGTTCCATTTTATCTTTGATTTGAGCTTTATTTACCTTTGTTTAAACTCGTTTCCATACATTTCAGTTCTCAAGGAAACTAAAATTAAGACCACCGATTAAATTCAACTACAACAGTTCCACAGAACAAAGCTTCTCCAAAACAAAACAAAAGCACAAACCTGGCACGCATTGACTTGTAGGTCCTTGTTGAGTTGATGGACACTCGGAACCTGCTGGACAGTCAGTGCAATTCACACTCCCAGTAACAGCATACTGACCAGGGTCACACGGGATTGGATAAGCCTGCGGAAACACACAACGAAAAACACGTTTCACATCATGTTACACACAACTATAGCACCCAAAGACGATGCAAAACACAAAACCGATATCACAGTTTTTATTTCGATACGCATTTGGAATTGGATATTGTTATTTATGCATGGTCAGCCTAGGAGATAAATCATTAGAATTACATTGTATCTACTAGTTAGTCACTTACGTCAGTCGTTGGGCATTTATTACCAGCTGGGCAAGGCCAACAACGCACTGATTTTCCAACACTGTATGAGCCATTCAGACAGGCTGCCGCATTTGACCTAAAAGAAAGACAACAGGAAAGCTATTGATTAAAGTAACTGATACTTTTGTGTGGTGAGGCATATTCTTTTGCAGGCTGCATGAGCGATGAGGCCGTTACCTTCAATATTTTGAGTTTCGTGTTGCATGCAGTCTCGCTCTGCAAACTATGATATTTACGTAGTTGTTTCTCAGCTGTTTTGAGTTTAATCCGCGCTGGTATATACTGGGATCATAATACGTTTCTGGGAAACTGCCCACCTACCTAAGCCAACACTAACACTTACTTCTCACTTGGGTCAAAATGTTGGCTTAGGGGAGGGGTAGGTGGGCAGTTTCCCAGAAACGTACAATGATCCCGATACTTGACGTCATAAGTGGCATAAGATTGTTGTGTTTCATTCCCTGTTATAACTTAATGGTAATGGTAATGGCCCTTATTTTACGTCGGTAGCTCGTAAAAGTACACATTACACTGATAAACCTGAGGCCAACGGTACGCTCTTTTCACCCCCTCGCTCCATCAGTGCTCCGCTTCACGGGTATTTAAAGCTACTTACTGCAGGAATCGAACTAGGAATGTCCCGTACAGAAGGCCGTGCACTAATCGACTGTGCTAAGTCTTGCCCCAGTGTTTCAGTCCTAACTCCTTTTGAGAGTATAGCAGAGTCAAACTTTCTTCTTTCAAATTCATTGTAAAGCCAGTACTCAAGGGCGAGTAGGTAGGGCGAATACGTAAAGAAAAAAACACTCACTCTGGATTAGGGCAACGAAACCCTGCAGGACAATCAGTGCAATTCTCTTTCCCTGTCTCGCCAAACGTGTAAGTGCCAAGTGTACAGCGAACAGCTCTCTGCGTGGGTGATGGACACATGTAACCAATGGGGCACACTGTACAGTTGGCCTGGCCGCGAACAGAGAAGCTTCCTGCTGCACAAGGAGCAATAGGAGAGCTGGGAGTTGGACAACTGTACCCAGCAGGACAGTGCTTGCAAGATGTGGCACCCTGTTAGTGAGATATAATTACACCGTTAAGGGTTTACCTGAATTTCATTTTCTTGATTACGTTCTCGAGAGTACTTACAGTTAAAAAAGATAATACTTGAAAATATATTTAGGCCTATTTACACAGGCGATTTTGGGGCACGATTTAAATTTGCCTGCTGTCAACTCACCTAACACTGGTTAACTTGCCTTCTGCAATAGTTGAGGATGTCTAACCGACAATGTTGTTAAAAAAGAATGTTAAAATCGGTCCTCATTGAAGCATCGAGTATTTTATTTTATTATTAACTGGTATTTTGAACGCGTGCCATGAATCAAAGAACGAGAGAAAACGGCACGCTAACCAAAATGAAAATGCTTATGTTGATGCCCAGGCGGACTACTTCCAGAGAAATGGTTAGAAAGGATCAAAATATATTATCTTGTATTGGTTACGGAAACAATTATCAAAACAATAAAAGTAGACTTATACTTACAACTTCACTGTAGGTACCAATGGAACAGTGTTTTGGAGCCTGCGCAGGGTCACTACAAGCTTGTCCTGCTTGACACTGTGTGCAGGAGGCGTTTCCTTGAAGGGAGAAATACCCAGGCATGCAAGGTACCGGTGGCTGAGTGTTGTTTGCACAGCTATAACCAGCAGGACAAGGAACACATCGAGGAATCTGTACCCATCAAGATAAAAAAAGGAATGAAGATTGCTTTGGAAGTGTCAAGTCACGAAAAAAGTCAAGCTTCTAGGAGAAAAATGTCACGTTTTCAGGCACTACTTGCGATTAGGAAATGTTGTTTAATTCTCAACAAGAGGCAACCCCTTGTAAAGTATCCCCTGGTAGAAATCTCGAGTTTGCCTTCTACTTGTTTATAAGTAGACAACACAGACCAGACAATGCAGTTAGGCTAATAGAACCGGGGTAATCTAATTGACTTGAATCCTGAGTGAAGTAGTCAGGGTTCCAATTAAGTGCCAGCAGCAGGCTAAAAAACTGGCTACTTGGAGGTTTGAGCTGTCTACTTTTTGGAGAAATAGAAAGTGAGACAGTGAAGCCTGAAATTGCCAACAGCACTCAATAACCAAGCCACCTTCTTTATCATCCTAGCTGTCTATTTTAATGAGACCATGCAGTAGTGTGACGTTTCACAAACAGTAACATCAAAGTTAGCTTTTCACCTACCCGTTCTGAGGGCTTTATCACGCATTTGAGAAAAAACACGCGTGACGGGCCCCAAGAACATCTCAGGGTAGACTACTTGACATGATGATCACCATTTGATCAAATAGGTTTTGTGGACAAGCTTAAGAACAGGACCTCCATTCCTACCTCACCACCATTGTTCCAGTACTCTGTAGAGGAACAAGGAACAGGGGACTCGCTGGGGTCATTGCATGTGTGCCCTGCTGGGCAAGGGGAGCAAAAAGATGCCCCTGTACTTGAATGTGTCCCCAGGGGACATGCATGACAAATTCCAACTCCTGGTGGACTGTAAGTTCCGGGATTGCACTCAGTTGGGGGTATTGGATCAGAGCCATTCATGCAGGATCGTCCTGCGGGACAGATGTCACACACTGATGCGGCACCAAGACTGTATCTTCCATCTGGGCATTTCTGTTTGAAGGAAACAAGACCGAAAATTACTTGGCAGAACATTAAACACGAACCATGAATCATCTCTATACATTTTAACTTTTGAGTCTGTGGAAGAAATCTTATAGTATGACCATTCAAATGAAAGCTCTTTGACAGCTCTTCCGCATGGCACTATTTGTTTTGCAGCATGTTACAAAATAAAATGTAGAATTGTGTTCAACTTTGACCCTGACATTTCTGGTAATAAAGGAATTAGAACAAAATTGAGAAATTCGCCTACCGTGCACGTTGTTTGTCCAGCAATACTGTATTCTCCTCTGGCACAAGGAACAGGGGTGTTTGAAGGGTTCAAACAAGAATGTCCTGCATCGCAAGCTTTACAAGAAACTGATCCAGTCTCATTGGCATAGGTGCCTTGAGGGCAAGGTTGAGGAACATTCAGTGGTGATGGACAGTAATGGCCAATGTCGCAGGGGAGGCATTGTGACCCATTGCTATATGTACCAACCTACAAAGAATAAAACGTTTAGCCATGCAGTAAAAAGATCATTGATAAAACAAAAATACTACCAATATTCCAGTCCTGTACAAAAATGTTAACACGAGTGTGTCTTATTTCAAAGTAGACACAAAAGCATCTTAAAACCCTGTCAACAGCAACAATAACCATACTTACAGCACATGTCACTGGCGGAAGCGTAGGATCAGAACAGATCTTTCCAGCAGGGCATGAAAGACATTCAGCTGAAGCCTCTGGTGAATACTGAAACAAATAAAACGCACTTCACCGCAGGTCTATGCACATGAAAAGAATGGTGATTAAATGAATTAACAGCTGCGCGATATGGATGAAATCGTGCCAACGGTGCAATAATGACAATGTAGGGACTGTTATCATAGACAGGGACAACAATAATGGATGGTCGCAGTGATGATGATGGTGATGATGTTGATGGTGGGGGTGGTGATGATGATGATGATATGATGGTGATGACGACGATGACGACAATGATGATGATACTGATAATGGTAATGATAATGATAAATAGCTTCAACATTTTGTCTGACGAAGTAGCCACATCAGTTGTGCTAGTAGCTATAACATTTTCCAGCATTCACACAAGATGATAAAAAGATTACAACGCCCCCAAATACGACGTGAGACAAGACGAACACAAGAACTGCCACGTGACAGAACATATTCCAAACAGGCCAAAGAGCAGGTTTTACCTGACTAAAGAGACATGCCACTGGTAGGCTATCTCTTAGTGGGCAGCGGCTTCCCGCAGGACAGGGCTGACAGGAATGTGATGCATTGTCTACTGTGTAGTACCCTGGAGCACACTGAAACAGAAAAAAGGAAAATATATTGGAAAAAATTATTGGAAATGGTAGAATTACATTTTAGTTTACCCACTAAAACAGTATCTACCTTGTGACATTACAAGATGCACAAAATATATAAATAAAAGGATATTACACTGTTTGATTAATATTTTGGCTAAGGAAAATATAAGAGAACAATAAAGCCCTTATGCCTGTGTTTAAGCAAACAATACAAGGTTGTGCTCTATGGAAAATTAAAGGGAGCACAGAGCTCAAAACCTGTAGAATCTAGGGTGCCCAACATACGATTTGTATGAAAAAAGTAAGATTTTCCAGTTGCTCAAGAGCAAAAGTTAGACGCCAGGGGCCACCAGGCTCAGCTAGAGCACAGCCCTGTATATATGAGCACTTAAGTCAGTGCATGCCGATAAACTGCACAAGTCAAAATACCTGTATATGTTAACTGTCAAGCACAGAGTAAGGTGCATTTACTTTACCTGAGTGCAGGTAGTTTGTCCTTTTGCTGAACTGAAATAACCTGGAGGACATGCTTCAGGGGAATCAGTGGTCGTCGGGCATCGATAACCTGTAATTCACGCAGGCACACAGGTAAGTTGGTTTGAATTCACATGGGAGGCCAACTAAGCCCGGCAACAAGCAGGGCCATATTAGTTGGTTTGTATGAATTGAAGGTGAGCGCATGCTCAAAAAAAAGGAGGACAAACTCGGGGACAATTTAACTGGTAGGGGGGAAATAGGAAGGAAAAAGAAGGTCGTTAGAAAGGAAAAGTTGGCTGGATGACAATCTTATACCATGATCCAGCTCTGTCTAATGCTGAAAAGTGAGATGTGGGAGATCTGGGTATGAGATTAGCTAGGTAATAGGTAGGTAGGCAAGAAGAATCACTAGGTAACGTAAAAACAACAAACTTCATACCTCGATCACACTCTTTACAACTATCTGACTTTGTTTCATTTGCATAAAATCCTGAGGTACATGGTTGAGGGCTACTATTGATGAGCAATGGACAATAAAATCCTACAGGGCATTCAGTACAAGACACACTTCCTTCTGAGGAAAAGTACCCTCTGCCACAGGCTACAGGGGCGTCACTCTTCACAGCACAACTGGTAAAAAACAGAATATAACAAAGTCACAACATTTTCTAAATAATAGGATCCTGCAGGAGAATCAGAAGCAAATGAAAGCATTGGTGAATTTATGCACCTTAAGTCAAGTGAGAGCAGGCAAAACGTTTTTGATAAAGTGTACATATTTGCGTGCATTAAAACTTCATCACACTTTTTTCAACTTATTTAATATTTCTGGCGTTGAGTTTTCGGGATCGAAGACGTTTTGCGTCGTAAACTGAGCAGTGACGCTAAAGAAATGTTCCAAAAAGTGTGACGCACGTACTAAGTTTTTGTTTTCTTATTGAGTCTACCAGTGTTTGAGAGTCTTGTTGACACCGAAGTCGTGGCAATGAACAAACGACAAACTTCTCCTCAAACAATCTTTATGTTACTGTGCTGTGCAGAGGAAATTAGAGCGAAATTCACCTAATTTTATCTTTTATTTCCGACAAAAGTTCACCGAAGTTGCACAAGTAAAGAACCAATTTTCGACCACACATTCTCAGTGGATTGCAGTGCAGTTAAACTGTATCCATGCCAGCTAATACATATGAACGAATACAACAACGTATGGATGTAAAGTTGGCAAAAACAGTGACCTCGACATCTCACCTATGACCTTCTGGGCATAAAATACAAAAAAGAGAACCGGTTGAGTTGCTGTACGTTCCATTTGGGCATTCTTCTTGTGCCTCCAAACCAGCGTTAGGGCACCTGAATCCGGCATCGCATTGCTTACAATCGCTCAGTCCTTCGACGTCAGAATACGTGCCATTGGCACAAATAAAGAACGTTGACAATCCGTTATTCGGGCATTGCGCTCCTTTGGGGCATGGACGGCAAACTCTGCTCCCGGATGTAGAATATGTGCCGGCCTGGCATTCCGTTGTATCGTTTCTATAACAACTGAAATTTCCAGGAAAGAGTGTTCAGGACACATTTTAAAAAATAATGTTCTCACGTATGTTCTGAAGAGGTGTATGGTGCTTGAATGCTGCTGCTTCTCTACCGAATGGTGTCATTGATGAAGGTAACTTAGAATGCAGTGAAGAACATTGTGGTGCAGTAACAACTTTCACGTATGTGCTAGACAAACGTCTGGTGCTTAATAGTTACAATTACTGGTTTTAATAGTGCTTATTGTAAAACACTGTGGTGCAGTAACAACTTTCATGTATGTGCTAGACAAACCTCTGGTGCTTAATAGTTACAATTACTGGTTTTAATAGTGCTTATTGTAAAACACTGTGGTGTAGTAACAACTTTCACATATGTACTAAGACGGATGTCTGGTGCTAATAGTTACAATTGCTGGTTCTAATAGTGCTTATTGTAAAACGTGCTTAATTAATTGCTGCAGTAAAGTAATAGTTAGCATCGCTTACAAATACCACCACATTAAGTGTGAAGCCATTTCCTGTGCTATTAACATGAACCGTTTCTTACGTGCAATTAAAAGTTATATTATAACTGTAATAATCAAAGGTTACAAAGTGCGTTCGACCGATCTTGACGATGTCATTTGCCCCAGAAAAAATTTGCGGAGATGCCAGATCTGTGTCTGAGGATCCTTTCATTCAATCAACGATAGTTTTCCATCAGCAGTCTCATAGTCCACTCTGTATTAAGGATGCGTTCGGAGTCCAACCCAACAAAGTACTGGATCTTATTCGCGCTATGATTGGCCATTGCCAGTGATGATTTGGGATTTAGAAAAACGGCTGCCGTCAAAGTAATATAGTTTTCCTTGTTCCGTCCGAAAAAGCGCACAACTTTATTCAGTGAAACACACAACTACGGCTAGTGCACGTCCTTACCACATGACGTCATCTGTGACCGACATATGGGAAAATGGAATCTACTCAAGATTCATCATTACATTATTTATACGCGTTCTACTTTTTATAGCATTAAATAGCCTTAAAATGGATTTTTATATCTACCACGGTGCACCAAAAGCATTTTATGCAAGAAAGAACAATGCACAAGTTCTCCTCTCTATTCCCCATCGATACAACAACAAATCTTACACAATACTGCTTTCAGCAACCCTCCAAGTTAAAGTTTTTGCTCGGTCGCCATTTGGCAACCAACTCTTTTGGTTTGGGAAGACTTTTTTTACAAATCAAGTCGTCAGCTGCAAAATTTTAGGCGCCATGGCGACTAAAATGGTCGCAACTTGGAGGATTGTTTCAGTTAGATGCAGCTAAGAGCGTGAAAGCGAGCCTTATTTTTTAAACAATATCTTATAAGAATTTGACGCCTTATGCGCAAAGAAACGCGAAGAGGCAAGGTAAAGTAAGGTACTACAAGCATGTACATGAATACAGAATGATAGAGGGGAAAAGTTAAGTTTTAAGAAAGTCGACTTTCATTCACTTATAAATCTAGTTAATAAAGTATCCTGCAAGTTGCTGAAAGACAATATCACACATTTGAAGTGTTAATAGGCTGATTTAGCAAAAGAACGGGAACCTCAGTAGACGTCGGCGCGCGCAAATTAAGCAACTGGCTTGTCCAATGGCAGAGCAGCAAATTGGGCACCGTAAGTCGTGTTTAGTCCTTTCCGCGTGCTTTCCCGTCGTCAACTGACGTTCCCGTCCTGTTGCTAAATCAGCCTAATACTGTCCTCAGGGGGATGGGGAAGGTATACCTAAGTGTTCTCCTGTTTCTGGGGGGAGCGGGGAGGGGGGTCTTATGGCAAAAGAGATATCTTCTCTATCGTTATCTTAAGAAGTGCATGTAATTATCTGGTACAAAAACCTCACCTGAACCCAGCTGGGCACAATATACAATTTAGTGAACCCGTCGTGTTGCTAATAGTTCCGTTAGGACATACTTCCGGTGCTTCCATTCCAACACTCGGACATCTGAACCCGGGATCACAAAGTTTACAGTCGCTCAACCCTTCTTTGTCGGCGTACGTGCCATTAGCGCAAAGAAAATACGTCGACAAGCCATCTGTTGGGCAATGGGTTCCCTTTTGACACGCTCGGCATTCGCTACTTCCAACGCCGGAATAGGTACCAGCTAAGCATTCTGTAAAGTTGTTTCCCAAACAACTAAAACACGAGGCAAAAGTGTTTAGCACGAAAACAATGAAATGATGTATCCACGAATGTGCTCCACGTACGAATGTAAGGTGCTTGCTTGGTGTAGGTGCTGAGGTGTTAAATCAGTTCTTTGCATTACGCTTACTGACGAATTGCATTGATCACGATAAATATCACGACAAATGGCAACGTAGAAGTGTTTAACACGAAAACAATGCAGTGATGTATTCACGAATGATCTTCACGTACGAATGCATAAAGGTGCTTGCTTCGTGCAGGTGCTGATGTGTTAAAGTGGTGCTTTGTATTACGCTAAATGACGAAGTGCCTTTAGCACAGCACATACCAAGACAAATGGCAAGGTAGAATGGTTTAGCACAAGAACAATGCAATGATGTATCCAAGATTGTGCTCCACGTACGAATGTAAGGTGCTTGCTTCATGCTTTAACGGTGCTTTAAATTACGTTATTTGACTAACTGCATTTAGCACAGTACATATCAAGACAAATGGCAAGCTAGAAGTGTTTACCACGAAGACAATGCAAAGATGAAACCATGAATGAGCTCCAGGTACGAATAAAAGGTGCTTGCTTCGTGCAGATACTGATGTGTTTTAACAGTGCTTTGAATTATGTTATCTGACGAATTGCATTTAACACAGTACATATATCAACACAAATCTACCAAAATTCTTCCCAGAAACTGGAAACGTTTTCGACCCCAATTACGAGATGCATGAGAAATAACACTGAAACTTTATTTGAGTGTCAATGTATTAAGCACGAAAGTACTAATTGGGGACACTCTTTTTACGTCTCCTACAAGACTGACGGGACCACCATTTTACGTGGTCAGCCGAGCCACGCGAAGGTCTAGCCGTTTTCAGGGCAAAGGCAGTACCTTCATTTCTCAGTTACTTTGAGACCCTGATTATTGGTCCAGCCCCGGGAATCGTACCCGCGACCTCCTGCTCAGCAATCAAACAATCTACTGACTGAGCTAATCCTACGTGGTATAAGTGAAATCTTCACCTATACATGTAAAATACGAAAAATCTGTCTGATAGATGCATGAATCAGTGAATTAGTGGTGTAATTGATGATTCAAAGACATCGTTTGTGACTTTATTTTAGGGAAGAGAGTGGACAACAAAAAAGGATTTTAAATAGATATGCAGGACAGATTTTCAGTGACGGAATAAAATGCATGCAGTTGCTATTTTACGCAACACAATTTTGCGTTGGTAAATAGACTAACAGTGCTTTAGATTAGTGGTGCAAAGACAAAAATATATTAAAGACAATACAGTATAAATTTTATTGTACCTCTTTTTCGACATCATCAAGCGTGTTAAAAGTTATTACGGACAGCCTAAAAAGGCTCGCCGCTATTGTCAGACTGAATAAATATAATCTACAAAAATGACAATTTCTTTGGTCTTCACGAACTTTCTTTCATTTATATTAGACTGATGATGTGCAAAGCTAATGTGCCAATGAAAGAATACTCGGCCTCACCTATACCCAGCCGGGCAGAGTATACACTCCACGGCACCCGTAGTATTGCTATACGTTCCGTTAGGACAAACTAAGGGCGCTTCCATTCCAACATTTGGACATCTGAAGCCTGCATCACAAAGCTTACAATCCGAGCTGCCTTCTGTATCAGAATACGTGCCATTAGCGCAGAGAATGTACGTTTCTAGTGTCTTGGTTGGACAGTGCGCTCCTTTGGGGCATTTCGTACATTTAGTACTGCCAGCTGCCGCATAAGTCCCCGCCGAACATTCCACTCGACTTGTTTTGCCTTCACAACTGAAAATTCAAGTATGAATTGAGAAACATAACCAATAATAATACGATTATCTCCACGTATGTGATAAGTATATAAACGGTGCTTGATTGGTGCAGACGTTGCAAATAAAGGCGCTGACAACATATCAATTCGAGTGCAACTGTGGTGTGAAATCACCAAGATGTGCCATCCAAAATTTAACTGCATTTGCTGAGTAAAGCAACTGTTCTTGATTGGTGCTTTCTAAGATTCCCTAATTGTGGACATAAGTGCTTCAAGTGCAAGTCTCTTGTGGTATATGACTACAATGTGCAGAACCAGTTGTGCCAATAAGTGACCCTGATTGTAGAAAAGACAAATTGTGCTTGACAGGTGCTCTTCATGATTCATCTGGTGTCAATTGAAGGTTACCGAATCTCACCTATAACCAGCCGGGCAGAGTATACACTCCAAGGCACCTGTGGTATTGCTATATGTTCCATTAGGACAAACTGAGGGCGCTTCCATTCCAACACTTGGACATCTGAAGCCTGCATCACAAAGCTTACAATCCGAGCTGCCCTCTTTATTGGTGTATGTGCCATTAGCGCAGAGAATGTATGTTTCAAGTGTCTTGGTTGGACAGTGCGCTCCTTTGGGACAGGTTGTGCATTCGTCACTTCCAGCTGGTGAATACGTCCCAGCCAAGCATTCTAATCGATGAGTCTTCCCTTTACAACTGAAAATGCAATTATGTATTGATTAACATGCAATACCACTAATTATATGATTATCTCCACACAAGAGCTGAATACATTGATGGTGCTTGATGAGTGCGGACATTGCAAATCAAGGTGCTGATAAAATATCAATCCGAGTGCAACTATGGTAGAGTGAAATCACCAAGATGTGGCGTCCAAGATGTGACTGCATTTGTTGAGTTAAAAGAACTGTTAATTGGTGCTTTCTAGGATTCCCTCATAAGCCATTCAAGTGCACGTCATGAAGGTCTAAGAGTACAATGTGCAGCTCAAATCGGTCTTAGTGTCCCTGGAAGCTGAGGAAGCATATTGTGCTTGACAGTTGCAGTTCCAAATTCATCTGGAGTGTACAGAATGTACTTAATCTCACCTATAACCTGCCGGGCAGAGTATACACTCCAAGGCACCCGTAGTATTGCTATACGTTCCATTAGGACAAACTTCCGGCGCATCCATTCCAACACTTGGACATCGAAAGCCGGCGTCACATGGTTTACAATTCAAGCTGCCTTCTTTATCAGAGTATGTACCATTAGCGCAGAGAATGTATTTTTCAAGTGTTCTGGTTGGACAGTGCGCTCCTTTGGGGCATGTTGCACATCTAGTACTGCCAGCCGGTGAATATGTCCCAGCCAAGCATTCCACACGATCTGTTTTGCTTTCACAACTAAAAATGCACATATGAATTGAGTAACATAACAAATAATGATACGATTATCTCCACGTATGTGCTGAGTACACAAATGGTGTTTTACTGGTGTAGACGTTACAATTGCAACTGTGGTAGATAGCCATGTAAGTCCATCGTAAATATGACTGCAGTTGCCGAATTAACAAACTATTCTTGATTGGTGCACTTTCAAATTCCCTCACGGACAATAACGTCATTCAGGTGCAAGTCCTGAAGGTGTAAGACAATGGTTAACTGTGCAGGACAACGGTAAACTTTGCAGGACCGACTGTGAAAGAAAACTGGCTGCTTGCTGAAAACACATATTGTGCTTGAATAGTGCTTTTGCAGATTCATCTAGAGTTTGCTGAATTTTTGGAATGAAGTGCTGTGTTAGCTTTCTTGAGCTGGAAGAACGATGTGACAATTGGAGTGCTGGACGTCCAATCACTTATGGTGCTGTGTGCTTGACTAATTAGTAAGTACGGTTCTGACTTTGCCAGTTATCCAATCAGTCTCCTCCACTTGATGTACAGTATCCACTGATGGCTAAAGGTGCGATGAAGTGCAGTTGCAATATATAAAAATTATTGTTCAAGCTTCAAGAGTGCAAGATCAGTTTGTGGTGTTTGATTGGTGCAACCTTGGATTAATTTGTCGACTGTTCTGAAACTTAAAATCTACCACTAAAACAGTCCTCTTCATTAGTCTCTCCACAATTTCCTTGACTGAAGCAGGATTAGCTCAGTCGGTAGAGCACTTGACTGCAGACGGGAGGTCTCAGGTTCAATTCCTGGGGTCGGACCAACACTTAGGGTCTCACAATAACCAAGAAATGAAGGTACTGCCTTTGCCCTGCAAACAGCTAGACCTTCACGTGGTTCAGATGACCCAAAATGGTGGTTCCTCGTCCAGTGAAAGGTGTAAAAATATTGTCCCCAATTAGTACTTTCGTGCTAAACACATTGACACTCGAACAAAGCGCATTTTTTTTTTACAAATTATGCGTTGTACTTGATGAATAAATGTGCTGAGTTACTGATATTAAAGTTCCTTAAATTGAATACTGTTAATAGTAAGAAGCTCACCTATAACCTGCTGGACACAGAATACAATCCAGAGCACCGGTAATGTTGCTGTATGTCCCATTGGGACAAACTAAAGGTGCTTCCATTCCAATACTTGGACATCTAAACCCTGCATCACAGAGCTTACATTCCAATTGGTTTTCAGCATCTGAATAAGTGCCATTAGTGCACAGAGTGTAAGTCTCCAGCCCTGCTGTTGGACAGTAGGCTCCTTTTGGGCAAGCCTTGCATTTGTCACTCCCAGCTGGAGCAAATGTTCCAGCAGGACATTCCACTCGGTTTGATTTACCCTCACAACTGGAAATGTGGGTACATTATAGTTAGTGTAAATCAAGTGAGGTGTAGCAACATTTTATTTAGTGACTTTCATGTTCATGCCTTAACATTTTGGTAACAACTGTGGAACCATCAAACCCTACTAACATGGATACTGAGGGGGCCATAGAAAGTTTCTGTATTAATGGGCTGTCTGTATTAAGCGGGTTCAATTTAGAGGAAACGTAAGGGCTTTCTTTCCCTGGGAACAAAGCAAACTGTCCATAATAATGAGATGTCCATACTAAGCAGGTGTCCATAAAGCAGGATTTGGCTGTAGTTGCTGCATGTGTTTGGTGTATGTTTGAGTGCTTAATTCTAGTCTACTATGTCATTTGGTGGAATATCACCAGCCAAACTGCTTGCCCTGAGATCATGAGATCAGGCAACTACTGAACAGGCAAAGAGAGGTAAATCAGTTTATTGTTAAAAATCAAACATAAAAACCAACATTTCCAGAACTATCATCATACAAATGTTATTACAGACAGAAAAGCTTCTGAGTGGCTCTTCCAGAAACTCACCTATAACCAGCCGGACACAAAATGCACTCCAAGGCACCTGTGGTATTGCTGTATGTTCCATTAGGACACACTAAAGGAGCTTCCATTCCAACGCTCGGACAATGAAAGCCTGCGTCACATGGTTTACAATCACTCAATCCTTCCTCATCAGCATACGTACCATTAGCACATAGAACATACATTGGTAAGCCATTGGTTGGACAATGGGTTCCCTTTTGACAAGAAAAGCATTGGATACTCCCAGCTGGTGCATAAGTGCCATTCGAGCATTCCACTGGGTTTGCTTTATTTTGACAGCTGTAATTAAGAAGAAATGTTAAGTACAGTATCAAAAGGGAAATTCAGAATCAGTAACTAAGGGCTCTCATTTAGGGCAGAGAAGAGTTTCCTCTATAATATAAACAGTAATTAGTAATCCCTTAAAAGCTTACAGGAAAAATATTACAAAAGGAAGGCTTGGGACGAGATGACTGGGTGTGCTTCCTTGTTCCAATCCCTTCTCATTTTCACTGCCAGGTTGTGTGAGCAAGTGGTTGAATAACAACTTAAGGACAGATTTTAAGGGGAAAAGGCACATTTCAAGCAGTCTAGTTCTTTTTATGTCTCTACCACTATCACAACTCAATCATAGCCTTTTTGGTTTTATATGAAAAATAATGAAAAACAGTGATAAATTAATTTTAATTAACATGGAGCATTTCAGGTGACATAATACCTATAACCAGCAGGGCAAACACTGCACAAAGCGGCGCCTTTAAAGCTGTAGGTCCCATTTTCACATGGCACAGGAGATGCTGCAGGATTAGGGCATGTAAAACCTGCAGGGCACTGTAGACAGGCTGAGTTTCCTTCAGAATCTGCATACGTTCCATTACGACAGGGCACGTGAGTTGAAAGTTTTGCTGATGGACACTCCGATCCTGCCGGGCACTGGTGGCACTCTGTGCTTGCACCTGGCCCATATGTTGACGCATTACAGGGTATAGGGTCTGAGTCTTTGTTAGGGCACCTGGCCGGAAAAGAAACAAATTTCCTTGAACCCTCAAAAGTAATTTTCTCAATATGTCAAAAGACCAACAGAAAAAGCCTACATCATAGAATGCATACAGCTATAAAGGGTATTCTATGTATTCTGCGTACCTGAATCCTGGAGGACACACAGTACAGTTAGCAGCACTGCCTTTGCTGTAAGTACCATTTTCACAGTCCACAGGAGACAGTGCCGGAGTTTGACAAAGAAACCCTGCAGGGCATGGACGACACTGAAGTAATGATGTCTCGTTAGCATAAGATCCTGGTGCACAGGGTGTGTGGACGGCAGAAGTATTAGATGGACAGTGAGATCCCAGTGGACATGGTTGGCATACTAGGCTTCCTGATGGTGCAAAGCTTCCTGCAGGGCATACAGCAGGATCTACTGATTTGTCAGCACAGCTATGGACGAATACAGACACCAAGTTAGTTCACTGGCAGAGATACCAACCTCCGGAGATCTAAAATCTGGAGACTCTCTATTTTGCACTACACCCCCCTCCCCCTCTGAATGTCAACAGCCCACCACCCCCTACCACCTGCCCACAAATTGACTCAGCTGCCTTGGCTTAGGACATTATATGAAGTCTTACATGAACTACATGCTATCAAAATTCGCTTTCATCATTGCAATGGCAAAATAGTGCTTAAAAGTCCATTTCATCCGTACAGAATAGTGCTGTATCTGGGAGAGTTAGTATAAAATGCACTAGTGAGTTTTATGTGGAAGTGGTACCAGGTTAGAGAATTACACAAAGGAATGATTAATACTGAGAACTACATTACTACTACCACCACCTATTATAAATCATAGAGGAATTTTTAAGTACAAAATTGCAAAACTCACTTGTGAATATGTACTGCATTTCAAACTCATATATAAGGGTTGACAGAGAGGTACTCATCAAATCAGGTTATTATTCAAAGGTGGGTAGTTATTGGATTATTATCAATAATTTACAGCTTACCTATGTCCACCTGGACATATAACACAGTGGGTGGCCCCAGCCTTACTGTATGTACCATTTTCACACTCAACTGGCTCCACATTTGGGTTAGGACACTTGAAACCAGGAGGACACTCTAAACAGCTTGTGGCATTCACAACTAGCGAATATGAACCATTTGCACAGAGTTGGTGGTACACAAGTTTCGCAGAGGGACATTGGGATCCAATTGGACAGCCATGACAGTAAGTGCTCCCTTCTGGAGCAAAGCTTCCATTTCCACAAGGTATAGGATCATCTGTCTTGACAGGACATCTGAAAAAAAGAGAGATTCCAGTGGAATTTGTGAGAAGAATAGAAAACTGTGGCCATGTACGTTGGTGGGATGTAAGTGCTGCCAGCACTCTGCCAATCCCAGGGGCTGAAGGGGAAGTCAAGTGGTGGAGGTCAGAAAATTTTGGAAACACCCCTCAAAGGTATAGTTGGTCCACACACACCCATGCACACCATGGGGAAATTCCTTATATTGTCTCTAAATTCAACCTGCTTAAGGTGGACACCCGTTAATGGGAACAAAAGAAAATTCTTTCTCCTCCAAGCAACAGATCCTAAACTTCTACAACAAGGACTCAAAACAATATTTTCTCATCTTTGTGCTGTAATAAGCTAGAGGACATGACAACATGATGATGAAAGCACAATATGTGAACACTTCAATGTTCACTGTACCAAAGTCTTGTTTTGTGGGTGAGGTATCAGTTTTCAAAGAAGCAAATTATCTGACACAGACATTTTTTAATCACAATAAAGGTGATTGATTCATTGACTGATTAATTGATTGAGTAAGCAACAAGGAGTTCTTATCATTTGATGGTCTAAGAGTGAAAAGACTATAAAATTAAGGTGATTTTTTTAGTTATGTGTGTATAAACATGAGTTAAGCACTAACATTAGCGGGGTACAAATCACGAATGCATATGTTTTTTTTCTTTAAGCATTGTATAAAGTATTTTTTAACCCCAGCCTAGAGCGTTATATATTTTTTCCAAAATAGTCTTTTATCTAATTGCAATTAACTTTTATCCATGGTTGTATACAGTGATCTCTTGTTGGATAATGCTTTTAATAAAGTTTCTATTTCATCATTTTCAGTTTTAAGCAAACTGATCCAAGTGATAAAAATCCACAAAATGCACCCCAAGAAGTACAATAAGCACCCCTTTGTACACATACACACAGCCCCTGCTCTCTAGGAACTAGGCCTGCTACTCAAATTGAAAACCAGGCATTTGTGTTATTTAAACTTAAAGACCCACCTATGGCCTCCTGGGCACACAGTGCATGCGACTGTCCCACCCTTGCTGTAAGTTCCATCTGGACAGTCCTCTGGTGCCTGATTTGGATTTGGACACCTCTTTCCAGGGGGACAACTCTGGCAACTGGTTACATTGTTTGCATCTGTCGACAGATAAGTACCGTCGTGACAAGGGACGTATTCTGACAGCCCCGGTGTTAAGCACTGAGCTCCCTCAGGACAAGGTAGACATGCGAGGCTTCCTGATGGCGCATAGGTACCATTTTGACACTGAACAGGATCTGCACTTGGATCAGCACAACTAAAGAAAATTAGACAATAAAATAAAAAATGAATCGTAAAGTTGATGAATATAAGATCAAGGAGTGACCTGAAAAAAGTCAAAAGTAAGTCCCAAAAAAATGGAGTCAAATCAAATCCACTACCAAAAAATGGAAAAGGTGCAGCCATGAAAAGTAAGCCAGGTAAAATTAAGGACAGATGCTACCTGTCACTTTAAGGTTCAAAGTTATTTCATTAGGCAACACCTGGTCAATAATAAATATTATAACTGCATTCATTCAGGATATCAAAAAATAGATGCTAATTAATGGGCACAGAAAGTTTTGTTGTTTCAGGTAACCATGGTAATGACAATGTCATTGGTCATCTGTCAGTTAAGCCATGATATTATTGGCTATAAAGATTGGTGCCTTGCCAATGACACTGCAGTTTAATTGAGCAATCAGGTCAATAACCAGAGTTCAATACCATCAACTGACATGATACAACTCACTTAAACTCTGAAGCTGACTGCCACACAGGTTGTTGAAATGCCAGCCAATGTCAACACCAGTCCTACGCAGGACTACCTCTCACCTGGATGATCATATTCCATCTACTTTAGAAATGACTCCTGGGTTCAAACCTTTTTTCACTGTTTTACATCAAAAGTAAAGGTCTGTGCACACTAGGCGACAAGTTGCAGCACCACATCGCGGTGACAGATCACTCCATGTGTACAGGTCGGGCGACTAGTTGCGGCAACAAGGTGCGGCAACACGTCGCAGCAACAAATCGCTTCGTGTGTACTGGAGAATTTTTGTGAAAATCTTTCTCTCTGCAACAGAATTTAGTCGCTGCAATAAGTCGCAAAAAATCAAATCAGACTGAGTCTGTGCGACTTGTTGCGGTGACAAATTCTGTTGCAGCGACAAAGATTTTCACAAAAATTCTCCAGTACACAGAAAGCGATTTGTCGCTGCAACATGTCGCCGCGACATGTTGCTGCAACTTGTCGCCTAGTGTGTACCGACCTTAAACGGGCAGATTCACCACTCACCTATGTCCACCTGGACACTCAGTGCATACTGATGATCCATTCTTACTGTAAGTTCCATTTTCACATGGCTGCTCTCCTTGTGAAGCGAATGGACAAAAATTTCCTGCAGTGCAGAGCTTGCACTCTGTCTGCCCCACAGCATCTGTGTATGTGCCATTAAAACATGGCAAAGGACTTGCTAATGGGACATCTGGACAGCGAAATCCTTTTTCACACAGTGTACACTTGGTCTCACCAGCAGGTGCATATTCACCAGGATTACATCTGACTGGATCAATGGTTTGATTGGAGCATCTGTAAATGAAAGAACAGTAATATATAGATTTAGCCGAGGCTACAGGCGAGAAATGGAAGGTAAAAGAGGCTACAGTGTACAAGTACATGCACAGTTTCATATTTTTGGAGGAAGAATCTACGAGTCCATCCAAAAGTCAGGTTGGCTTTTTTTCAAGGGCCCCCTTCATTAATGAATAATGTTAACTTGAATATTTATTGATATAAATCAGCATACTTACTGGTGTCCAGCAGGGCAGACAGTACACTCTGCTGCCCCTTCAAGGCTATAGCTTCCAGTGGCACAAGCCTGGCATGATGTCCCATTGAATGAGAAGTTACCTGCCTCACAAGGATTACATTTTGTTTGAGAAACATCAGGCTCATATCCTCCTGGGCAGTACTGTGAAGAAAAAATGGTTTGATGATTAAGTGTTGAATAGTGACAAATATACTTCTGGAAGCAACAAAATTGAAAGCTGCCAGCTCATTTTGACTGGGCTTTAACTGTTACAACATTTTCAAGAGACTTTTGTATTACAGTCAAATCCTATTAATACGAACACTGAGGGGGCCATAAAAAGTGTTCAGATTAACAGGGTTAGCCTGCAACCTCTCCAAGGCCCTCTGGCAGCAGGGCGGGAATATAATAGGAAGGAGAGCTTGCAACTATATCTCTGGAATTTTAATTCTGCCTCCAATTCCCTTGTGGCTCCCCATTGAACTGAGCAGTCAGATTTCCACCAAACAGCACCAAGCAGAAACAAGCGTAAATACAAACAATCACTGAAAAACACATGAAAGCATGCGCCAAGGGTGATGATGTCATTACTAATGTCATCTCCGCCAATCAGCATTTCACATCGACTTTTTCGATGCAGATATTCAAACTCCAAAGACGTGGTTGCAAGCTCTCCTTTCTTTTCCCACTCCGCCACCAGAGCGCCCCAGAGAGCATGCTCGCAAGCTATAACAGGGTATACGTATTAAGTGGGTTGAATTTAAAGAGAATGTAAGGGCTTTCTTTCCCCAGGGACAAAACAAAGTGTCCGTACTAATGAGGTGTCGGTGTTAGGTGGGTGTCCACAAAGCAGGGTTTGACTGTACTAAGTTTACAACCCAATAAATATAAAGCTCTACTGTATTTCAATTCTCTACATCTAAGCAAAGTTCTACATGCACTCTACACAATGGCCTCCTATATATTGTTGTCACAGAAACTATTGTGCAGAAGTTTGACTGTAATAGACCAATAAAAGCATACCTGAGGTTGCTGCGACGGGTCTGGACACACTTTACCACTAGGACAAGAGTGACATATTCCTTCTCCATAATTAGAATAAGTTCCTGCTGCACACAATGTCACATTCCCTGGTGATGTTGTGCAGTCATAACCGGCAGGACAAGGAACGTCACATGATATAGATCCCGCAGTGCTGTTTAAACCTGAAGCACATGCCTGTAAGGATTGCATACAACATTCAGTAAAAAAAAAAACATGCAATACACTTTGAAGAAAGGCGAGAGATGGACATGTGCACCAAGTCCCCCTCTTGACTAGCCAAGGCCTTGCTATTGGGCTTACCGCAATCATACACAAAAATCCAAAGCCAAGGGGGAGGATACTCCAGATTTCAAGTAACAGGGATTATCAAATCGAGGCAAAAGTCAAAAACAAAAAAGTCCGTAGCACTTCCACCAAACCCCAAAAACTTCTGAACAAAATTTACCCCCTGAAAGCTGCATGCCGTCGAAATTTCCAAGCCTGAGAATTCACTTCAGTAAAAGAAAATTTCTGTGATGATAAAGGCAGGGGTGTGCAATGGACACAATGCATGAGAAATCATTGAAATAAAATGAAACCCCAGTGGATACAGCACCAGACAATGGCCGAGTATGGATAACGAGTGTTATGAAACATTTATTCTGAGATACCAGAGCTGTCATTAAGGGTTGTAACCTGTAACACCTGACCTGTTACAGCTAAACTCACTTGATGTTATGGGTGATCAAAGTGGAAAGCAAAAGGTGACACTATAAATTTTTGTGAGATGTTACGGGTGAATCTTCATTTGCTATGGCTGCTTCAAAACTCAATGACAGCCCTGGATAAAGTGTAATGTTTGCTATAAACAATCACAAAACACAAATTTGTCGTACTTTATTAGTTGAACTAAGCGGCTGGGAAACATGTGCGGTTTCACAATTCTTCAAATTGTTTCAAATGCCCAAAAAATCCCTTCTTAAATCACGATACACAAAAAATATAATTGCCACACTTTCCTACCCAAAAAATATTAGAATAAAAAATTTTGCATCCCCAAAAATCCTTTGATCATCGCCATCACTTGAAACATTCAAAGTACTCCCCCCACACCACTTTCCCAGGATCCAAAGGTGGATTTCCTTCACTGAAATCCACCTGCAATAACAGATCTGAGTCTGAAATCCAGATTTTTAAACCCAGTAATAGGTGACTTCACAATGAAACTATTTTATCTTATAACAAAATTATTGGGAATGGATGAATCATCATCACCTCTTTAAATGATTTTCACAGGCAAACATTTTTGAGTAGACGTAGACAATGCAGACAGTGCTGCCCTCATTTTAGGGTAGCGTGATTTCGTTAGCCACTTTTCAAGGTCGGAGTATGGCCGGAAGATGACAATGCAATCGTCGAGTGACAATATCAATTACCGACTGCACTACGCGCCTCGATTTTTATTACATTTTTTTAACGGCTATCCATAAAATTTTTACCTTAAGATCAGAATGAGCTTTGAGTTAATTAGACAATTCGGCTGGTGCTAGGAAACAAGTGTTTAATAAAGAATATTTCCTTTCGAAACACTAATGAAAACAATAATTTGCGAACAAATAATAATCTTACCGTACAAGCTGAAGAATTAGTTGCCCCAGTGTTTGGGTTTTCTGTGTCTTCTGGGCAAGGTTGAGGGGCAGTTTCATTTCCAAGACAGCTAATAAAAAGACGACAGAATATCGTACGTTAGATTCAAGGAGATACCTCATATCCAATTGACATCAAAACAAGATATTATGCAACTACACTGACCACAATACGACATGAGATCAAAGCATACAAAGCAAGGAAATTTGAAGCAAAGAATGTCCGGCCAGTTATACTTGGCAAGACTTACGTCGACAGAACCTTTTATGCACGTTCTTTTCTCTAATTAAAGACTTAATAATTCCCATGTAGGGTTAAATATATGAATACTGATCGTTTACACTTACAAGTGTCCGGCTGGGCATTCTACACAACCAGCTCCAGACCAATATTCCCCCGCCGTGCAGTTGCTTTTACTACAAGAACATTCAGTCTCACAATCACAAGCTGCGCCTGCTAAATCTGCGAAATAACAGAAACAAATCGTATTAAGATCGAGTATTGAGATCTCCCAATGAAACAAAGACGTCGTTTTGTAATAGGCACAAAAGTCAGGGCACAAGCTTCAATTATAAGTGGATTTTTATCTCACCGGTAAAACAGACAAGAAGTAATCCAAACACGATAAGAAGACTGGCTCGCAGATTCCCGCTCCTTGGAATACTACAGTTTATCATGTTTAAAATCCACATTTTTAACACTTGTCGTGTTCCTCGAACGAGGCAAAAGCCTCAAGGAAATCGTAATTATAAATTTGTTGCCCGCAACAACTGCTGTCTGCAGAAATTCCAGCTGCACTCAGCAAGAAGCAAATTAGTTGACATGTTGAACGGAGGAAAAAACCTCCAAACAGTCACTCGGCTTAGAAAACATTCACTAAAAAGACACTGATTTCTGCAAAATTCACGGTTTTCAGTACTACAACAATTCAAGGAGTGTGCCTCTTGATTAAGTTATGAAGTATTCCTCAATTAGAAGAATAAATCCGGATGAATGTTTTGTAATGAAAATTCGTTCTTTTCGCGAGATCACGTTGATTTCATTCCGTGACGTCACGTCTAAGGCGTTCTCATGGAAACGATCGATTTGTTTGTGATAAACTTTCCGCGAAATTCGCGTTTGAAGTCAAGGATTGGTGCAGAAGAGAAAAGCCATCGTAACGAAGTCGTTTTGTTCATTAACTCTATTGTTCTGTAAACACATAAACGAAAGCACTCTTTGATCGGCATCAAATAATATTCTGTGGCCATGGTACTCAGAGATTCTGGAATTCAGCGAAGCCGAACGTTTTACACTGATTTCACGTAACATCCTACGGCAAAATTACTCTAGTCATTTAAACTTTTATTCTATTTTCACTCTCTTTAAAAGCAATAATAGAATGAACTGTTTCAAAAAGCAACTGCGTTATAATTTTCCAGTGACCTATTCAAACGTTTGCAACATCCTCGCCTGAGGGTATAAAACAATTATGCCTTCACATTCTTCGCAGTCACTGAGCTGAAAAGGACTTCCGAACCAGATCTGAGAAATGAAGGATGCATATTCTTCTTTTAGCTGTGCCGATTGGGAAGGAATAAGTTTATTCAATGTCCTTGGAGTAAATAAGGCATGCATTGGGAATTACAAAGGCACAAATGGGGAATTACATGAGGCTGTTACATGTATTCGAGGAAATACGCTACGTTTTAAAGACGTATCTCTTCAAGGTTTGAAAGATACATTTCAGTGCCTTAAGAACCTTTATGGAAATCTAACCTTTGAAAAAATTATTTCATAAATCTGGCCTTACATAACTTTAATTGTGAACAACCGTTGTAAAGGTTCAGATGTATATAATGTGATCATGCATACCAAAGCGTCAGTTTTATTGCCGTAAATTCTAATACTAGTACTGAAGTAACAGACTGTGGAATTACGAAAATTTTGCCGAGAGTCTCTTAGTCTGGCTTTAGATAGCCTGGCACAGAGGTTTTGACTTTTTGGTTTCGATGAATTTTACGAGACGGGGCACCTCCCGAGGGTTTTAGTTTCATACGCGCTCTCATCATCATCATCTTTATCATCATCATGATCATGATCATCATCATCTCCATTAAGTTGGTAAAAGCCGGTTAGGCAACAGACCAACCACTTGAAAACTATGTAAGTAAAAATTACATACAACAATAAGTAGAATAAAAATAAAAATAAAATAACTAAGGTAGTTCTGACATTTTTCAAGGGACGAAATACGACGTATCGGGGAGGAGCCGATTCCAGTATTTAGCAGTTCTTAGGAAAAAAGGAAAACTTGAACACATCTTTCTTACAGTGGGTTTAAAGAGGCTTAAGTCTATGGCTACTCCTAGGACGAGCAGACGATCTCTTAGGGGAAAATAGTGTCTTGAACTGCTGGAAAGGCTTAAAGAAAACTATTCAAAAGAGTCGAAACACTAAAATTGCGTTTATCTCGCACAATGATAAATGTAGTTGTCACTCCGCTTATATCAAAGGAGCCAAGTGCTTTACGCCGTTTTAGCCTGCATAGCAGGTGCACGTTAAGTGAGTGCATGATAAGGGCGGTACTTCGCTCCTCCTTAGATCAAACATTGCGTTGGATGACGCTAGCCTGGGACCAGGCTCCGCCGGTGGGGGAAAAGGGCAAAAACAGAGTGAAATAGGAAAAATACTGGGGAGCGAAGCGAGTCAAGCGGTGGTCTGCGCATGCCAATTTTTTTCTCCCTTTTCCCCCAATGCGAAGCTTGGTCCCAGGCTACGATGACGGGTAAGCAAAAGGCACACGAAAATATGAGCGCGTGATCTGGAAAAAAAAACTGGGGTGATAGCTGGGGCGCCTCCTGTCTTATTTTCGGGTTCGTGCTTTCTCATTTTCGCGGACGCGACTATCTTGGAGACTGGAATAGGCTATTATTCCCTGGGCCGCCCTAATTTACAGTGGAATTCAGTCTCTTTCCAACTGAACTGTTTGTTCATTGCGTTGGGTCTAGGAGTTCAGGGGTGCAACCCGGCACCTTAAAAACGCTTTATCACTGGTTGATATTTATGCCATATACAAAACTCTGGAAAATGGAGTGTTGAAGACCATAACAAATTATCGACTGTGTGTACAGTGAAACTATGATGTTTTTACGCTTGCTTCATTCAATAAAAGATTCTTTTTTATATCCTCTTAAATGTAATATAATTTATACATACTGTTTTCACCTTTTTCTTCGGTACAAATAATTCATTTTTCCTCAGGAAAAAAAAACACTTGTTTCACACCTTTGTTCTTATGCGGTTTTAAAATCATAAAACAATTTATTACAAAAAAAAAAAAAACAAGCATTCTTTCTCAAAGATAAACAAGCGCAGGGGATTTGTAAGAGTACAGAAAGGCGCTCCCGCACGTTGCATCTTCTCGCGGGAGGCGATTTTCAGCGTCTCACAAGTTTCTCCGCCTCTTCTACTACTCAAGAAATTAAGAATCCACTCATTATTCTTGTGCTTATTATTGTAAATCAGTTTGATGCCAGGTCAGTTTTTGTCTCCACCTCCTTCACTCATCTTGAGCTCAAACTCGTCCATAGTGAGAACAAGTTTTCCCATTGTCTGCCCTGATTCTAAATCCTTATGCGCCCTTCCTGCCTCCTTCAGTGGATACTTTGTAACCTTGGTGACTTTCAGCCGGCCTTCTTTCACCCAGCCAAGAAGTTGTGCCATACTTTCCTTGAGCATTTCTCGCTGATCAAAGAGAAAGCTGAGGTTGAACGCCATGACACTTTTGTTCTCATTAGTCATCTAAAGAGACGAAAGACAAATACAAATAATTTTGATCAAAACCCGCCACCCTTTTTCGTTCTCATTAGTCATCTAAAGAGACGAAATCTTTTATTGACAAATAACAAAAAATTTTTATCAAAAAAAACCCGCCACCCCTTTCGAGAAAGGTTCGTTTCGATACAATAATTAAAAATAATAATAAAAACTAATTCAAGATTTAAAAATAATAATAATAATAATAATAATAATAATAATAATAATAACTTTATTTCTATAGCGCTCTTATCCTATGTTCAAGGCGCTTTACAGTCATGTAAACAACATTATTGAAAAATATTGACAAATTTACAACCATATCCTATTATATTTACAATGAGTAAAAAAGGAAAAAATTAAAACTAAAGCAACTACTAAACCATCTTATTCACAATGATAAAAAAAGGGAGAAATTAAAACTAACGGAATATACACAAATCTATAAAAACAATGATCCGTTATTACTGAATTTAGTAAACAAGTACGTCTTAAGTGATCTTTTAAAACTCGCGATGGTGTTGGCTTCCGAATTTCATAGGGTATTATTATTAGTTTTCATAGGGTATTATTATTCTCTTGGTGCATGAACAGCGAATGCTCTATCTCCGTAGATCTTGGTACACGATCTAGGTTGCATTAAAAGTTCATTACTAACAGACCTCAATGATCTAGTTGGAGAACAATAATACAGTTTCTGAGCTAAATAGCTAGGCGATGTCCCATTCAGTGATTTATACACGAGGAGCAGAATCTTGAAAATAATCAATATAGAATCGGTAGCCAGTGAAGCTCACACAAAACAGGTGTGATATGCTGAAACTTACTCACTTGCAACACAACTCTAGCCACCGTGTTTTGTACATACTGCAATCTTTGTAACTGATACTTAGGTAGGCCATATAGTAATCTAGTAATCTAGTTTCGATGTGACAAATGCATGAACAGCAACTTCTGCTGATTCTTTAGTAAAATACTTCCTAATTCTAGATACTGGTAGGTTCCTGAGATGATAAAAATGATGATCTACAGATGCTAGACACGTGCATGAAAAGACATGTGCTCATCAAAGATAACACCAAGACTCCTAGCCGACTGAGAGGCAGCCACGCTCTCATCACCAACACATAAGGACTGAAAGGATGGAGAGGGACGATACTTTGAGTGGAATTATCACTAACAACCATGGTGGACACTATCGACTAATGAACTTACCTACAGTATGCAGTTGAAATGTTGTAATCAATGGTTGTCTTTACACTAGGCTGTTAAGTAAGACTTGAGAGCTGCTAAGTTTTACTTAACCACAAATTCGTGTGCGAAGGCCTAAGTAAAATCTCAAGTAACTTTACTTTGCATCTCATTAAATTTGGAAAGTTGAAACGATTCAAGAAAGTTTAAAGCGACTTGAAAACCATCCTTAAAACTGACTTAACTGACTTGTGGTTATACTTGCGGTTTCTTGAGCTTTGAGAAAAGTGAAACATGTCAATCAATCTTAATTATGGTGCATGGGAAAATAGCCTTAAGTTAACCTGAAGTAAAAAAGAATCGGTTGTGTGCGAAGCTTCATTTTACTTGAAGTAATTAAAATTTACTTGTCTTGAAATATTTCTTAGCTTATTTAGGCTCTAGTGTAAAGACTACAAATATCTAAGTGACAATCCTGAGACAAATGATAAACAAAACCCTTTATACACAAACGCTGTAAATTTTAAATGGAGACCCTATTTTTGACTAATACATGCCATAAGAAATATAACCAAATGCATGCAGACTAATCCAGACCACTGTTTCCAGACAGTACAATTCCTTACTTATTACAGACCCAAATGGCTAGCCCGTGAGCAAGCTCTCATGAGGGTATGGGGGTGGGTAAGGAAAGAGGGGAAGCCACAAGGGTCCCCAAGAGAGCTTACTTGCAGGCCACTGACTGGCTAAAGTCTATACTCAACTGTGCACCAAAAGGATTCAAAAAACCTTACATTTTGGTGCCACAGCTATGAATCGCCATGTAGAAGAAAGACATACACCCATCTCATTGAAAAGTTGTCAGGTGGAAACAAGGCAAAGGGCAGAATGGGTGAAGAACAGCCAATGAAAGTTAACCGACACAAATGCCCAGTTTAGTGAAAAATGCTGTTGAATTTGGCAGAATGACAGAATTGACAGTAAATTTGCCAGCATCTTGATTTTACTGGCAAAGCAAGGCACTACAGGCACTGCGAGGAATCTCTTTGTTATATTAAAATCTATGATAGTGAGAAGTAGTGGAGATGATTTGCAGTTTGACTTCCCAATCTCCAATATCAAAAATTCCTGGCAAGCATGTGAAAGTTAGCAGGAATACCTGAAGAGGGTTGAATGCCGGTGTTGATTTGTAGTTCCATCCCATCTTTACCCACTGCCACACGCTTATAGCACCACTAGCACTTTCACTGGATTTAGGAAGCATTGTGTGAAAACCTGCCGAAAAAAATAATTCATAATACCATACCAATCCATAACTTCAGATACTCTACTTTCTGCCACTTCACCCAGGTGTATCAGAGATGCCAATGTCTGGGGATCTAACATCTGGAGACTGTCTCTTTTGAAACACTCCCAATATCAACCACCTATCCCCCCTCCCCTTTAACACAAAGCGACCCAGTCATCAAAATTTGTTTTATGTCCTGAGCATGTGTTGTTGAAATTCCGAGGGCAGTGAAAGAAAGAGAGTCTCCAGATTTTAGATCTCCAGAGGTTGGCATCTCTGTAATCCTGTGATTATGCTTCTGGGAAAAAACCCTGTACTTGCAAATTGCATCATTTAAGAAGAGAAGAAACAGTAATGGGTGCTTCATACTGCAGTGCACCTTAATAATTATTAGGCAAGGAAACTATAATTTAACAAAAGCTCTCACCATAGATAACCAGTCGGCCTCCTGAGGCCACATGATTATAGCTTTCCTGTAAAGTGGCCACACCATTTGCATCAAACACAACTTGATAACCCTTTGGACAAAAAGACTCTGCAGTTTTCCAGAGATCATTCTTGGATTTGTCAATGACATGGTCACAACCTGGTCATGCACAAAGGAAAAAATAATTCAGTTTGATCAAGTGTAACAGAGTTGATGTCATAAACTGACCCTTTCAAAGTTTTTGAGTCTCAGATTTTCAAACAAGAATCTTTTTGTCTTCGCATGTACTGGATTTAATCATTCACCACTTCTATATTTCTGTACAAGAATACTCACTCTCTATAAGTGATCAAGTATATGGACAATCAGAATACTGGATTCCCCGATCAGAATTTAGGATTTGCGATTAACACACCATACGAATGAATGACATGACATGCTTGTACGATGATGAGGGCTAGGCGAAGTTTCAACATGAACAGATTAATTTACCTAAATTCTTGACAAGATCAACTTTATAACTTGCACCAACCACGCCCACCACGTGACAACCATGGATCTTTGCAAGCTGTACCAGCATACTTCCCACCCCTCCAGCTGCAGAGTGAACTAGTACCCAGCTCCCAGGCCTTGGTCTGGCCTGTTCAAACATTCCATACCAAGCAGTTATAGCCACTGTTGGAAATCCTGCTGCTTCGTACCTGTCCAAATTGTCCGGCAGCGGAAAAATCTGGTGTTTTGGAACCCTAATTCTCTCGGTGTAACCTCCAAAAAGGGACACGCCGAAAACCTTTTGACCGATCTCATATTCTTTCACATTCTTGCCCTTTCTTTCCACCTGACCACTAAATTCAAATCCGGGAGTGATCGGCCAGCCGACGAATTTCTTTGCTGACTCGTACAGGCCCCAGCGAATACACACATCGGCATAGTTCACACCGCAAGCGTACGTTTTGATAGTGACGAGATCTTCCTCGTCAATGTCTTCAAGTTTGATGTTTGCACCTTCTGTATACCCATCATCTGATAGCGGCTCATACACTAGCTTGTCATAGCCACCAGGTGAAGGTATTTGGATCATTGTACGAAAGATAGCCTCGGTCAATCGATGAGTTGGACAACCTCGAAATCGAAGCGACTCTGCTGGCAGGGTACCCCGAAATAAAATTTAACCAGGCCACATTTCTAGTGCCCAGGTCATCTCACTCTTCCAGTGTCACACAAGTCAGTTCAACGGGGAACTTCTGTCGCTATGAAAGGGCGTCCGATTTTAGCAGAACGTCCAATTTTATCTACCGGTAACGCAGGTGGAGGCTTTGCAGTATTACGAAGAGGGCACAAAGGGATACGGGATCTATAAAGGCAGCAAAGGAATAGAAAAGGGATGCAGAGAAAATGGAGGCTCCTGCCGGCGAGGAAGCTCTCCTAAGGCGGGTAGGGGGGAGAAGTGGGGAACATCGTCATCGTCATGCAACCCCGCATCCAGGATCGGGGCCATTTCTCCAGTCTGCTTTGACCGCATCACGCTAACCAAAAGGGCTGAGTTGGAAGACTAGTTGCTATATCATGTTTATATCCGCGAAAAATTTGTCGTCGGCAGATCATACCAAAAGAGTATGACAAATGTTTATTACCTGTGTTGTCTACAAAACAAGTTGAAGCTTGTTTTATTATCACATTCAAGCGTGGAAAACAATACTCTTGACAAAGGACAACGGGTCCACACCGGTAACAAGATAATAAAAATCTCTATTTAAGAAAAGACAACGAAGATATGGTTGGTGCAATAATTTATTCACGAATGAATGTACTCTGTATCGCTCCATCCAAATATATTACCAAAATTGATGCACACATATCTCATAAATAATCTATTTCCCCCAAAAGGAGGGGAAAACATCTGGTTTCGCCCGTGGCAACATTACCCATGAAATTTGTTTTATATTATAATACAGTATATACACGTAAAACAGTGGCCTGAATAGGCGTCAAATAAGTTTGTTAAAAAATAACTGTATAATGCTCTGCTCTTAATTGGGTAGCTATTAGTCATTCATGGAAATCACTAGCCTATTCACAGACCCTCTATCCTCTCAAAGTCCGTCGAGCGCGTGTGATAAGAAATAAACCGCGGGGGATTTATTGACCGCCAGCGCTCTCGCGCACGCCAATGTTTTCCAAAAGGACGAAAAGAAAAATAAAACGACGTCTGTGTACAGGCTAGGAAATCACAGACTAAAAATGTCCTTTCCGCTTATAAACTAGCCTCCCAGGCAGGCGTTTTTAGGGGAGCTCGTTTGTTCCTCCTGTGGGGAGGGATGAAAAACGAGCAACGCCTGCGTGAGAGGCTACATATAAACAGTCTTCAATCTTATCGTTATATGAGCGAACTATTAAGTGAAAACAACCGGCATTCTTTCGCTGGATCCAAACTGTTCCAAGCAATAGTTCTTTTTTCTTATTTCTATTATTTCAACTTGAAGAAGTTAATTTCTGTTGAGGAATTAAGGGAAATTTTGAACGCTTTCATCTTTACATACCAAAAGAAGTTTTTATCTCACAGAAATTGACTTGAAAAAATATAAAAATGATCTTAAATTTTATTGCCCGAGAAAAACGTGCATTTGTACAAAAAAAGGTCTTGAAAAATATCGCCCACAAAACGTGAAAATATCGTCAAACTCCACATCCTAAACACTCTTTGTTACAATAATTTTACCACAAGTAAAGACACCAATAGACCAATGTCCACAGTTCCATACAATAAAATTTCACAAAACATCTTAAGAACTGAAATGTACTCTGTGGTCGAATATATACTTGGTCTCCCTCGCAGCCGTTTTTTGGATGTCACGCAACGCTCCCCCAAAAGAACTTTTTCTTTTGGAGGAGCGTTGCGTGACATCCAAAAAACGGCTGCGAGGCAGACTAATATATACTCCGCTTGATACTAAAAATGAACAAGTAATAGCCCTCAACTTAAAAAACAATGTGTTTTGTGGTACAAATGCCAGCATTTGTCACAAAACGTTTCATCAGAGAGAAGATTTGTTTCTACTTTCTCGAGGACTTGTTTCCAGTCGCTCGTAAAACAAGATGTAGGCTTGATATCCCCGCACTCTTGACGAAGACAAAGAATCCACACTACAAAAAAGGAAGAAAAACACAAAGATAAGACTACAGAACGTAACCAAAGTACGTAGATGCTTCTAGCCTGCGTAGCAAGCGTTTCCGCGCGAGTTCGTCGAGAAAAGTTGGGACGACAGCGAAAAAAAGGAATGACAGGGGAGGGGGAGGGGAAAGAAGGAAACGCTTGCCCGCAAACCCCACGATTTTGAAAAACTGCGTTCGCCCACGAACGCAGCTTCTGATTGGTGCGTTGCTTTTAGTGTTGATTACTTAGCACTCGAAACATGATCCCGCTCTAACTTTCGCGCCATAACTCGATTGGAAACGCTTGCTACGCAGGCTAAGATGCTTCGGGTTCTATTTAGCCATTGCACTGTATTTAGCTGCTTCGATTGTTCACACTGGACAGTATTAAATTACTTTTTGGAAGTTTTACTAGACCCACCAACGACTACTATTAAAAATAACCAGCTTAGCCTTTTGAATGCGATAGCGTTCTTTAAATTTCCTGAACAAACCTAGGCACTGCGAATTTCTTCACAAGTTTACAATACAACGACTCAGTTGTCAGAAACTCTAAACAGCTAACTGGCTTCAGCATGCTTTTTTTTGCTTGCACTTTCTTTTCTTTTTTGAAATGACTGCATGCCCCCTACGCGTATACTAAGGGTGCGTTCCTTTGGGATGATTCGGATCAGAATCAGTGATCCGAGATCACTCGGATCATGGTAGATCAAATGAACCGAAGAATCCTTGCCCAGAGTGGATTCATCGGTTCATTTGATCTAACATGATCCAAGTGATCTTGGATCACTGATCCTGATCCGAATCATCCCAAAGGAACGCACCCTAAATAAAGACAGTTCCTTTTTCTGGTGCTACGCAAACGTTCTGCGCAAAATGGGAAGATACGAGAAGCTTCTTTTTTTTCCAACACTCAATAGCCAAAGGGAGGAGTGGATTCAAGAAAGGAACGGTAAATTTTTCCAAAATGAAAATTCGAATTGATTGAGGGCAACAACGCGGCATTTAAACCAATTCTCATTGTATGATTTAAAGGGTTTTTAGCCTTATTTCATTTAAAAAAACTCGTGAGACCTCAAAGATTTCTTACACATTCCACCATCTTCCATTAAAATCCCCTTTCTCACTCAGTAATTTTGACGAGTTTTGTGTTTGGGTGTTAATCATTTTACAATGGTACGTATTTCAACTACTTCCTTACCGTGAATCATTAAAGCAATGCCAGTTGTTGCTTATTGGATGTTTGCAGTAAGCTGTGTAATGACCTCCATAAGTGCCTCCAGAGTGATTTGAGACCGCGTAAAGAGAGTAAACAGCTGACCGGCGTTCTGGAAAGTATAACGCAATTTTGACTGAGTTAATGCAATCATAAGGGTAGCCTTCGTAGCAGGCGCCGATAAGGGCGAAGGGAGATATTTCGAGGACGCATGCGCACGTAATAAGCCAGCCACTACTTTCCTCTCTGTTCTTTATGGACCTTAAGACTGAGTAGTGGTTCAGCCAGGGCTTAAACTCGCAGTCTCCCGCTCGGTAGGTAGACCGGCGCTCGTCTAGTTGAACTAACCGGGCGGCAGTGTTCAAGCGTGACCCCGTGTGCACGTTTGGGTTGTGCGTGGTTCCCGCGCTCTTCGGCTACCTGTTCCCTGCGCATGGCAACAGTTATAAGCTCACGCGCGCTTGGCAACCGCTCTAATTTGCCCGGTTTAGGGCGTGTGAAATGATTTTGCTCACAAAACGGTTGTTATAGGGTGATAGAGTGATCTTACCACTGGGAGTGGTAGAGTGATCTTACCTTGATCAGCAGAGAACTCTGCAAGATCCAACTTCATGGGAAAATCTACATTAGACTGAAGCTTTGAGCGGAAACTGAATCCAGAGAAACGCTTTAAATCTGTGCAATATACTGTTAAGGGCAAAACATTGAATGTAAAAAGACCACTTATACAATTTTGAATCAGCTACCTAAAGTAAAAACCGACCAGGACACGAAGCGGATAATAAATTTGTTCTATAATAAGTGAGATCCCAGAGCACGCTAATGCAGTCCTTAATAGACTGTTCCAGGCGTTCAGATAGTAGAGTGCGGCCTTAAGTGGGGAGCGAGTTAAGTTGTACACCCTTTGTTTTTTTTTCTTTCTTCGTAAATTTTTCTGCCGCGCTCTACTATCTGAACGCCTGGAACAAGCTAAGTCCTTAAAATCTTCTAGGGCAATCTAAACTCTGGGGTTTTATTTCACTGTAGACGTTGACTACTGTTTATCAGCGTTAAGTTGATATTAGATTGCAAAACAGTCCGTATTTTTGCGTATTCAAGTAAGCGCCAGTAGTCAAACAAAAGGTCTGGAACGAGGCTGAAAACAAAGAGCGAGACTGAAGAGACTGAGGCTCGCGCCCTTCACACGTGTAAGACTTTTACGCCACGCTTTGCCGATTTCTTTACTGATTTTGGGAAAAGATATTACAGGGGACGATTCGTATTTTGTTACAACGTTGTTCCAACATTGTTGCTCTATGAATAATCGTCGCTGCAAATCGACCACCCCTCCCCTCACCCAACGTTTTGCCTGAGGCGAGAAGTTAGTGTTAGGTTGGCTTTGTTTTAAACTTATAGAAGGATTACAAAGGATACGAAGAACGAGGATTGGAGGAAATCTCTGGATGTAGAATTTCTTCGTCGATTTTCTCTTGGCTTTGCACTTGTCACAAGTCTACGGAAAAACGACCAAATACCGTTTTAATAAACAAGTAATGCAGATACTCTTTTTTGCTAAAGCTACCGGGCCTGCATGAGGCAAACCTTGAATTAAAGAGCTTGCTGAGAAGTGTCAAAACCTGCAGAGTCGCACATTAAAAGGTATCAACAATGAATTACAACTGTGTTGTGTGTAACCCGCTTAATGCATTTAAATGCAATTTAAAGGAGTTAACAACTAAGAGCGCCTTAAGTACCTGAGATCAGCGGTCTTTGGCATGCACATGCCCAGTAGCTGGCTTCGTTGATCATGCGATTCATTGGCGCGTTCAGTTTTCCTTCGTGCTGGGTTCTTCTAGCCATTTTCTCTCTCCCCCCCCGGCATCCCCCTCCCCCCCGGGCTTTGTTGTTTTTTCTCTCTCCACTGATGTTTTTTCAGTGTGACGGGTGCCTGTTCCTTTCCTTTCGTGTGGGGGCTCATGGCTGGGTTGTGCTGTTGTGGCAGTCATGGGGACATTATTTCAATGTAGGGGCTGGCTCCTAATGGTGGAAACCCCTAGATACTCCAGGCACCCAACCTCCATTTTAACAATGCAGTTGTTAAAACAGGTCTAATACGGCCGGAATAGCCTTGGGATTACTCAGCACTGGTTTCCTCGAGAAATGACGTCTGAGAAAAGAAAATCCACTGAGAAGCACTACCTAGATCTGGGTAGTGACACATCATCAGCGTGGAATTTCTCAGGTGCACTCGTTACTCAGACGTCATTTCGCGGGGTAACTAGAGGTGGCATCGCGAAATGTAGGCTGTTTTCTCAGGCTGCCTTGAGATCAAAAGGTGTAACATTTGATGTTCCGGGCAGAGAGAAGTCAAAATTCAGCGTACTTGCAACCCTGCATATTAGAGTGGTTTTCGTTTGAGTGTCGTAAAACCAAAACCAAAGTAATTACTCTGGCCAATCACATAGGACACAGACAATACATTGAACCAATAAAAACTCGAAGTAATTAAATATGGCTGACGCAAAGCGCGGGAAAATGCATGCGAGCGCGTCACAATTGGCTTTGGTTTTACTTCTGATTGGATGAAAAGGTGGCGCGAATCTTTTAAGCCAATCGCATCGTGTAGAAAGTGCAAAACCAATTACTTTTCGACACTCAAATGAAAACCGCTCTAATCTCGCCAGGGTAATCCAGGGTTTGAACAAATAATTTAAGGACTTTTCAAGGACACTCAAGGACACATTTCCCATTTTTCAAGGACTCCATTCAGTGCAAAAAAGAGTCTTGAGTCTGTCTTTTTTAGTTCTTCCACAAAATAAGTAACTTTACCCAAGGTCTTTCTGTGTTTTCTCTTTTTTCTTTGGAGTCTTACTTAAGCTATTAAGCTAGCATTGAAATTCAGGAACTTTCCAGCACCGACTGCAATTTTCAAGGACTTTCAGGGTGCGTGTGAACCCACGTAATCTATGAAAAATAAGGATCGAATGGCGCGCATGTCCCTAGCAGAACGCATGCTGATAAGTAAAAGCATATGGATCAATTTAGGTTTCTAGGAAACTACCCACCTACCCCTCCCTTAAGCCAACATTTTGCCCCAAGTGAAAAGTAATTGGATAATGTTGGCTTAGGGGAGGGGTAGGTGGGAAGTTTCCGAGAAACCTAAATAAATATTGATCCAAGCATACTTGCATTGACATAAAAATTAACTTACAGGTCTCTCATCACCATCCAAGACTTCCTCTTTAGTGAAAGATAGCATGCAATCTCTGATGTCACTATCTCGATCATCACAAGCGATCGACCTTCTTCCAGAGTAGCACAAAGAACCTGATTGCTGTAAAAGCAGCAACAAGTTGTGGTAAGTCTGGAAGGCTAGTGATAGAGCTGAGGAGTAGGGATAGGATATTGTTTCTGTTTTAACCTTGCCAAGCCAAAGAGGTGAAGGGCTCTCTTTTTTCTTAGTCTGTCAAGTAAAACTCGCTAGACTCAAAAATGACCACGCGCGTGACTGTCTACCCAATTTCTCGCGTTTCGCCGCTCAACGCTCGCACGCTTATACACTCCCCTCACTAAAACTAAGGAAAAAGAGACTGCTCACAGTCTACATCCAGTTTATATTGAGCAAAATGATCAGCGTCTTTTGTTCATGCCCTCTATATAACACCGCATTAGAGACGGCAGAGAAATGTACTAAAAGATATAATAAACGGTGTGCAGAGAAGCGTGCACGTTTTGCTTAACATCGTTGTTGTTGTTGTTTTTATTATCATTGACATCACGGTTCTAATTGTTTATTATAATAGGCTTTCAAAAAACAACTTCTGTACTCACCCGGGGAATGGGCAAAGACAGATCCCAAAATGGATCAAAAGTAACTGATGTATAATTACACGTACAACAGGTTAACATGCTCTTCAACTGTCCTACAAACAAATCTGGAAGAGAGTAAAAAAGCAAATTAAGTACTATGCCGTAACAAATCCATTATCCAGTTGTGAGAAGGACTAAATACAAGGTAGCTTACGCAGAGGTAAGATAATTATGACTTACCAGTCATCAAACTGTTGTCCCGGGAAATATAGCTTTTCCATGACTTTTCTGCGTTCTCTTTATGACTAAAAGTGACAACAGAAAACTTAAATGTTAGTTCTTTCCTAGCATAACAATCATACAGCTGCCTCTTACTGCTCCCCAGTTGAGTAGTAGGGGGCAATGAAAGGTGGCAGTGCAGTCAAACTCTGCTTTATAGAAACCTGCTTAAAACAGACACCTCATTGTTGCAGACAGTAAATGCTTTGTCACTGGGAAAAGAAAGCCCTTACATTTTCTCTAAATTCACTTTCTCTGGCCTAGTCTGAAAAGCCCCCATCTCCACCCCCTAACCCACGGGGGTGGAGACGTATGACATTTCAGACTACCCCTGGCCCCCTCAGTGTCCTTATTAATTGGGTCTGACTGTATTTGCAGGCTAGAAAAGACTACCTTGTTAAGAATTAGATCAGTGAGGCACACAAGTATTGTGTAAGGCTGCTGTTAAGTCACCCAAACTGGTCACACTTGTAGTAGCCTGAGAGCAAGCTCTCTGGACCCCTCAGGCAGCGGGGCAGCAAAAGGGAGCAGAGCTTGCAACTACGTCTCTCGAATTTGAATTCGACCTCCAATTCCCCTGTGGCTCCCTGTCAACTGAGCTGTCAGATTTCCACTAATCAGCACGAAGGGGAAATGAGCCCAAATGTAAACAAACATTAAAAAAACAAGTGAAAGCATGTGCCAAGGGTAATAACGTCATTACTTAAGTCATCTCTGCCAATCAGCATTTTGTATCGACTTTTTTGACCCAGATATTAAAATTCCAGAGACGTACACATAGTTACAAGCTCTCCTTCCTTTTCCTGCCCCGTCACCAGAGCGCCCCAAAAAGCTTTCGCGCAGGTTACTCTTGTGGCAAAGATGATTAATTCCTGGATTCAGTGTCTTTGGCATGGAATAACTATTAAAACAGTCTCCTGATCTAACAGATAACTTCCCTAAAAGATAACTTTGAGATGCAAAAAGAATTCATTGAGCATCTTCAATTCATTGAAAAGAAAAGGTTGCCATCTAGTTTGTTACTGGTTATGTAAAAGAGACAGAGGAGTTACCATTTGCTATTTATTTTTTTATGTTTTTCTTTTAAGGAAGTATATTTTCACAGGATCTAATAATTATTATTTTAGACGTTGGAAGACCGCAATGTTCACAAAAAATCCAGGCATATACCATACGATACTTATCACCTATTAATTTCACTTTAGATTAAAAGACATTTTACCTGAGCTTATAGTCAAATTCACAAGGTGTGTACTTTGGTTTGGATTTGACTTGATTCAAGTCATCATGCAGGCCTTCCAAAAGAAAGCGTAAAAACTCCTGGGCATCTTGTTGACTATAAACAATAACAAAACCACAAATAATATTATTATTTACAAGTTTCACAAATGTGCAAGTTTTACCTACCAATCGTTTTCACACACCCTAAACCCTAGTTTACAAAATAATGAAAAGGTTTGGAAATTTTTATCCACCTCAAAAAAGAATATGGGTGCATCAGGGTTGTCACTTGCGGCCAGAGGTAGTAACTTCCCCTAGCTACTATAAGCAAGATCCACAAAATTAAAGAAAAATATAACATGAACATAAAGAACTTCCTAGCTGTTCAATTTCCTGCCTTTGGTATAGACCCAGCAACTTCAAATCTGACAGCCCTGGTGCATTGTGCAGCTTCTTGAGTAACTGGAGACACATAGAATAGAAAAACTCACTTGTAACCAACAAATCGTGGTGCAAATCGTTGGATTTGAGTCTTGAATGTGTGTGGTGATACAGCATCACTATTCCCTGGCTTCCACATTGATTTAATCAGTTCCCCAAATGCTGTCCAAAAAAAAGATCACTTAGTACTACTACCCCTTCCATCCGGAAATAAAATAAACAAAATAAAGCCCTATTGGGCTGACACAGACAAATCCAGTATAGGTTGATCATTTCAATCCCAGAAGTGGGCTAAATCAAAATTTGAAAAAAATCCAAATTTCAAGTTGTAAAATGACAAAAAACTGAAAAGCACCATTTTAATACTTTTCTAATGATTCTACCTATCCTTCAGAAGCTTTCATTTGAATGGTCATACTAACATGCAATTTGACATTTACATCATTCACCATGGTGTAAAGAGTTAAATACTTTCCTTTTTCATGCCACTTTGACTTTACTGTTGATTTTTTCCTTTCATGCCACTACTACCTTCAACAACTGTCCCGTTAAAAGTCGTGTGTGACTTAGACATTGAAGAATAGAATTCATAAAACACTGAAAAGAGAACGAACAAAGAAATTTTTGGTTGGAAATTAGTACAATGAAACAATTTAGACAATCAACACCACCACCAGGGCCAGAAAAGGTTTTCTGTTTTGCTTGTCCATTAGGACAAGCATTTCTTAGATTTTCCACATGTCCAAAACAAGCACTATCAAAACTGATGGAAATTGTTGCACATGACAAATTTTACTCACTATATTGAGTGCCAAAAAGAGTGCTTTACAAATTTTAGTCACCTGAGAAAAAAACTACTTGAAAAATTTTGATCCAAATTGCCTTTTTTGTTGTATGCATCATGATAATAGTTTGTTTGTTTTAAGTTCATCTGTCAACCTTTACTGAAAAATCAGGACCAGCATAAATTCTTTTACTATTTTTTATAAGCTTTTTAGAGCAGATTAAACTCCTTGCCTACAATTTTACATGCTTACCGTATTTCCTAAATTACGCAAACCAACTAGACCATCAGAGTTTCCTATTCCAGTTGGCTGTAAAAGAAGAGAGCAAAAATTAATGCATGTACAGTAATTGTTCACAAATGGACATCACCGAAATATAAAACAAAAATTTTCTCATTTTTTAATGATTTGAAATTCGAAAACAATCAGCTCACCACAACATGCAAATAACTTTTTAAATACTTGACAGACTGTTTTTGTCTATTAATGTAGGATGGTAGGTTTTTTGGGGCATGCTGACTTCGTTTAGCCAAGAAAATCCAGAGAAGACAAGAGTAAATTCCTAGAATGAAAATGAATTCGCCTGCAAGAGCCACTATTTTGCCCAGAATCTTGAATAATCAAGTGTAAAGAACCAAAAGAATGGACTAAGAAAACTTGCAAGCTAAATTCAAATGGATTTAAAAACAGTCATTTCACAAGTACACTGAAATTCTTTACAATCTAATTTCACCTATTGCAAAATGCTTTTAACACCACCTTCACACAAACATTTAAAAAAAATAATAATTATAAAGAAATAAATGTGCAAAATATAGTTGAATATGCATTTAAAAAAGCACTACCTGTTACTAGGTTGAATTTCATTGGTTTTGACCAGAATATTAAACAAACCCTTACAATAAATTATGTATAGCATTATCATTATTGAAAATCTGACAGCAAAAACTGTGCATGTTCAAATTGTTCAATTTCCCCACATAACATTACACACTGTATTTTGGAAATTTTCCAATAATTGTAGAAAATTTTATTAAAACAAAGCAAAGATTTACCGAGCATGCATAAACATGTTAATTATTTCCGTTTGTTTGTTTGTTTTTTTAAACTAGTTATTTTCAAACACAACTTAACCATTGTTTTAAATAATTATTTTTTGTCCTCTAACTTGGCCATTTATTCAATCTGGATTTACATCTAAACTGAGATGTTTTTTCAATTTATTATTGTCACCAAAATTAGTATCATCAGCATAACTGAGAAAATAATTCACTCTGGCAAGTCCATCTAAATAACAAAAGAGAAGATAAAAGATGCCCTAATTATAGTGTTATGAATGCAAAATTACAGTGTTAGTGGTTACATTTAGTTAAAATAACTATCCGAGCGACAGGTCCTTGAACAGATCAGTGTCTTTTAGACTCTTTTACACTGTCGACCAAGCAAAACAGTTACTGGGTGTCCCAGAAAAACCTTAAAATGCTATTAAAGCACCAGTGAATATTTTTGGGGAGGAGGGAGGAGGGAAGTTACCCTATACCTTTTCACAGGAAATATGTACAATATATATAAAATCTGCTTATCAACAAGTTTACAACAGTTCTCAATGACAAATAAACTTTACATTTTTTAAAAAAGTCCTGCTATATTGATAGCAGTAAAATCACCAGTGATAAGAAAAAGTTTAAAAGGCTTGAAAAAGTTTTCCATTGTTAAAAAAAAACCTTATGATACTCTAGTAATTAACAGTCTAAAAAGGGTTTCATCCTGTAATAAAAGTTTACAGTGCACATGACAAACAATTAACAATTATTGGACGAGGTTAAGCAAAATATCGGGATTTGTCTGTGGAGAGCAGATCAATAATTTTTGCCTCAGCCTTCGGCTTCGGCAAATAATTGATCTGCAAGACACTGACAAATCACGATATTTTGCGATAAACGAGTTCAACAATTGTTTTATCATTTGATCACCGAGTTTGTTTTGTTAATGAATATCCTCGGGAAGCAAGGTGATCTGCCATTATCATGCAAGAGCGATCACAAAAGGAGAAAAGCATGGTTTCCTTTACGCATGAGCAGAATATCATTTGCAGCCAAACACTGTTGGATGGCATTGCACATGACCAGACCATTATTTGTAGGCAGTTAATTGTAGGTCACGTAGTGGGCTTTCGGCCAATGAAAAGAAAGAAAAATTTGCTTTGAATAATAACAATTATTTGATGCACATTCTATTTCATTCTTGTACAGTGAAATTCAGATGTCTCTTTTTACAAAAGCATATTCTTTCAGTTTACACTAGCTTGAAAGTTAGCTTCTGACAGTGATTCATGGGAAAAGCTATCTTCCAGCTCCTTTTTGATGAAATCTTATCATACATTCAAAATAATTTTGGCAAGTTCAAACTTGACTACCAGTCAGTATTGAGAACTGCTGCAAGAACAGGTGATTTTTTCTCACCAGCATTTTGCTCTGTGAAAGATCTGGTTCAAGCAGTGTCCATAGCACCATACCAAACAAAAATTATAAAACTACATCAACATCACCTTAAGGTGTGCTTATCCAGCGGCAAAGATATATCTTGCAAAAAAATCACTTTTTACACTTGTGGGTTTGCTAATTTATGTTACATCTAACAACATCAATAAATTGGCACAAACATTTGTGCCAAATTAATTGATGTTTTGGTTATATCACTATCACTCCATTAAGAAATGCGATAAGTGTACGTTCTAAACAAATAAACTTGCATGTACTGTCCATATCTTACAAACATGAGCTCATCCACTCACTTACCGAAGGAGATGAATTATTCGAAGAACTTAACGATGATCTTCTTGAGCATTTGAGATCAGCTGGAGAAGCAGTTATGGTAGCTTTACGAGATTTTTCAACATCAGTGATGTTAACATTGTTTTTGTTACCATATCCGGTGGGCAAATCTCCGTCCAGTGTACGAGAATTTGCAGGTTTGGTCAATGAGGTCCTAGTACTACTGTCTTCGGCCTTGCGATCTCTGAAGTCTGAGTGTGTTGTTGATTGATATAAACTTTGTCTAGTATTAGTATTAGCATAGGGTTTAGAGCTCATATAATCGCGTTCAGTACTTCTTTGTGAGGTGTGATGTGACCCCATCTTGACGCTAACTCCACGGTTAGAAACCGACTCAGTCCGAGTCCGGTAATAAGGGGACGAATCGATAGATTCATCCCTCGAATATAGCTGGGAAAATGATTTTGATTTTCGGCCAGCCAAACTACCATATTTAAAATTATCAGCATATGCATAATCCTTTCCTCTACTCCCGTATCCAGAGTCATCTAAAGCTTTTCTTTGTGTCGCTGAAGAGTTTTTTAGCACTAGGTTCGTTGACAACTATTAACATGTGAAGTTCCTTCCCGTGATGTTATTGTACCAGAGTGAGACGCAATAAATTCAACCTTCCCATAGTCGACCGTAGGTCGATTTGGCAGTATCGGGCCGGGCCCATTAGGAAGACTCCGACCAGACGAAGAATGCAGTGGTTTAGAGGATCTCATAGAGGTATAAGAAGAAGATGATCTAGTAGTGCCAGCAACTGGACGCGAATATGGAGGCAAGTTTGTCGTTTTCATAGCACCACCAGTATCACGCGAAAAACTAGACGAAGCTAATGATAAACCACTCCGATGCATTGTAACAGACATTAACCTATCATATAAATAAAGGATAATTCTAACCACAGCTTATAACCACGTTTACACGGTGTTTCAAAACTGACCATATTGAACGTTTGTGCCGCCATGTCGGCTACGTCACGTGACGACAATTGTGATCTTGACAAATGTTTCTATTATTGATGATGTCATAGCAACCAAACATTTCGACAAAGCTTGTCTGTCAATGGTGAACTGCGTCTCCCTCGCAGCCGTTTTTAGTATCGTCAGGAGCGTTGCGTGACGATACTAAAAACGGCTGCCAGGGAGACTAGGGTGAACTGTGCGGGATGTGTAGAATTTTCAAATTTAAAATGATAAACTCCAGTAGAAGTAAAACTTTTTCTTATATTAAGGTATGCGGCTTTTCTGTGTTGCATCCTAAAAAAAAACTTTTCCAACTTTGCAAAATATACTACAGGGTCTTATGCGACTTCTGACATACAACTAGTACTGAATATTAAATCAAGAGCCATAATGGCAGCAAGCTCTACAATAACCTTGAGAATCAGTCTGAAACAAACTGCAGATAAATGAATAATGTTTTCTCCTAACTTAAAAGTATGAAAAGCTTTTATTGAAGCGTAAGAAGAGCACAGGATCAACCCGTTTGGGTGTCCTGTGTCGAGCAGTTGCCATGGTACCCCAATATCTTAAAACAGCCGGTGATAAGTACTGTAATACAACAAAAATTTATTCCAGGAAAATTCCCGGGATTATTTTTAAGGTTGGACATGCCTTTCCCTGTATGTCACGCGCCTGCAATCATGGACAACAGAGGTCACATCAACACACCAAGCTTGAAGGGTCTTGAAGTCATATCTCTTGAATTCCTTCCTTAAAACGCATCCTCAAAGCTTTCAGAGCGTCAACACTTTCGATCTGTACTACGAAAATTGCTATAAGCCCGGCCGAGGCAACCTTATGAAAATTGAAAGACAGGAAGCTTCGAAAGCGAAAGTGGGAAAGTCCCTTTAAAAGGGCATCGTGCTTTTGATTGGTTAACAGCAACCAGCCAGGGCTAAAAATAGTGCATACTCTTTATCATCCGATTCTTCCTCTTATGCAGTGGGTCTTTTTACAGGTTACAATTTACGAATGATTGTCAAACTCAAAGAAGGATATTTTCACTCTGATAAATGGTTAGCGGGACACACTTAGGTTCAATTTTTGGCAGAAGTCCTGAAATGGAGATCAGAACCGTGGATCTTGCCGCGAGTGGTATAAACTTCACTTCCGCTGTGAAGCAGAGCTTCCCAGAGTCTGTTCAGAAGACCACTAAAGATGCCATCAAACGAAAACTTACTGCAAGAGTTTCCCCTATGACGCGAAAAACGGAACAAGTTTCTGATACTAGAGTTAATTTGCAAGTTTCTTGTGGGCGAAATTCTCAACATTCGAACGACAACTTTGGCAAGAAAGAATTCAGCTTGGGCAGCAATTTTTCATCGACAGCACCCTCCAATTCTTCGCGTGCTCAAAGCAGTCAAAAAAGACTTGCAGAGAAGCGTAAATTACCCTCTACAAATATCATTGTTCCTGCAAAAACGGCGAATTCGAATTCTTCAAACAAAACAAGAGAAGAGAAACACATTAAAAGGCCTCGAGCCATATTGCCACGCACCAGTATATCTCAGGCCCAAGGTAAGTATTAAAGGTTGGTTTAGAAAATACAGTTAATATAGAAAAAAATTATGGGAGTTTACTTCTGCGACAGTAAGGAAAAAAAACTTTCCTATCAGCCTTTTGCATAAGAAAGAGATCGAACGAGAGGCCTTCTACTTTGGCACGCGACGAAATTTCTTGTTTTAAAAAAGTATAAATTAAGACTAAATAATGCGTCAGCGAAAATTTGCATGCAAGTTTTATTTACCTTTTTATCCTAGAAGCTAATAGCTTACTCGAGATATATCATTTAAAACTCTTTTCGATTACATTTGTTAATTGAACATTCTGGTGAAGAAGTATTGTATCGAAAGATATCTTGAAATTCGGGGCAATCCCGTTTCTGATTTTTATATATATATGTACACAAATATCTTCCTTATCCGGGAAAGTCCCTTTCGATACGCACGCTTTCCCACGCCTCGATCCAAATCTCTTCGGCGATCTGCTTTGAACTTCCGGTGATCGCACAGCCCTCCGGTTACGAAATGAGGAAGTGTAACAGTGTCATCAAGCTGAAACAAGTCATGTAACAAAATATCGCTAAAAGGATGTTTATTGTTTTCGCTCAGCATGGATACTTCTACTCTCAGTGAGATTTTATTTCACCACCCCTAGATAGTATTACCCCTAGATAGTATTGCTTTGAACTTAGGTCACCCATGGGTGATAATTGGAGTGGAATCATTATTGGCATGTTTATAAGCATGTTATAAGCGGTGGCGGAGTGAAATAAAAAGTGGTGGTGGGGGACTAAAAATAAAACTGGACATTCCATATTCCCCACCCCCCTCCCCAATAGGTCCCCCCCCCTCATCTAGCCCCTCATTTGGACTCTTCGGATGTAATCTTCAATGGTGCTGACAACAAAAACTACATAGGGTAGCATTGGGGGGGGGGGTGGGGGGAATGAGTGCCGATAAAAAATGAAATGTCCCAATTCAACTGGCTACATACTTTGTTTCTTGTTTTAAACAGACTTTGCATCAGCCAATGTTTTGTGACAGTAAACAAGCATGCAGTTGTTTAACCAATCTTGCTTCATTGTGTTCCTAAGGCTGACTCATCCCCAGTCGTCTTTGCGTCTTCGTGCAACTCTCCCTTGCTTTCCACCTTCCCATCACATCCCTTGCCCTCGCACTGGGGAGAGACACAGAGAGATGACTGGGGATGAGTCAGTTCCTAAGGTAATGCTTTGAGGCATCTCAGAGTGGAAAAACTTCGCTCCAATGCAGAGACTTGTGTTTTTTAAAAACATGGAAGTTGGTCACCCATACTGCAAAATTAAATGCAGGAAACCAAACTGATTCATGAAAGGGGAGGAGAGGAGACCACCCCCCATAAAATCCCTGAGCCAAGTAGTAACGTTTCTATGTTTTAACTTTAAAAACACACATCTTGTTGATAACAAAGTTCTTGAAAGTTACCAACATTATTTCACAGCTCCCAAAGTCCCAACTCTTGTAGTACAGTGCAACAAACGCAATTCAACCAAGGTGACCCCAGATTTACTATTTTTATTTTGGTACATGTAGTTTGTAAGCCAATAGTAATGATTAATAGTTCTGTAAAATACAAAGTGTTGGAACCCTGGTCACAGGTTTGATTCCATTTTTGGATAAATTTTGGGTATTTAAATAATACCCACCTCCCTAAAAATAACAAGTCCCAAACAGGGAATTCCCAACCAAGTTCCCCTTGGGACCCAAAAAATTTGGGATTTTTGTTATTTGAAAAAATAATCAATTTTTCCTGTGGGTAGGGTTGTTTTAAATTCCCACAAAAAATAAATTTCCAGAGGCACCCAAAAACAATTATTTGAAAATAATCAATTTTATTTTGTCCAGAACCAAAACCCAAGGCCATAACCAAAACTAATGAGTGACAACGTGGCGACAATGAGCCTTTTGTCAGCTTCAGAATGCCACTTAGCAGCTCTTCAAGATGAAGATGGAGATACGTAAGTCAAAAAGATTTTTTTCGTAGACTAACTAGCCCCAGGGCTTTGGGGGGAGAAGGAATGTGTCATCAGGGGGGGCGTTGTAACTATATAGGACTAAAACGCAAGTGTATAATTTATTTTAGCATATTACTGTTAAAATGAAGATTTAACAACAGGCAACTGATTCTCATAGCAAAGAGAAAAAATTAATAATAATCAAAATGCTAACATTATTTGTGGTCAAATAGTATCAAAAAAATATATTATTTCATTTTTTTTCTTTTAATTTTGTCTTCTCACTCATCCACTGTCTTGTTTAGAGACCTGGCAACTGAATTTTTTCTTTTGTAGTTAGGAGTTTTAAAGATTATTAATGCAAACCAGTTTTTATTTTTATTATTATTTAAAAATTAATATTTTTTAACTCTTTCATATTCTTTTTACTCAAATAGTGGAACCTCAATATAATGAAGGGCCAAGAGACTGGCAAAATTTGTTTGCTCTGATGAGGTTTTGTTATATTAAGGTTCTCTTCTATATATTTACTTTTACTGGGTTAGAGAAAATAGTTCATTATACCAAAATAACGACTTTGTTATACAGAGGCTTGTTATATCCCCAGGTGGGGTACTCCAAATTTAAAGTGACAGGCTAGGGATGATCAAAGGATTTTTTGGGGTAGGAAAATTTTGGCAAGTGTTTTTTTTGGTAGAATTTAAGTAAGAATTTTCTTCGGTATTCAAAACAATCTAAAGGTTCATGATAGTTCCTGCGTCTCATGTGGCACATAGTTCCTCTGGGAATTTTTATGGCTCTGAAATTCGGTATGGCTTTTTTGGGGGGTTAAATTTTGGTCCAGGGATTTTTTGGGTTTTGATTTTTGCCCCCATTCGATCATCCCTATCACTTGACATCTGGAGTACTGCCCTGGGGTTATATCAAGGTTCTACTGTATTCACAAGAATTTCTATTCTTTCTCATTACAGGCCACTTCACATAGCTATTGCTCATGGGAATACCCAACTTATAGAATACCTTATCAGCCTCATGTCATGTTTATCCCTGGACATTTATAACAACTTAAAACAGACACCACTACACTTAGCAGTTATAACTGGACAAGCCTATATTGTAGGAAAACTTATCACCGCTGGTGCCAATCCAAACATGCCAGATCGCAATGGACAAACACCAGCTCACTTGGCTTGTCAGAGGTCAAGTTTAACGTGCTTAGAAGAACTTTTTAAGGGGCAAGATGAGATGGACCCAGATTTGAAAAATTTTAGTGGATTCACTCCTTTACATGAAGCTGTATTTGCAAGCTGTACGGAGACTGTGAAGTGTTTGGTTAAACATGGTGCAAATGTTAATTCCAAGGTTTGTAAAGATCTTTTCTGTTTCTAAATTTTTTGGAGGTGGGGATTGTAGATTTAGGCAGGGCAAAAACACTGGAAATAAGAATTGGAAAAGGAAGCAAATGAGTTGGGATAGGAATTGGGCTGGCAAAAATTTCGGAAAAGTTTGCCAACAAAAGGGCAAATTGAGATCAAGGAAGTAAGATCCCTTTGTTTTTTGCTTTTTTTTACAACTTGCAGACATTATAAATAAGTGCCTAATTATATTAACAAAGGCTAAGTAAGGGAAAGTTCATTTAATATGACAAGGGGGGGGGGGATGAAGATATTGAAACTCGATGCTTGAAATTTTAGCAGCCCCCCTCACTAGCGGTTCAATTTTTTAGGAGCCCCTCCTTGGCAGTCTAAAAAATTTCAGAGCCCCCCCCCCCTCCTCCTTCAATTCCTTTGCTCCCCTGAAAAAAGATCGCTAGACTGTATTAAATATATTTACCATTATTGTCTTCAATGGTTTATACTATGACAAACTTGAGATACAGTTGTGATACAATTTTCTAAAGCATTTTTGGGATGAACAAGAGTGTAATAATTACTGAGACTACATTTGTTATATCTGTAAACCACGTGATATAGCTGAGTTGCACAGGTCATTGAATTGTTGAGTTGTATGATGATGTCATGTGTTGGTTTTGAAGTATACAAATTTTCGGAGCCCCCCCTCCTAGCGCAACAATTTTTTCAGAGCCCCCCCTTCGGGTGTCTAAAAATTTTCGGAGCCCCCCCTCAATATCTTCATCCCCCCCCCCTTGTCATATTAAATGAACTTTCCCTAAATGCATCACAGAATTTGTCACAGCTAACACATGTAGCAAAGGAGAGAACCAACTTCAAATTCAACCCACATAATGGCATCAACATAATGGCGCCAGGATTCATACCTGGGCCATGTTGGTGTGAGGAGAGTGCTCTCACCATGCTGCCACCCTCAACAGATATTGATAGCAAGTTTAATTCCTCACTAGGATGGTAAAAGTGGACGTACCCCTCTTCACCATGCCGTAGAAGCAGAAAATGTTGAAGTCATTGAAGAACTGCTCAAGTGCGGGGCAAACCCTAGTGAACCAGCATTCTCTGGGAACACTCCACTGCAAATTGCAAGTGGACGATGCATGCAGAATATCAGAGGTCTACTTGAAGCCAACACGTCAAAAACTGCCGTTATTGGAAAATTCAAATTGGTAAGAAAATTGCATTTGATTTGATCGTCTCTGTCTTCCTTATGGTCTCAGGGAGGACTCCCTAGTAATAATCTTGGCTTTTCACATTGGAAAATTTTAAAACCAAGAAAATCAAAACACTGATATCATGAAAAAAAGTCTTCATCCAGTAAAAATCCAAAACTACGAACATTGGAGTCAATAGATAAGAGATTTGATCATGCCTCAGACTAAAAAAAAATTGAGCCCTGTTGCTCAAAGGGACTGAAAACATCCGGGCCCCAAAGGGAAATTTTAAAATCAAAACTTCTTGAACAGAAGCACAGTTCATAGCTCACAAACCAGTCAATTTTGCTTTCTTAATTGATAGTTTCATTGTACCACTTTCAAAATTATTGAAACTTTGATATTGAAGGCAAACATGGCAAACACAAAACAGCTTTCTGGGCCGAAAAAGTCACTGGGTCTTTCGAGAAATGGGCTCCTGGATAGAACCATTGAATTAATTTAGAATTCATATTTTTTTCACTATTACAGATCCCTCAGAGACCTGCAGTGCAGCAAATGACTGTCACTGTTCCGCAGTATGTGTATCAAGACAGCAGGGGTGTAGTGTTGAAGAATACATATGCTTAATTACGTTATTTTTTAAAACAAAACAACTATAGGAAAAGTCCCATCAACAAGAAAACATGGACTTTAGGTTACCTGCACAATGTACATAAAATACAAACTAAAGTGCATGGCTTGTTGTTAATATAGTTTTACACAGTGCTCCAAGCTTTGCTTTTCAAAAAAATGGTTGCCAGACATAAATATCGGTCCACAGAAAAAAGGCACTACCTGAGGGTTTGAATATTATTACTGGTCGTCAAAATAGCTGCCCAACTATTGCAATCAAATTTGCGGGTGATGATGATGATGATGATGATGATGATAATAATGAACTTTATTCATGTGTCAATGTATTTAGCTGATGCTAATTGGGTGCACAAAATCTAACTTCTTTTTTTACAATAACACTGAAAGTTATTGATCACATCATTCCCATGGTCTGTACTCTCAACAACCATATCTCTGCACCAATCGTGGGCGAAAAATTGCTCCGTTATTGTCAAACATTTTTTTCTTGGCATGGCAAGCAAAAAGGTCACAGATTGAAGTGCTGATGCAGCCTAGATTTTTATGATTAAATAACAGTGAGACTGTAATATATTTATATAGAAGATCAAACTAGTGCCTTGAAAAGTATTATAATAGCTTCAATTTATAGAAGGTTTCAACACAAAGGTAACGTTTACTGGTAGATTTAAGTAAGATAATCAGGATTATATATTCATATTGATTTTGTCGTACAAATTTCACATCCTAAGAGATGTTTTGTTTATATTCATGCTAGTTGTTGCTCATCACAATGTCTTGTTTAACAAACAGATATTGGGTTTATAACCATTGCTATGCAATGAGAGGTATTTAACACATGATATAGCAAGTCCATGTTTACGGGCTGATATCAGTGTGACATTAGCTTTTTCACGAATTGTGGTTTCTGGATATTACAATGGATTGGAACTGAAATAAAAGGCCAATAACTCACGATAGTATGGCTTGAGAAATCTTAAAATAGCTGAGTTATCTCCCTTTCAAGTGAAATCTTCTTGTTATTAGTAATGGTAACAGGACTGAGTGGAGTCCAATTCAGTCTGTAATCATATTAACAAAATCGCGGGAGTCCGATTTGTTTAATCACAAGTATGATTACAGACCAAATTGGACGACACGAAGTTCTGTTACCAAATTATTAATTATGACTTTAACAAAATTTGTGATATATTATTAGGCTCTTTTTTTAAATCAAAACTCAAGAAATTCTGAGATTTTTTTTTGCCAGCAGTGAAAAAAAAAGCCACTTAAGCCCGCGCGTGACGGTGCATACTGTCCAATTACTAAGGCATGACGCGTACTGTCCTATTTAACTGTCCTATTAAGGCTGAAATCAGGGCAGTTGATAGCAAATCAGATTTAAGAATTTTGTTATAGTTATGATTAAGAGATTAATGATACAATAATAATACCTGCTAGACCTGGGTTACAGGTCAAAATAATATTAAATTCAGGTTAAATTTTTTTTTTTTTTTAATTTAGGTTGATTCTCTGTTTCCTTTACCTCCTGAACCTAATTATGAATTGGGACTAAGAGATATAGAAAATTGAGAATCAACCTCGTTAAAAAATTTTTGACCTGTAACATAAACATATAAGACTGGACAAAAATTATTAATTTTAGTTGTCAACATCACTCCTTCTAATCATGGGTGAAACATTTTGTACAGGTACGGTGTAAGAATGTATATAAATGAATAAATAAACTTTAAAAAACCCACTCCTCAACACTTCTGTTAAGTTTGTTCCTACATTGTATTTTATATTATTACATGTACCTCTTCAAGGAAATCACATGTATCAATAATATTAAATGCACATTATTTACTTAAACACTCTGCTGTCTGTTTATTTATGCCTTAAGGGTTTTCTAAAGATACACTTATCAATGACATTTTATTATTTATGACCATGGCTGAAAAAAATATCAGCCATAAGTTTTGAGTAACATCATAGTTACTTACAGTGTTTTAAGGGAAGGACTTCTGACACTTAACTCATTACATTAAAGAAGAAAAAACAAAAATAATTTGCAAATCAATTTTATAGGTTAAGGTAATAACTTAAACAAATTTATCAGGTCGTTATAAGTAATATTATTTCTGTTTTTTTATTATTATGCAGTAATGTATTGTTAAAATTAATTGGACCTTACCAAAGTTACAGAAAAATGGTAAAAAAATCTGATGTTATCATGTCCAAAAAAGTACGCTGATTGTCTTTTATTGATTTGTTTTTTATTGCAAAAATGTGTTTTGCAAAGTACATGACTGTATTGTACACTGTATATAGGAGAGAGGAATATTACAGCAAACACTTGGAAATCTTTCCTGCTATCACTATCAAAATCTCATAATAAATAATATTAAAAGAATTTAATTTACCTGATCTACTATTGTACAAAAACACATTATTTCAGGTGTTTAGAAAGTTTTTTTCCCAAAGCATCAATTTACCTTTTCACAGTTAAACAGTGTTTCAAAGGTAAAAATCATAAACTCCATTCTAGTGAACAGAAAAAGGAAATTCTCTAGCATTGATTTCACACATTATGTCACTAAAACACCAACAATAGTACCTTGACTAAGATAAACATTATCAGACCCTCTATTAAAACAAACAAAACTATTTCAAAATTATATAGATACGTAAATTTGTCTACAGTCTACTATGAAGTCATATACTTGAGCCATTGTTGGTGATCAGTGACTGTGTGGGAGTTTAACCTCATCCTCCTCCACCGGCACCTAAAATGTAAAACAAAATAAGTTGTACAGTAAAATTTAATATACTAACAGTCATAATCCTGTAAACTGGCTGTTGTAACCTGTACTTGGACCTCCCTGCCATTTCACAGTGCAAATATTTTTCCACTATTTAAGACAATGGGGTTTAAACCTTCATGTCCCAATATCCACAGATAAATTCTTTGGAGTGATTTCCAATCATTTCCTCAAATAATTGGTTGCGAAAATTTGATAGAAGATCAAACCATTGATATTATAAGGAGAAAATAATTGATGTTGGTCACAAGAGACTAAAATACAAGTGATGAATTCACCTTACCTAAGTAACTGACAATACTTTTAGGGGGAAATTAATGCTACGGTGGCAAAAGGTTCTGATGACTGTAACCTGATATCAGGCCCAATTTTAGCGGTTCTCATACATTCTCTCTAACGGCTACCGCTAAAATTGGCTGTTTTCGTTTTGCCTTGCTTGCCAGAATTTTATTTACAAAGCGAAACGAAAATTGAGCCTGATCTCAGATTATGATGACTGAGGTACATGGTCATAATGAACTACACAACAAAGTGTCTTGTTTATCCTCTGTATTTATGAAATGTGATGGGACACAACAAGATGTTTTGTCTTAGATTTTGTTCCATAGAAGTAATATTAAAATACAAGTAGCAAGTCACTGATTGTCTTGGTAGTTCGTAGCATAGCCTCTCTTGTGTTTTACACATCCTTTTCCTCACCTGTGGACTGCATCAAGGGCGAAGCCATTCATTTGCCTCTCTCCTTGCTGCTAGTTAAGGTGAGATGGTTTGTGAGGTTATTGATTCCCAAATAACATAATTTATGATGTGACTTGACAGCAATTATCTCTATATCTTGTTGTGCAGCCATCTAGTATCTACGGCAAACATCTGATTTTAATGAGAGCCTGAGATTATTACCTCTTCTTGAAGGTCTGTAACTAAATCCTCCCCCACCTCCTGATAATGGCCTGTAATCTGTAAAATCAACATTACAATGTTAACTGATTGTGTTGCCAGGGCAACACCAAACTTGTGCTCACCCTTAAAACATTTTTGTAGCCTTTTTACAACTGATCATTTCCAAACTTAAATTTGGAGATGGGTGTATATCTTATGTGTCATGTATTTTGAATTGACATGTATTCTTTACCTGATTTTCTGAGAGGTTTATCTGATTTCTTTGGCTTCGCAACACCCCGGGCTTCATTTGACTCATCCTTTACAAAAAATGAAAAAAAAATCTCCGTTAAAAAAAACAAAAACTAGTTGAATGAAAATTGATTTTATTTGTGCCCTAACAAAACAGTAGAATATTTACCGAAGATTTGAATTTTTTGGAGCGATATCCTTTTCCTTGTTGATGTCTCTCCCAGTCTTCTATCCTCTCTCTTCTTTTTTCCTCCTCTTCCTGAAATATTGGGAATCATTAAAAAAAACACTTGGTTATACCGTACCTACAGTCACAGAGAAACCCTGCCTTACAGCCACCTCGGTAATGCAATCACAGCGTTATTACAGCCATTTTTTTGGCCACCAGGCAAAACAACCATACACATTCTTGTAAAAAACCCTTGTTAATACTGTATGAATCAACCAATTAACCTGAATTCAAATTTGCCCTGTAAATTAAAAAGATACTCAAAATTGCAATGTGCCAAGGATGCCTAATCAAAGTTGCAGACTTTGAAATTCATTTCACTTCTCAAGACCTATATTTATACTAAACTCGTTAAAGCCCATTGATTCGATTTCATTAGTTGTTCTTTGTCAAAGGGGCTCTTCCTTTGAGCTACACTTGCTCCACAGGTCAATCCTTAAAATGTCTAACATGAAGTAAACCATGCTCACAATAATTGAGAGCATTATGACATGTGCTTTGAATTGGATATAAGCACAAGATACATGTACATTAATTCATAGACTGCCAGGTTGTGCCAGGATACAATGTATTTCCTTTAAAAAATCGTGGACAGAATGGGCAATATAATTATTATACTAACCAACTTTTTGTCTTCCATGTACTTGGCAGCCTTTGCATCCTGTTTTTCCTGCCATCTCCTTCTTGCATCCTCCATTCTTTCCTGCTGAGTTGCTGCTTTAATAGGATCTAAGTGACAAGGGCAATGATTCAACAAAACTGACAGCTGTTGTTATTTTTCAGCAGTTGTCTGGGAATTTGGCACTGTCAGCTCACTACCCAGATTTGGGTAGTGACGCGTCATCAGTATGGAATTTCTACGCTCCTTTCTCAGACGTCATTTGGCAGGGAAACCAGTGGTAGCGTCACCAAATGTTGGCTGTTTCATAGAATGTCAGTGGACTACTGGTCAACAGCTTACCGACAGTTGGCTGACAGAATTTTATGGGAGCTCTTCAACACTTTTACCCTCAAAAATATATACAGAACTTCAGGAGAGGGTTTGTTATTTGAGATCCCTCACCCAAATGGTAAAACAAAGGCCAGACAGGCCATCTTCTCTCTCACCAAACACTTTGCAGAGTACCAGTTTATATTTCACACTTTCTTTAAAAGATGTGGCTTGAACCAAAACTTCTCTCCCTTTAAAATTCATTCCTAATACAAAATCTTAAACTAGCAAGCAAGACAAGAATGATATAGGACAAAATTACTCACCAAAGTTTGCAATTTCTCTTTGGCGCTCCCATCTGTCCTGTAAATCTTTCCAATATGGCCTCAGTTTTTGCCACAGGAAGACTAAGATAATCAGACCAAGAACAATGAACCAGCCATAACGTTCCAAGAAAGAGACACCTGCAAGTTTTTTAAGGAAAGGTATTGATAATGTGAAGCAAGAGGGTGGAATAGATCGATGATGCTATTGCACTTTTTAATTCAGCTGTAGTGAGTATTTGGCTCTATTCCTGAGTCCACTTTCAGAATAAAAGTCCTTTCCTGCTTTTTTTAATCATTATTATTTGACATAATAAGTTGGCAAAAATCCATTAACACTGTACATAAAAGCACCTTATAAAATCAGTCAGTGCTATAACTCTCCTGGATAATGTGGGAGACTCCAGATTTTGGACTGTGTCTCCCAGTCTCCAGATTAGAGACTGAAATCTCCTGGATAATCGCTGAAGTTTGCTAATTCTTGTAGACTCGAATTACTAACTGCAAAATATTAAATATTTTGCATGCATTGCTAAAGCATTTTACTGTTAACATGGAAAGTGTCCTCATAAACTCTGGTATGCCATTTTAATTTAGGCAATAATGTGGCTAAATATGAACTGTTTTATGTGGTATATGTCGATCAGAGTCAATGAGTATTATTTGCACAAATGACGTCATATGCTATGCGACATGACGTCATCTGTCATATCCCTTCCTCATCAATACTCAATATTTGAAGACGTGGGGAGTTGACAGCCCTGATCAGTTTAATTGCCAAGTTTAACTGGGGCAGGATTAACAGTTGACAGATCAGAGTGCTTGACTGTAGAGCAGGAGGTCATAGGTTTGATTCCTGCAGCCGGACCAATACTCAGACTCTAGAACTGAGAAATGAAGGTTCCGCCCTTGCCCTGCAATCAGCTAAACTTTTGCATGACTCAGATGCACCCATATAAAATAAGGTTCTGTCATCAGAAGGAAACGTTAGAACGTGTCCCCAATACATGTATTACATGTGTACTAAGCGTAACAGTTAGAGTACAATAATATTATGAATGTATCTGACAATGTAAAATTTGCAGGTCTGTATCATCTAACTGTATTGTTTTAGCTTAAGGATAGTTGTTACACCTGTTTAAATAAAGAATGACGTTATATCTATATAAATTTGCAAAGCTGAAATTAATGAAAGCCTTAAAGCTTAATACACTTAGTATATGCTTAAATACTAATGTTTTGAGCTTATAAAGTCTTAAATTTCATTGTTATAATTGTCATCCTTAGGGGAAAACTGTTTTAAAGTTTAAACCGTTGCCTACTGTAACCCTCATTATGGATAGGATATAGCAGAAATCTGCTGGTTTATGAGAGTAAAGGACACCTTAATGTTTTGCGTCTTTTAAAGCATGATATTTCATGCCCAATGCGAAAAAACGTCCGCTATTGCTTCTGCTGCATAATAGCACAGCGATTTAAATAAAACCAGTCACGAATCGGAAGTAAAAAACGTAGGAACTCAGAGACAGTTAATATGACAAAAGAATAAAGAAACAGCTGAATCGAAAGGAAACTAACCCAAGGACCAGCTATCTACCAGAAATGTTGGCGCCTTGTTCTTTGGGATTCCCGCGGATTGTTGTTCATTTTCAGCCCCTGCATCCATTATGAAGTTCAGTTCACTGGACAAGCTTGCATCCCGAATGAGCCGAAGGAAGACGAACAATTTCACTTCGACGTGGAAATTCCTTATTTGCGATTGCGGTAAAAGCTTGGTGTAAGTCGCACGCAGTGTACTACCTCTTTGGTGTATGAGTGCTGGCCAAAAAATGTCGTGGGCTCTCCGTCATGCACAGGTATCCCAAGCTTAGTATCACAGTGTTTATCACTTTTAAGTGTGGTACCATAATGCTTAATCCTCAAAATGGCTGTCAACATGAAGAAATTGGAGGGGAATTTAGAATAGATTCAAGAAGATAAATACTTAGCCTGATTCTCAGACGTCCAAGGTCCCTTCGCTTCCCTCTCTCCCTCTCCAGGGGAGAGGGAGGGAAGCAAAGGGACCACGAATGACCTCGGACGTCTGAGAATCAGGCTAATAAATACTCGTGGGAATTTTCAATGAAAAACATTTTACCTTCTTTATTTGGTTTGTTCTTAACTGTTGTGTGTTATTTTCACAATCTGCTATGACAGCATGATTTAATTAACGGATTTACTTCACCCTCAAGTTTCCACTATCACCTAAATTCCTGTACAAATCCTTAATGTTCATAGCTACTTTGAGCATTACACAATATGATACCACATGTATTTAACAATTATTCCTTGAGCTCGAATGGGTTCTGAGTCAATAGCGCATGAGGCCGAAGCAATCAGAACGCAGCATTGATAACAGACCACTAGTTGGATTTTACTAACAATAATTACACTCTCATACTGAGCTTGGGCTCCTTGTGGGTCATGTTGCAGAGATTTATACACACATGATGAGCTCTATATTTTTTTAATATAATTTATTGATTTATTTATAAATCACCTATCTCAGATAATTTGTCTTCAAAAGCTGTCTTATTTAACAGACGGATATTAACTCAGAAGGTTAAAATCAGACAGATTATTCATCCAAAATGAACACTATCCTGTTTTCAAATCAAGAAAGATTGTCTAATACACAGAAAATCTGTCTTATCAGTCAACTCTAGTGAAATAGAACTTATAAAACTTAAATCAAATGGTATACAACAAGCTCAGTCAAAAACTGTGAATCATTCAGCATAACATTATTTGATGTAAATCACTTAACAGAAATGAATCAATAATAAACTATAGAATACCTTATTTTTACTGTTAAAAAAGAACCAATAATAATTTATTGGTAGTGGTAAGGTTCCAGAGTCCAGGTAGCCTGTTCCAGGCTCTGAGATAGTGGTGAAAAGTCATTCAGTAAAAAGAAATGCGAAAAATGCGCGGCGGCTGGGGAGAGACATTTTTCTCGCCACCACCGCCCCCTTTCCCAAGTCGCACACGTTTTATTTTCACTTTGCTTGTTTTAACATGTCCGCACTCTACTATCTGAGAGCCTGGCACAGGCTAGAGTCCAGGGAACCATTGACAGCAAAGGACAGTGTAGAAGCAAAAATTGATAATAATAAATGGACAAAGTACTGTGTACCGGTAAATAATGTTTTCTTCATTTACGTCTTATAACACTGTAAGTCTCTTGAGGCTTAGCTCTTTCAGCCCTAAGAGTGACACAATCATGCAAGTATTTCAAATTAAGCTGAAATACCACTGCTCTAAGCCAATCAAATTGCAGAAATTTTTCATGTGCTATATTTTGTATATTAAATTGGGAGTTAAATATTATTTTTCAAGTGCTTCTGACTGGACTAGAGGCAGGTAGAAGGGGTTACTGGCTAAGTAGAGGAAAATATTATTTAAAAACCTCTTTGCAGGAACCTTAACATGGTTATTTTTTTTTTGCTAATACATAACAAATTTAATTTTTTTTCAAAATTTGTCTTAATAGCACTCTTGAAGTATTGAGGGGTATGAAAGATTTTGCATTACTTATCTCTAAACCTCCTTAAATATAGCTGCTAAAAGTACACATTTTCTTCAAGTTAAAAAGGAACAGTGTCAAGAACAGAAAACTGTTCATTTTGATTTCTTGTCAATAGAAGCTGCAAACATCTTACTCGTTTTGAGGTATTCTTCTGCTTCGTCAGGATCATGCTGAGTCAATAGATGTCTTTTGAGGTTTCCTTTTCGTTTTAGGTGCTGTCCACAAAGCTCACATTCAAAAGGTTTCTCTTTAGAATGTGTTTTTACATGATTCCACAAATTGCTGTTACACTTGAACACTTTTGGACACTTGCTGCACTTATACGTCCCAACAGCATTGTGAGTTTTCTTATGTGTCGAAAGTGCACTTGACCAAGAAAAAGTCTTTTTACATATTTTACATGAAAAGGCCCCTTTACCAGATCTGGCATTTTTGGTGTAACGAGAGGAGCCAATCCCGTGAATGGACATACGGTGAGAGGAGAGTTTAGAAGAGCAACGAAACATTTTGCCACAAGTTTTACATTTGCAAGGCTTCTCTCCTGTATGGATTCGTTCATGGTCTCGATGATTGTATCGACATCTAAATGCTCTGTTACAATACTGACAGACATAAGGTGTTTCACCGGTGTGAAGCAACTTGTGCTTCTCAAGATGTGAGCTTTGTCTGAATGTCTTTCCACACTCAACACACTTGTATGGCCTCCTGTCATAATGGATGTTCATATGAGCTGAATAAGCCGTTTTGTTGGGGAAATGTTTGCCACATTCCACACAGTCGTAAGACAAATATTTTTCCTGCTTTGGCTGCTTGGGATCTGCAAAATTGACAAAGGCAGCTGTTGCAGCTGTTATTAGAGTTCTACAGAGATGACATCATAAAAATTTTATTATTTTGTGTAATTAATATTGAATTTGTTGGGATATTTTGAGAGAACAACATCTCAAAGTCCTACTAGCCAAAAACTAGCATTGTGGGGTAAATTACCTCTGAGATACTAGTTCCATTTTGTTCTGATGACTCCATACAAATCCTCCTAAATTTGACTCGGTTCTTAATGTCTGAACTGAGTCAAATTTAGAAGGATTTGCAAGGAGTTATCAGAGCTTAACTGGGCTATCATCTCAAAGACAATTTGCCCTGGAACACTTATGTTTGGAAATTAGACCTTTGGGATTTTGTTCTTTTATTAATAATATCTCGACAAATCCCATAATTTCACAGATTTAGTTTATTATGACGTCACACTTTAAGACTTTATAGGGGAGTAATGGTAACATGCTAGTGAGGGCTTTTTTGCCTTTTGCCACACTGACCCAGGTTCAAGCCTAATCAGAGCTGCATATAGAGTCGACCACGGGACAAAATCTGATTTAAAATGTCCATTGCTGTACTCTAAAAAAAGGGATCACAATACTTTGAACCTGTCAAAGCTAGAGTGCCCTGCTTAATACTTTAAAGAAAAAATAAGATTTTCTGGTCAGCTGGGAGAAAAAGGTAGGTACCAAGGGCCATCAGGTGCAGCTAAAGCACAGCCTCACAGGTCTGATAAAATCTTAATAATTAACAACATCACTTTCGACCACAGGGACGAACATTATGTCCAGACAAAGACAACACCACGAACCATCATTTTTCAGATGAAAAAAAATCTACCTAAGGCCCACATGAACCGTTGTACCAATGAAATAATGTTGTTGGACCAATGCATGGCAGTAATCAGACTCGCGCATCTCTTGAGGACAGATTACCTCTGGATTGTTATAACCATACTAATTTTTTCTAACTTTTGATGCCACATTACATTACTTGCAGCAAAATGTTTTCAGTGTTACCTGTTTTTTTCTTCTTTTTTTTCTTTTGTGGTTTAATCCCTTGTTCAGAATTATCAGACTCAAGATTTAATGGCAACACAACAACATCCACTTCTTGAACAACAGGGGTTGATACCACTTGGTTCACAGGGATACCAGTTTCTCCACTAGGCTGTTGAATATCTGACTGTTGGGTTGATGGTGTGATCAAATTTTCACTTTGAACAACTGTTGACGTCATTTCTTTAGATGGCTCCTGGGATTCCTGTGCGGACTCCAGTGAATTTATAGTAAGTGACGCAGAAACACCAGCTGATGCCATTCCATTTTCATTTATGCTCTCTAAAGGTGGTGATAACTCAGTAAGATCCTTATCTTTATTTGCAGCCTGATTTGAGTGTAATTCATAATCACGGGCCCCAGATTCTTCACCAGTTGAAGTAATTTGTACTTCAGGCTCTGTTGTATTTTTGTTTCCTTCAACACGTACACCATTAGCAATACCAGCAGCTTTCTTTTTCAGGAAAGTCTGAAGAGCTAATTTTGTAGAACTGGTGATCTGACCAGGCCTCATTTCAGCTGTTGATCCCTGAACTAAACTCTCCACAGGAGTAGCACTGGTTATTTTTCGCTTTGTAGAACTGGTGATCTGACCAGGCCTCATTTCAACTGTTGACCCCTGAAGTAAACTCTCCACAGGAGCAGCGTTGGTTATTTTTCGCTTTCTGTTTTTCTTATTAACCTGTGTTTGGCAATTGACGACTTCATCATTACAGAATTGTAACTCTCTTGCGACCACTGGCAGTTGTGGAGAGATAAATGAAGGTAAAGGCCCTGCTGGTGGAAATGATTTTGATTTTGATGCTTGTAATGTTTTTTGCTTGTTCTGATGACTTTTCAGTCTTTTAATGACATCAATGTGCGAAGCCCTTTGCGACCTACTGCTTGTAGCCTCTGCATCACTCATTACCGACACTTGGGACTGAGATGAATTGAGAAGTTCTGATGAGATTTGAAACACATGCACTGCCACATCATCACTGCTATTTAGAATATCTCCATTTTCTTTGTCTCCCTCGGAACTTGACTGGGCAAATTCAACAATGATATTGATGGCATCTGATGGTACATCAGTTGAGTTTCCATTAACCTCCATTTTGGTGTGCTCATGCATGTATCACAACAAAGCCTATAACAGAAGACAATGTACAGGCCTTAAGCCCATAAAAAGAGCCAGGGGCATGGCTAGGGGGGTTGTTCTGTATTGCCCGTGATTACCGCCCACCCCCCCCCCCCACCCCTTCTTAAAATTTGAGAGAAAATTGTTCCAAATAATCAACATGCAATAAATTTTTTCCAGTGCTAGATAGTTACAAACTCCAATAATTGCAGGACCTACGGTAACATCTGCAGTGGACCATGTTCCTGTTCATAACTAAAATTATGAAAGTCATAGACCACAAGAGGTCCTCCTTCTTTCCTAATTGCCACGTGCAGCAAGTGAAAAAGTGAAATAGTGCAAATGAATGGGGAAAAAAGAGTACAGATTGGGGCAGAGGGAGCAAAAAGGACAACTGCAGAGATCTTTTTGGATTTTGAATAACCATTTCAGTGAAACGGAAACTGTTTGTTTACAGGAAAAAAGCAATATGGAGATCAAAGATCCCATTTTTTGTTTCTATTTTTTTTTTTTTCGCTTAGGCTTCCGCCCTCATTTCTCTCAGCTTCGCCGCACGGCCCTTACACGTGCTCTCAATCTCTTGACTTAAGAGAAAACTAAGAGACTTCTCACAGTCTATGAAGGTCAAAGCAGTTACGCAGCCATTGGTTTATACAGACAACATATTTGATCCTTCTCACTGCGTGAATACAAGGCCGTTGATTCACAGGTAGAGTAATTTATGTTACATGGAACTTGATTCATCTATGCAGCTATTTTTTGGACTTGTCCCTCCCCCCACGCTCACTGCTCATCTGCAAAAATATCACTTTTAAAGTAAAACACGGCGTGGATGTCGACCGAGATGCCAATCCATTACGTGGTACCCTACACACCTAAAAGCAACCATCTTCTTACTCTAAATCTACACAATGATTACATAGGCTGGGCTGGGCTCATTTACAGGGCTAGCGCGCTTTGAAAAGATGAGTTTATCCTGTTATCTGAAATTTACATGAAGATGAAGCAAACAAACACGAAGCTCCATCAATCATGTTAACAGAAAGATAGAAGCTGTGGGACTTCTGTTTACGACCTTAAAATAAGGCCCTGTATTCTGTAGTTACCCCTAAAAGACTTATTTCTGTGTTTTTCACTGCAGATATGCATTTTCAACGAGCCATTATAAAAGAATTCTTACCAATTGCTGCTGATCTCAAGCGAACAACCGCTTTAGGCCGCCATTTTTTGATATGAGATGCGAGAGGGAACTGGAAAAGAGAGAATCTAAGAGAGATTCTGAGAGAGGGAATTCGTGGGATAGGTCAGGACCCGGGGGTCGGTGCCAATGCTTTCTGGTGAAGATAAGCCTTCACGCAAAAAATATGGCATAGCTTTCATTAACCATAAACTTCTTTCGCCGGAGCTAGCTGCAATAGTAACTTGAAAGCGAGTCAAAGTCGACAAAAACCTTATCGTGAGTGACGCGTCACGGTTGATGGCGTGACTTTGTTTATGTGATATTTTTGATGGCAACCTGTTTCGCTTTCATGCGTTTTATTGGACGCTTGCCTCGGACTTTGCATCTGGAAAAGCAAGCCAGAATTGAGCTTTTGAATGGAGCAAGTCATTTTAACGATAATGTATAAATTTAAAGTAATGGTTTTATACAAAACTGGCACTATTGAAGGCACAGCTTGCTGAAAGTTGACAACATCTTTTGGTTATGTCTTTTTTTGCATATGTGCTGGGCTATTACGGTGCAAAATTTTTGTAGCTAACAAACAGCCCGGTATTATGACTCCTCTGGAGTTGCCAATCATACCTCTCTAGCTTTCTCTGGCAATATCTCGGCTTATCTCATGCTGAAAAAGACAACGAAAAATATCAACATATCATAGTAAGCTACTTTAGCCACAAGCACAGACATATCGCTAAGAGATAAAAAAGGATGGCATGCTTCTGTTAACAACCAATACAAACACCGCTAAAGATATCGAATTTTGAGTCTTTACTGCCAAGGAATTATACTAACAGTGTTAGAGATATGATAGATACACTTTTTGCAGTGCAGTTATGGTCACAGATCTCGCAAAATGAAAATTAACTTTGTTCAGATGGATACCACTGTACTGATGGTAAACCATTGGCTTCAAATCGCTTTATTTTCAATGTCGTATATTTATGCGCGCTGGGTTAATTTATGATTGAATAGATTGGGGGGAAAACCCCATCTGCGTAGAGCCTCCTGATTGGACAAGCTGATCACGATGGAGTGATTAGCATCGTCTATCACTCAAATACTAGTGATGCATATGCTGTTTATCAAGAACGTAAAACATGTCTGTTCAAAGTGGGAACTACACAGTCGAGCTTGAGATATGAAACTTTGTTGTCCGATGAGTGAAATGCGGGAAGAAAGGATCGCCGATAGTGGTTACAGAAATTCAGAGTTAATAGATTCATGGCTGGTGAGTTGTTGTTTTTTTCATTATTGATAATGCGCGTTTGGCGTGGATCTGAGTTCATTCCTTTGTCGCCTAAATTGTAAGAATAGTAAAAAAGGTGCTGTAACGTCTAATTGCTTTAAAGACGGCAATCGAAAACGACGCAAAGGACATTCAAGGACAGCAAAGGGAGCGAGTTTGGAAGAGATAGAAGAAGATAGTAAATCCAGTCCCACGCTTAGCACCAACAAACTACCTCCCGCGAACTCTTGCGTGACCGAAGAAACGACGGAAAAGCCCGATCACTGGCGAATAAGACAGTCGGAGTTACAGGAGTTATCAAAACATCGTCCGAATGAAATTGAAAGCGGAAGCAGTCACAAAAAAATTGCCATTGAACACGAAGAATCCGATGTCCAAGATATACAAAGGACAACTTCTCTAGCATCTTCTTCATCGGGCTATATTTCAGCAGAATCTCTTGAGCGACAACCACAAGCTTCAGCAGCTGAAGGGCAAGTCGGAGATTGTGTGCGGACGGTGGCGGAAACAACCCCCATGCCTGATTTATTTGGCCAGGATGAAGATGGAGATACGTAAGACATGAGTTTTTATTATTTGGGGATTTTTGTACTTTTCCACTTATCATGATTGCACACTACATGTTACCCAAATTTCAACCTTCAGAAGGCTCGCCAACGCAATTTTTTTTTAAAATGTGCTATATTTCCGTTGAGGTTTCCACCCGGAATTTGTTATTAACCTCTGAGCGTAAGTTCTCTAATGATGTTTTACCCCGGGTTACAACACCAACAACACCCAAACCTACAATTTCATCATCAGCATCTTTGACTATGGTCGCCCAGGAAAGTGCAGCTCTCTAGTACTAGTAATAGACTGTCCCACCCACGACAAACGCAGCTATAAAAATTGCTTTCATCACATCACCACATGATATTCTGCTGTGATTGCATTTTTAAGGTGTTACTGACTGATATATGCATACAAACGCTTAATCTAAAAATGAAGAAAGAAAAAAAAAGAAAAAAATCTGTTGTAAATGTTGTCTGAACCAGCACCAACATGCAGTAATGCATTCTTCTACTGATTCAGTTTAGACGTCTCAAGACGTCTATCATGCAGGGCGCCTAATGCGATAAAGCGTATCGTAACCTACGCGACGCATGTTTGGGGAGTCTTGCCTTTTTGGTTGATACAGTAAAATCTCGATATAACGAAGGGCAAAGGCCGGACTGGCAAAATTTGTTCGCTATACAGAGGTTTCGTTATATCGACGTTCTTTTTCATATATTTTACTATTACTGTGGTAAAGAAAATCGTTCGTTATATTGGTTATACCGAGGACTTTGTTATATAGAGGTTCGTTATATCGAGGTTCCGCTGTACAAAACAACATTCATTTGATAAAGAAAAGCGGGGAAACTTTAACATTCAGAGAAGCAGATTTCATAGAACTTTTAATATTAGTCTAACTTCAGCTGCCCGAGAGGCGAAAGAGATGGCTTGGAACCGTTCATGTGTAATCCAATGATTTGGTTACGTATGATCTAACTTGGGAAACAGGTTCAAACCAGGGTTAATGGTTTAAACCAGAAGTATATCATCGAACTTAGGTTTCACCGATTTCGTCGAGGAAAAAATTGTTAAAACAAATTCAAGCGATTGTTGAAATTTTATGGTCAATAGCAATGTGTGATGTCTGAAATAATAAGTCATTTAGTTTAAAAATGAATGATTGGAAAAGTTAAGAAAATAAGACGACTTTCCACCATGTAATTTATCAAGCATGAGACTCAGTGTTTCATCACTAGATGAAACACCGAGAAGAGAGTTGAAAATAACACGCGCAGCGGAGTATTTTTGACGAACTTCGACGTGTTTCATCTGATGATGAAACACATGTCGAATGCTTGATATTTCTCCTCAAACAAAATGATTTTAGCAGGAGAAATTAAGGATGCAACAATGAGCGGTTTTTTATCTGATTTCTAAACGCTCATATCTAAACATTTTAAATTTCCTTTATAGAATATGATTATTGTATGAGAAACCCACGGTGACGTTTTTAGCTGCTTTTGTTGTAACATAGTCCGGATGTAATAATATTCGTGGTCATTCTTACGGAAAGTAGTAGAAAAAACATTGTGATGTAAGACACGCTGTCAGTAATGCTAAGAGGAGATAAAATGCGGAAATCAAAATCCAAACAGCCAATCGTAATAACTTCCTGTCAGTCTCTATCATGTCTATGTTCGGAGTAAGCAATTCCAGGAACTGACGATGTATAATGACTGGGACAATGCGCATGTGGGCATGTTCATTCTCAGACGGTTCAAAGTGATCATGAGTAACCACGGCCACCCGGAATACCGTAAAATTCCGAAAATAAGCCCCAGGGCTTATATTTTTCAAAGGCCCTTTTTGAGGGGTTTATTTTGGGGGGGGCTTATATTCGGAGGGGCTTATCTATGGAGGGAAATTTGCGTTTCAAAATCGATTGGGCTAACCTTATAGTCGGAAGTAAATTTACCGTTTTTGCTTTGTTTTACTTTGTATTTGCGGGCAGTTTTCCACGTACAAGCCCCCGGGGGGCTTATATTTGGAGGGGCAATTTAACGGAGGGGTTTTTCGGGTTACCAGTTTGGGGGGATTATATTTGGAGGGGCTTATTTTCGGAATTTTACGGTATCTGAGATTCTAAGATTCAGGTTATGAAAACTGTCGCAAAAAGATCTGGGTGTCAGAGTTATTTTCTTCTTTTTTTCCAGGTTTCTTCACATAGCAGTTGTCCAGGGAGACCAACCGCTGACCGAATTTTTCATACAAAAAATGAAGTCTAGGGGAGTCGATATTTATAACAAGCTGAGACAGGTACAAATACATCTGTGCATTTCGCCACCTATTTGCACTTAGTTCACTGAACTTAGGGTCGCACATTTAAGGTTACTTTCACACGGCATCGGAAAATTCGTGCGTTTATTTGTTTCGTTCACTCAGAACCAGCTTATCCGTACGAATCTTTAGACGCCCAGCCGTTCAAAGTTCTGTGTGAACGGAGCGAAAATATCGAACGGTCCTGTGTGATGGAGGCGACTGGTCAAATTTTTTAACTGGTCGAAAATTCACAGGGTCCGCGTGAACGTACTTAAGTCAAGGGGATATTGTTGTGTTTGATTGCAAAACATTTTAAAAAATCGTTTCATTAGAAAAAAGGCATAAATTCTTAGTGTAACTATAGGTGGTTTTCATGCAATCTCGGGAGACACAAATAACAATGGTGAAATGAACAAATGCTGGTGGACAAACAAAGCGAGCTAATGAGCGATCTTTTGTTTACCGTCCACCAGCATGGCGGCGATGACGTAAAGTGAAAACCACCTATAGGCTGCGAGCAAAAGAGTAGACTCGCGAGAGGCACGCTAGAGGAGACGCGAAAGCCCCTCGGCCCCTCGTGGCTTCGCCGCTCGCTCGCGCGTTCTCGCGCGGCTTGCTTGCCCAAATAGGAAAGCTTGCTCGCAGGCTAGTGTAACGATTTCCTTGATACTTGTTCTTCTAGACACCGCTTCATCTTGCCGTAATAACGCACCAACTATACATAGTACGAAAACTTATAGAAGGCGGAGCTGATGTTAATCTTATGGACAGACATGGTCAGACCCCTTTACATTTGGCATGTCAAGAAGATGACCTCAACTGTGTTTATGCTATCCGTGATGCCAGCCAGATAGGCCGCGTCAAATTGAGGTTGGACTTGAAAAATTCTCAAGGTAGGTAGTGTAAGAAGGAAATTTCTAACACTGCACACTGGGAACGAGAACACACGGTCCATAAAGGGTGACAAAGAGGCCACAAAAAGAACTTGGCTGATATTAATAAAGGATATTTACCTTTCCTTCTTTGCAGGTTTGACAGTCCTCCATGTCGCCATTTTAAGGGGCAGTAAAAAGTTAATAGGGACCATCCTTGATATGGGAGCTGATATTAACCAGCAGGTCAGTATTATATCATATTTATTTGCCAAAACAGAGTGGAGGTAAAAATTTCTGAGGATGTATTCCAAAACAAGCCAGTTTTAACTCAAGGTTTAGGCAGTAAGAGAAAAGAAATGTATTATTCATCTCAAGGCGATTTTTTTTGTTTTATTCCCTTAAGTTCTATCGCCACTATAACCCTCGACTTCGCCCGTTTCATTACTCACTGGAACGGAATGCGGAAGGTTTTTTACTTCCCAAACCTGGCTTACGGGATTGGAATGCGAATTTTTACTTTCTGCATTTGGAAAACACTCGCTAAGCAGGCTAAAAGTAAATATCAAACACGAGAAGTAGTGTTTCATCAAATATCAAAGCCCGTAAAGATAGCTGAAAATGCGAGGCGTGGAGTATCTGATATTTTGACGCAGTTTAAGGTGTTTGATATTGTATTGAAACAAGTGTGTCGAGTGTTTCATGCACCTTTTTCAAAGAAAGTCATTCTAGATGAGAAATTAAAGATGCAAAACGAGGATTTTTTCATCAGATATCCAGAAGTGTCGCGTTTCATGATGAGTTTGAGAAAGTTTGGGAATCAAAGTTCTAACATTGCTCTTCATAAACTTAGGATTCCAACAGTGGCCGCACTTCATTACACCACGCAGTGGAAGCTGGGAAGTATCCCGTGGTAGAGTACTTGATAACACGTGGCGCTGACGTAAATAAAGTTACATTCGCTGGAAACACGCCACTTCACACGGCAAGCGGGCGCGAAATGGACGACATGGCGAAGCTTTTAATGACACACGGCGCTAACGTTAACATTGCTAACCGTGAAGGGGATATTCCTAAAGTGGTGCGAACGAGTGAGCAGGTAGATATTTACAGCTTAATGACTAGTTCTGAGGGAAAAGAATTTCGATTTTCTCGAAGTTAACAAGATTAGCCGGTTTCCCGAAGGGCCTTTAGCAAGTGAACAAGTGATTTCTTACAACTCAAGAAAGCTATCAGTGGTGTTATTACAAAAGTCAATTGGCCGTCATCAACTTTTGCGGGTGAAAGTACACTGTTACTAGTAAGTTAGTTTACCTGCTCAGAGAGTTTCGGCGGGAAACGTCATATATTACCTCAAAGAATCCAATGGCGGCGCTTGCTTTTGAGTAGCAAAATGAGAAATGTTTCGGAGGGGCTGCTGTGTAGAGTAGGCAGCACAAGTAAGATATCACCCGATATCCACTAGTACCCGTGTCGTCTTTAGTTGCCACAACAGAGAGCGCCGGGGAACATATTTTCATTACCATGACAACAGTCGCGCGGTGTTCGAATACGGAAGAGGGTCAGGTCTCAGTTTTTCAAAAGTTAGATAACACTACCCACCTGGCCCCGGTTGCTCAAACGTAGGATAGCGCTATCCACCGGATAAATCTCTATCCACTGGATAGCGCGATGAGTAACTACGCAGTCGATGGGTCTTAAGCTAATGCTACGACAGCCACATGCGTTCTCGACTGGATAGTAGGGAGCTTAAGTAACAACGACGGGGACGAGAACGGCAAAAAACCAATAGGTTTGGATTGAAAAATAACAACTTTGCACACGTATCACGCTTTTTTGTACATTTCTTAGCCGTCGTCGCACGACTACAACGTGAAAGTGTCTAATTTCACGTTTTGTCGAGGACGGGAACACAAAACAACAATTTTCCTTTTCTTTTCCTGAACTTTGATACAATCCTTTAGAATACAACTCCAAAGAAATTTGCCAACATTTCACGAATTAAACGAGATGGAGTAGAGCGCGATAAAGTTTGAGTTAGCGCGAATTCCGCACTTTTTAAGTGACGTTTTCGTAGCCGTCGCCGTCGTCGTGGCTTAAACTCCTAATTGGCGGAATTATCAGGGGAAAGAACCATCTGACTTTTGAACAATAGGGTCTGAAATTAACGTAGTATGTACAAGTTAGTATGAGAAAGTCAAATGTTGGAGCTGGTAGCAACAGCGGGGTAGCCCAGCATTCCTGAAATCGGGGGTCAAAAAATGTTTCAGTGTCTTTAAATGATATCGAAGGGCTTGAAAGGTACAAGTTACCCATAGATAAATAAATAATAAATTTATTCATTAATTTCATTAATTCTAATATACCCCAATGCCCCCCTCTTTCATTAATAATAATGATTTGGAGGTAGCACGTCCACATTCCTGGTCGAATTGGAATTTGGAAATGTTGGTTTTATGAGGAGAGGGGGAAAAACCTCTTGGAGCAAAGGAGAGAACCAATAACAAACTCATCCCACATATGGCGTTGACGCTGGGATTTGAACCCGGGCCACATTGGTGGGAGGCGAGCGCTCTCACCACTGCGCCATCCCTTGCTCCCCATAGTACGTTTTCCTCACTCTGTCCTCTGTTCTTTTCAGGCAAAAAGGCAGTTCCGTTCAAATCAAAAAGAAAGTAAACGAAGAAAAAGATGATTTCGCAGAGGGGCTTGCGATAATTTCCAAACGCCGTCACGCTTAAAACAAAGGCATTGAATTCATTTACATGGCGGGAGCTTGCATGAGCTTTTTTAAATAATGAGCAACTGAAAAAGCAACAAACATTGTAGCAACCACACTGAAAAACCACAAAAAAAGAAGACGCAGCGAAGAAGTATTAATCAAGGATTATAAAGAAAAAGGCCACCAATGGCTGATGGCTGCGATGGAACTAAAGAACACACAAGAAAATAACAGGAAGAGTGAAAAATACAAGACTCGATCTGACGATGTTTAGGGTTAGGGTTGTAGTTAATTTTTATCTCTGGTAATTTTTGTTTTTCTTTTGTTTTTGGGTGTGATAATGTATGCTGATGAAAGAAAAACAGAAATTACCTGAGATAAAAAATTAACTACAACATTCACGTTCAAGAGAAGTTCATGTTATGCGGTCGGGGTCACCAGCAAACAGTTGAAATTACACAGTAGTAATAGAAAGGCAGGACGCTATTGAGGACAATAAAGTTGATTTATTTTTGGTTAAATTTAGTGTCATTACTTATTATACATTCAGACGGGAGAGGGGTTGAAAGGAAAAGGCTTGGACTTTGCATGTCGGACCTTTGGATACTGGCATCTCTTTTCACTAGAAGTACAATATAAGATGATGGTCTCCAAATGAATATGATATTACAATTTTATCCCCTGTATCTTCTCTTACGTCATCATCATCATCATCATCACCATCATAATCATCATCAACATGACCATCATCACCACCACCACCACCACCACCATCATCATCATCATCATCATCATCATCATCATCATCATCATCATCATCATCATCACCATCATAATCATCATCAACATGACCATCACCACCACCACCACCACCATCATCATCAACATCATCATCATCATCAACATCATCATCATCACCATCACAATCATCGTCAACATGACCATCACCACCACCACCACCACCATCATCATCATCATCATCATCATCATCATCATCATCATCATCACCATCATAATCATCATCAACATGACCATCACCACCACCACCACCACCATCATCATCAACATCAACATCATCATCAACATCATCATCATCACCATCATAATCATCGTCAACATGACCATCACCACCACCACCACCACCACCACCACCTTCATCAACATCAACATCATCATCATCATCATCACCATCATAATCATCATCAACATGACCATCACCACCACCACCACCACCACCACCTTCATCAACATCAACATCATCATCATCATCATCATCATGACCATCACCACCACCATCACCACCACCACCACCAGCTTCATCAACATCAACATCATCATCAACATCATCACCATCATCATCATGATCACAGACTTCTGATCATCACCATCACCACCATCATCATCACCATCATAGTTGTTATCGTCGTCATCTTCATCACCATCCATTTTACCACCACCACCACCACCACCATTGTGATTTATTTGCTTATTTTATTCTACATGAAGGTGGTTGAAATCTGTTCGGCTCTATAGCGCGCTCTCCATCTAATTCAAAGCAAAGTTACGCAATAAGGTTTGCCGAATGTTTTGATCCCCTGTTGACAGTAATTTACATCAGGTGTAACTTGTATCAGCGTCCAAGACCGCTTCTGGCAACAGTCTTAACATCCGGAGACTCCGGATTCATAAACTTCAGCGACAAATTTATCATTCTTTTCTTTCGTGCTGGTGGGATCTATGCTGCTTGTAAAACAGCCAAGAGATCTTTCTGCCCAATAGGAATGCCAGTTTGCCATTTTCCTTTGAAGTATTTGTTTTGAATGGCTGGTTACCATCAGAAGGTGGGCAAATCGTCAAACATTTGCTTATCTTGTGTGAATTGAAGTCGGGCTTTGGTCCACTTGTCAGTCTGAACGAACAGATCAGCACCATGGATAATCGTCGAACAGTTTACAGGCGGACAAATTTAGACGACTTGGGCGTCCATTAATTTTCAGTGTTCCCTCCTTTCAAACGATTTTGCCGTCTTTCATTTTGTTATAAGTATACCTTACAAGTACCTTATAAGTATACCTTACGGGTCATTTGTATTTTGAACACTACATCATTGCTGTTACAGTACAGTTCTAGATTTTAATTTTTCAACAGGAGATCACAACCGCACGTGCTTTTTAGAATTAATTTTTTAGACTTGTTTACCGTAACGGAAAGACATAAGCCGTCATTCTTGGAAAAACTTAAAAATAAGCCTTTGAATGTAAAAACCCACTAGCCCATTGAGACTTTCAGCTGTGTCTCACAAACGTCAGTAACCACATTCCGCGGACAAACTCTTGTGGTCATAAAAACACTTCGAAAAGAGTTGCGAAAAGTTTTATTCCTAACCGAGTATAGAATGGGATTTACAACAGACGAAAAACAAGCCAGTGGCGTCGTTCCGAGATATAATTGAGTGTTTCGCCAAAATGAGGGAGCTACAAGATGAATGACAGCGTCAATCAAACTTGGAATCCAACAAAGAGCAAATGATCCAATCACCATGGCAACTGTCATCGCAGCTTTGTTTTCTTTCACGAAACGTGCCTGACCGGAACTGGATTGCTGCTGCACCATGATCAATCTTTTTTGTCTTATGGCTTCTTTGAAGATACGAAAATAAAAATAACAGATAAAAATGGAGGGTGCTCCGATGATCACGGCGAAAAGTAGAAGGTGGCCATCTGCATTAACAGTACATTTGCTTCGCAATGAGGCGATTGCCGCCAAAGCGGATAAGGCCCATATAACTGCGATACCTTTTCGACATCTTTCCCGAGTTAAAAGAGCGGAGTAACGAAACGGAGATGTTACGCCAATAAACCGATCAACACTAAGAGCCAAAAGGTTCAAAGATGACGAAACCAGCGTCAGTACAAGAATACAGGTGAAGACATTATGAACATTAACTTTGATAATTCGCGCTTTATGGAGAAGCTTTAAGCACCACACGGGCACGCCCAAAATACCAAGCAGTAAATCTGCTACGGCGAGGGAAACGATCCAGTAATTTGTTATGCAGCGAAGGATAGAGTTTCGGTAGATTGCCCAAATGACTAAAATGTTAAGAAACACGGCGGCCACACCAGAAAAAATCGACAAACTCAGAACAGGGACCAACGCCGCTAAGGAAATAACATAGCCTTCGTTAAAACACTCGTCGAGGGAACTTGAATTGTCTTTGATCATGGCCCGTTTTCTTTCCAGCGGTGTAAATCTACTAGCTTAAAAGTCTCTTGGCAAATAAGGTCTTCTTTATCGCCAAAGCTCTTAAATCTCGTCGGAAAGTTATTATTAAACGCGTTATGCGGAGATCTTCGATCAAGCCTGAGGAAAAGCCTTGATTGGGATTATAACTTTGACGTTTTTTTTTTCTAGACGCCACTTTTTAACTCAAATGTGATGACAAGTAAAGATGTTTGGAAGGCTTTTTGTTTGGTTTTCTTTGTAAACTTGGCTGCGGTTTTAAGTAAACGAATAGTAAACATTTTTTTTTTGCTTATAAAAACACGGGTTTAGAGGTGTCCGGAAGCCATCTGAAGCCCTCTCATGAAATAGACTCTTGCACCTGTTGTTATTGTTGAATACACTTCAAACTAATGGAGTCGACCGACAAAGAAGACAAATGAGCAACTACCACAGGCAGTTTTTGTCACCTAGAGACCGGAATTAAACACGGCGTTTTTCATTTGCGTGCAATTTCTGGCCAAAAATTTTAATTATCAAGGCCACCTTACCAATTTAATGATAAGTATACATGAAACTGTTCCATTGGAACTGCGTGACGAAATTTTTATCTTTTTTGTATCAGTTGAAACAAATGGGTTGGGCTTTTTCACAGTATATTTAACGTTCAAAGTATAAAAAAATACAAAGCGAAGCAAAATAATTATGTTTTCTCAGATAATTTGGGACGTTTTAGCTTAATTTTTGGGCATAACGGGTTTTCCAAAGTTTGTGTAATTATATGACCTTTTTTCGCTTTCTTTGTTGAATTTTTTTTACAACCTGTTAGGTGTAAGGGCGACATCGTCGTTAAAGGTTTTGGACTATATATGTTCACTCTCATTTCAAACGAGGTCTGATGTTGGCTTATAAAATTCAAAGTATTGAAAGCCAGTACATCAGCTTTCAGACAGCAATTAACACAGTTCAGAAAAACAAACATTACAGTCATGTGTACGGCACTTTTAAAATTAAATTCCTTTTCGGCGTTAATAACGCAAGTAGCTACTTGTATGCTCTTTAGTTTCATATGTTGGACTAAACATACCTCTACTTTTTAACGAAAAAGTCAATGAAAGTGCTTGTCCAATGTTTTTAAAAAATCTTTTATCACTTAGCCGTTTTAAGAGGGGAAAATCAAGAGTGAACTGCACTCACAAGCTCTTAATGTCATCTCCATAAAGAGTACTTTGGTGTTGATGAGTCAAAGTAAACAGGCCTTAATGAAGAAAGGCTTTTAAAAATATTTAATAACTTGTGCAAATCTCTAAGGCCTTTCATGATACTTGATGATGTCTGTTGTTAAGTTGCTAAGTCAGTCCTCGATTTGAGTGGGGAAGGGATGGCTTATATTTTTACAGGAAGCAAAATACGTGCAACAATAAGCGTATTCACATAGACGAATGATCGAATTCATAATTCATAAATCACCTACATAAGCCCACCTATTGCACACAAAAATTAGAGACTGAAGTGATGAATCTTGCCAGAGAATTAAGGGAAAATTTTTGGATCAAATGCCTTTTGAACCAACACTCAGCTTCTCCACTGTAAAAAAGAGCACAAGATCTTATCACTATGCCAACAGCAAACATCCTCGTACAAAACTTCCAATCAACTGATCACTTCTAATTACACCGGTGTTCCGCTGACAGGAATTCCTTTTCTACTCATGTCCCTCAGTTTTTCTAGTCGGAGTTTTCTTAATTCATCATCTGACGGCAGTAGAGGAGGAAGTTCATTTCCAATAAATTCCACAATTCCCATCTTGGCAGTATCTGTTTTGCGTGGAGGTATTTTGTACACCTTTGTGTAGCCACTCACCCTGTCTTCATAACGAGGCAAAAGGTGGCCAAACACTTTGGGGATCAACTCTTTTTTCTAGAAGATCACAAAAAAAAATCCTGTATCAAGAGGTACCCTTATTAAGCAGACCCAAGTCCTCCCGTATTTTCTGTAAAATAGACCTGTATTCACCCTTTCAGCCGTAAGAGTGATCAGCATCAAATTTCTCCTTGTAATATCTGTGCTTTGTTAAACAGAGTGGTTATGAGAATTACAGACATGATCACCCAAGATGAATTTGCTTGATATTTTTTCAACTTCTCCCGACTACTTCTGTAGGAAATGAATAGAGGCAACAAATGAGAATTCAAATTTTGATCTTAGGGTTTAAAGGGTTAAACACACTGTCACCAGCCTCATCCACATGTTAGTTTACACTATGTGAGTGTGTGGAGTCATAGTGCAAATTGAAGCCATGGGGAATTTAAAAAATTTACTCACTGTTATCCAGCTGTTTATTGTTTCTTCATCTCCTTGTTTAGCAAGGTCAATCATCTGGAACCAAAAACCAAACACTTTGACCCTTAAGTCTAGAAATACGTGGCTTGCATACATGCCCAGTACTACACCAATGTTCAGACCATTTTGAATACCCCCAAACTTATTCCCTATTTAAACCAAGGCACCCAAAAAATACCTGCTCAAATTTTCTTCCTGCAAAAAAATCCCGGAATAGAAAATTTCAACCTCCCAGATCAGGTTATGGCTCAGTCAATTCCAAGTATGCCCACGTCCCCCACCCCCCTCACAGGGCATTTGCCACTTTTGTTTGGAAAAGCTGCAAATGCCCCATGGTGGGGCCGGGTGGTTCATACAGAGGCCTCATGGTGGGGTTTTAAGACTGTGCAAATGCCCCACCCCAGGACAACACCGAAATTGCAATATCCAGTAAATATGCTGCAAATGCCATTTTTATATGAAAACTGTTATAATCTGATCAAAACATGTGAAGCACCCTTCACAAATCACTCCTAGCCACTAGTTATAAATATAACGCAAAAAAATAATCACATAGGATATGGTTAATATTAATGACAGAACTATACACTAGCAAAATATAATATCTCTAATGACGCACGATCTTCACATGAGTATTTTTTTCATCATGATGGAACCATTCTGATAACGTATTTATTATTGATGCATTGATCACACAAAACACGAAGTTGATATTAGCTTTCAAATATCTCGCAGAATTTTTCTAGGCCTTTCTCCTTCGAAAGTTCACTCACAAAGAGTGTGTCTTTCCTTTTAACTCTTCAAATGATGCATCAATATTATTGATTGTTTTTCCTCCATGTGCAAACTGATGACAATGGCAGGGAGCGATTTCTTAGATGGATGCAAAAAAATACTGTGGGGTAAGCTGGTGATGGAGTGAAAACCACTCGTAAAATATTCTTTATAGAAATACCAATAGTTATCTAAACAGGCATATTTTGAGCGAACTATTGAAAAAGGAACAATGCTGTTTCCAGAAAAATGGAAAAATGCCCCACCCCTGGGCAGAGGTTTTCTGACAAATTCCCCACCAGCTGGACTGACAAGGTAACAAATGACCGACAAATGCCATGGGTGGGGGGGAAGATGGTAATTGACCTAGTATTATGCACCCTCTCCACTCCCCCCTCCCCCCTAGTTAGTTTATGGCCGTGTTGATAGCTTTTTTATGATAGGGCACAGGGGCTCTAATGAAGTGAGATTTTTGGAAACTTTTTGTGATGCTTTGATAAATATCCTTCTTCCCAGACAACATTAAGCTTAAGAGAGAATCTACCAGGAAATTGATTAATTTTAATTTTCAGTAGACAAAATCCTTGTGCCAGAACAATTTAAAAAATATTGCATTCTTTTTTACATTTTTCAAGGGCTTAAGATGTATTAGTCATCTGTAATAACATTAAAGAAAATTTCTCATGGTAGTCCTAGAAAATGAATGTCAAATTTCTCAAGAATTGTGCAAACACAGGTAAAAGTTCATGTGTTAGATGTCATTTTGTGAAATTTTACATTCATTCATTTTGCAATTTGATTGGCTCAGAGCAGTGGTATTACAGCTTAATTTGAAATACCTACATGTCAAAATTACAAACCTTTTGTGGGTAGTGATATTTGGCATAAATACCACTCGTGATATTTCAAAATTGTCTCAAATTTCACTCACCTAACGGCTCCTGAAATTACGTATAACAATGTCGAAATATCACTCATGGTGGTTATGCCAAATATCACAACTAATCATGCTATTACCCATACAAATCCATTTTAAAGCTATTTTGCATGGGCTCACCCTTTCTGCCACTCGTGACAAATCATGGCATCTGTTTATCGTCGTCTCCACTCTTTCATATTGTACAAGAGCGGTGACCAGGTTTTTGTATAGGCGCTTTCTCTTTTCCCTGCTTCTAGGCTTAAATTTCAGCAAATTTTCAAGATTTCGACATCGTGTGGCCGCCATCTTGAGAACCTTCGCTTCACGACTCCGCTGTACATAGGTATTACTGCCAAAAATACTAGGTAGCCAGGCCGACCAAGTGGGGGCAAAATTCAAGATGGCTGCTGTTTTGTGGAGAATTGCTGGCGAAAGTGTGTTCCAGAAATCTGTTTTACCCTGCATAAACATGATTCCTGTACGCTACAAAACTCACAGAAAATTTCCCACGAGGAAAAGAATCAATCCCTTCGTAAAACTTCGCACGGATCTGATAAAGAGATTAGTGTTAGCCCTTGTACAACATGAGCGCATACAAACTACTCATCACAAGGCATTACAGCTGAAGAAATATGGTGATCTGGTAAGAGCCTAGAAAAGGTTTCTGCGTATTCCTAGTCGTACTAAAACTATTTTTCGGTCCATACTATTGCGTTGTTTCCTCACATCGGATAAAGAAACTTTTCGCCAATGTCACCCAGGCCCTCTCTTTCTCAGGGCTGGCTCTATCCAGGGTGAACTGCAAACAGAACTGCATGTGCAGGGCTGTCAACCCCCCTACGTCATCAAATATTGAGAATGGATAGGGAAGAAATGATAGATGATGTCATATCGCACAACAAATTATGTCATTTGTGCCAAAGATGCTCATTGATTCCAATCGATGTATATAGCACATAAACAGTTCATATTTAGCCACACTATCGCTTAAATTGTAGTGGCATACCAGAATTTTTTAGAGAAACATTCCATGCTAACAGTAGCTCAAACAATGCAAAGTATTTGAAATTTTATGGTCGGAAAGTCGAGTCCACAAGAAATAGCAACTTTGGCGATTATCCGGGAGATATCAGACCCTAATCTGGAGACCGAGAATTACGGTCCAAAATCCGAAGTCTCCTGGATTATCCGGGAAAGTTGACAGCACTACATGTGAGTGGTTATGGAACTTACCCTAGACTTGCAGTGATATTCCTTTTAACAAATTGGCACCTGCCAATGTTTTCTGAGTCAAAGGCATGAGATTTTCATCTTGCCGGTGACTGGGGTTTTCGAAAACATCCCATCAACTTCAGAAGATTTATGCTGACATCAGAACATTGCTGAAAATGTCCAAAGATGTTTACATGACCTATGAGCAATTCCTAAGCTATTTGAAAGACAACAATCTTAACATGTTTTGATTTTGTTAGGACACAGAGTCATTATTCAGCACCTTTTTGGAATAATTATTTTTATGGAAATTGAATTGAATTTTCATCATTCATTGTGTGTTAAAGGACTATGTTTCTGGATTTGTGTCACTCATGCAGAAGAAATAGTTCTTGATGTGTTAGATTGATGTGTTAAGTCTACAGGCGTGAGAGCCATCCATAATGTGTGAGAGTTCGCAGATACAAAATTGCTTTTACAAAAACAGGTGATTTGTGGCACCTTCTCCAGCATATAAAGCCATGTAACACTTGTGCTTTGGGTAGTAATGCGGTGTGCAAGTTGTTTTAATTTCAACAGTCAAACATAAAATAAACATCAATGCCAACTTGTGCCAAATGACCACCTTGTATGAAGGCAGATGTCTCACCATAAGTCTTGAAATCTAGTTTAATAATGCTCTGCATTTTTTGAAATTTTTCTTTACATTATACCTATAACTCCACCATTTTCAGGTTATTACCTTGATGCAGCGACAACATCCACCTCCAGATTTAGATATGATTGAGGATGGTTGGGTTCTAACTGAGAAGGAGGCCGCAGAAAAAATGATCAAGAAGCGCTTAATCAACAGAATGAGTAAAAAGATTGTTGTTCCACCTCAAGTTCAGGGAGAAAAAGAATACATGCAAAGATGCAAGAAAATTGCATTGGAGATGCTGCTAGGAGTAAGAAATTTTTGATATATCGCTAGAAATTTATAAAAATTGACTTACAGTTCCCTGCTTGTTCAAAAAAAGGGATAGTGCTATCCGCTGGACAAATCACTATCCAGAGAAACCAGCTGTGTTATCCACTGGGTAGAGATTTACTCAGTGGATAGCATTATCCACCATTTGAACCACTGGGGCCACTGTTTGTGTATGACTTTAAAACTCTGTGTTTTTACTTACGTGGTCATTCTATACCCCCCAGTCCCCATGTTAGGCAAAAGTAACAAACTTTTGAAAAAGTATCTTTTAAAACTAACAGTAGTTTACATGTATGTTCTCATTGCTTATAGAATGAAGAAGCACTGGATAAACTTTACACCACTCTGAAGGAAAGATACAAGGACCGATATGGAAATTTTGTTCAAATTACCAAAATTCCTAATCCACCAAGATCGACATTCCCAAATATGGCTTATGTTGAACTGAAAGATAACTCGCTACCACCTTTGCCTAAGCTTCCGGTTGTTAAAAATGGAAAATGGGTTGTTTACGGAAATGATGTGGATAATATTGATGATAAATTGCAAGAGGAAAGTGCTGTAGTTCAAAGTCAGAATTAGAAATTGTCATATACTTAAGGCATTGAATAATAAACTTATCATTTTTTTTTTATTGTGGACAGTGAAGTGTGATTATTTTGTTACTAAGGTAAACCATTATTATAAACACGATGTTAGACTAGCCTGGACCGCAGGCAGACCTATACTTCTGGTTAAGTCCATCAGTGAAACAGCCCTGAAATCCTTGTTCTGGGCCACCACCGGTGTACCAGGATTTGAGTGCATGCCATGATTGGCATGTTTAAAATGTCATTGTTGATTTGCTAATCAGGTTTAAGGGAAATTGAAATGTATTTCCGGTAATTTATTGAGCCTGTTGGTGGCCTTAGTAGAGCAAGGATGTTGGCCCTGCTTTGCAGACATTACTAGCTGGGCTTATATCACATATGAGAAGCTTGCTATGTTAGACATACTAAGTTCCAACCTTGAATTAGTAGTTACAAAAAAATAGTTCTTTTTTTTTCTTAAACCATAAGCTGCTGTGTGCAAGGTATGAAGCACCAAAACCGTGGATCTTTTATCCCCACAGAGTAAGGAAAAAGATATCCAGACACTTGGAAGTGGGTTGAGAAAGCTACAGTACTTGACATTTTTGCAACACCCCTGCCCGATAACTTATTCTCAACAGGTGTTGGTTTGAACATTGGGGAAGGAGAGCTGTCAGGAAAAGGATTAGTAACTCATTTGCCTCCAGGAATTTTACCGAAAAACGCCTTTAGAAGTTAATCAAGGCATTTTCTGGTCTTGGTCTTGCTATAACGACTCAAAATGGCCCAAAACGCGGTCTATAAGTAGAGCACTTCCTTGCCTTTTATCCTCCGATATCACATGAGCTTCCGAAGTTTCGGCGTTCACAGAAAACAAGTTGTCTCGAATCTTTCGCCTTCTTTCCGAGTCCGCTGTGCTTTCGCTTTTGTTGCCCCTTTTGCTAGTTTTGCTTTGAATCGTAGGATTAGATGGAAGGAAGGAAGAGCAAGTGGGTAGTCGAACATCGGAATTTTCTGGTCAACTTTACATGTTCTGTTGGTTTGTTTTTTCTTTTGCGGTTTCTCGGCCTCCTTGACTGAATCGCGCTTATTCTGGTATGGAATGAAAGATCTCTTCCTCCTACTAAAGTTAGATGACAAAGTTGTCTTTGACCGTTAAAACTGGTGACGTCACAAGCGGTACAAAGCACGTTACGGGCGTGTCAGGAGGTTAAAAATGTAGATTCAAAATTTGTGACACGGACCATCTTCCACCTTTGTCCAGTAGACAACGCAGACTTCGACTTCGACGACTTCTGCATGCACAGCTAAGCCAACACGGTCTTCACAACATGAAAGTCAGCTGTGCAACAAAAATGGCTGTAAAATTGATATTTTAAGCAACATTCTACTCTCGTAAATGTTTCAATTATATTACATGTAAAGAAAGATTCAAATTTCATAAGTCCCGCTTTAATATCATTTTAAATACTATCTACAAGTGATTTTAGTATCAGATACTTTACTTTACATTTGGCGAGGGGCACGTATCTCGGCTTGACAATTTACCAATTTTAGTTAATAACTTAAGACAAAATTTTTGTCCCTAAATAACTTAACACTGACTTTCAATTATATTTATATTTATCTTAAAAATACTCAAAATTCTCTTCATAAAAAAAGATTGACAAATTAAGAAATGATAGATGCAATTTCGTGACAGATGAATGAAGGTTAGGAATGGTTGACGAGGATGAACATGTACAGAAGGATAGTCTTTTACAAAAGGATCTTTTTGTCCAATTTCAAAACACTCAGAACGTTGTTGAGTGTTGTTAAGATGTTTGTGTCGACACTGCACAACAATTCTGGCGAGTTACTGGGTTCACACGTGTTTTTTACAAGTTTCATGTGTATTGCAAAATAACACGCGGATGGGTGTGGCACGTGAAAGGAAGTAGCTGGGAATGGCAGTGGACGCAGAAGCCAATCCTCGAGGGAAAACATTTTGACTCTGAAGATGACTACAGCACAGGTTGTCGAAACGTCAGTCACCGTCAACAACAACAGTCTTATTCAGGACTACGTTCACCCGGACGATCAAAATCAACCCACTTTTGAAATGACTTCTGCATTCAAACCTTTCACAAAACATTTGGTGCTGTTGACAAAAGTGGCAAAGCGCGGAATGAATGCTAATCATAGCAGCAACGGTCGAAAGGAACAATAAAAAACAGAGTAATCAAGGATTAGGCTTGGATAAAATTTTATGTGTAAATGTTCTCTTAAACTGTAGTCTTGAAATGAACATGCCCACTTTCTATCGCCAGATTTTCGACTCCAAGCTCTGTGGACGCGTTGCTTTTGAGGCTTGTATCTGTTGTTTGGCTTTCTGACTTTTCCCTGCCTAAAAAATAAACACATGTTTCACATCAGTTTCCCTAACTCTGTAGGATGATGGACAGAAAATAAAGGTGCAGACTCACGATCATGCAACGCAAATAACTCTTGAAATTCTAGGAATCTGCACACTGCAATATTAACCATATCTTCTTTGCTCAAAACTTCTTACAAGACAACGTTAACGTCACTTACACAATAAAAATGACTCCCTTACACACCTCACCAAAACTTAAAATAGCTAGAGTGGTGTGCTTGCACTTTCATATTGCTGTTGCAGCGGAGAAATTCGCGGCCATGGTTTTGTTCACGAATTGTGAATTCGGTGGTTAGACACACCTTGGAACTAAATGATAACGACCATGAATAGCGTGTTCGCGTGTACGCGCTCCCTCGCGAGCAAACCAAACACGCGATTGCGCCGAATATTGCCTCACGTAGGGACACTTCAAGCATATGGGTACGAAGGTCGATGTTTTACTCTCTATGTAGATCTCTTACAAATACAAAAGGACTTTTCGTGAAAGAAGCCTTTCTACCAATTATGGAGCCGAGAGAAACATCACGGAACACTAGTGTATGACGACAGAATAACAGAGGTGAATAATAAACTGTATGAGCACTTCTTTTGCGTGGACACTTAGGAGATTTCCTCTAATGTCTCTTTGGTACCCCGAGGAGCTTGGGGAGTGGGAAAGAAAGTGCGCGAGAAATGATGGAAAGTGGACAAAGAAAAAGCGCATTTTCCTCGCCCTACCGTCCCCCGTTTTATCACTTTTAGTTTTTTACAAATCCTTTTGTTTCATTTCGTGGAAACCTTTTTGGTGGAGAGAGTTAAAAAACGAAGTGGAACGAAAGAATAGCACAGAACTGCTTATCTTTACAATGCTAAGAGAACCGGTGAGACTTGCTCCAAACAGAACAGTACATTAATGGCATCATATTTTGGAGCAATGAGTAGGGAGCTTGACATAACTGCGATGGAACAAATCGGGGCAATCCGGGCACTGCGCTCATGACTCTTTCGCGTGGATTTAAGTGCTGGCGACGGAGAATGCAAAACATGTAGTACTTACAAAAGTTCGAAACACGTTTGTTAAAGAAGTGGAAAGTAACAGCATAATTTATTAATGTTAGCCTTTACAGAATAATAATTGCATTATCATGTTAGAAGAGTTAGTCTTAATGGTTCACTATATAACGTTAGTCCCATTAGTATCAGTTTAAATGGAGAGATATTGGCAACCAGCTGATTAAATTAAGCATCAAGTGTTTAGGGCTGCATATTTGAACAAAATATAAGCTTGAATCGCGATTTCGGCGGCCTGTGAGCTACATGCATTGATACCTTATCGATGTTAGGAGGAATAAAAACAACTGGTGACCCCGCTCGACGGACACCCGACATTCGCAAACCTGGTGTCGAGATTCAATGAACGCGCACCTATATCACACTCGTAGGTGGAAAATTCACCATCTAGCAAAACATCAATACGATCAAACCTGTGTAGAACGGTCACCGATGGGAAATGGCAAGGTGACCGTTATACACAGAGTGACCGCTATATACAGGTCAACTTCCCAGAAATTATAAGGCAACTGAAAATTTTGGGAAGTTGTCCGGTGACCGTGATATGAAGGGTGACCGCTCAGCAGGACCGTTCGAGGTTTGACTGTATCAAGTGAAGCACGCTCATGATAGCGCTTTTCAATTAGATTACACAGAGGTCTACACAAATTATCTTCTCAAGTCATGTTTATAAAGTGATTCATATTGTACTCTCATAGTAGAAGTTTCTAACTGTACAATGACTCGAAGGCCCATCCAGGGTCCCTGAGTGACAGTCCCTACCTGTGGTGTGCTGAGATTCAGCTTCATGAGAGCGCCAACTGTTTAGGGACTTACTGCGCAGATTCCGCGTTGGTCTTAACACCAGAATGTACACTTTAGGTCCGAAAATGCACAACAGCAGCGTTGTAGCGTTAAGAGTCGTATTGATACTGAGCGTTATTGTCGCGTAGTCTTTGTTCACGCCGATTTGCACCGGAATGAATGCCACCCAAATGATACAAGTCGTGTACATAGCGAAGCCAATGTACCGCGCTTCGTTGAAGTTTGCGGGTGTTTTGCGCGTTCTAAACGCGTAAAATGTACAGAGAAGAATAATTATCACATTGTACGTCAACGCAAAGATAAGATCGTAACTTTGAATGTTGCAAATTAACAATACGTCTTTATTCGTTGGGTAAGCAAGGATGGTATCCGGTGGCCATTTTGCCAAACCTAATACAGCGAAGGCAACGTCAACGCAAACAAATACGCCTAGTATGGCGATTTGTGAGGCCGGATTGATGAGCATCGGTGGCTTCGTTGACCGTTTGCTCTTCTCAAAAATTCTCGCAATCCGACTGGTTCGAATCAGAATTGCCGCGTAGCACACGCAGAACGAAAATCCAAGACCAAACCGCTGGATTGCACAAACGACAGTCGAGGGCTCAGCCAGCAAGAAGAATGAAAACACGTAACAGGAGAGTAAACCAAACAGTAGTGCGCATGTGAGCTCCCTACCCGAGGCCTTAACTATGGGGGTGTCGTGGTTGATGTAGAATAATGTCCCTACAAAAATTGTGCACATGATACCGAGGCCCGCAAATACCATGACCATAATGAACCAGCTCTGTGCGATGTTGCGTCGAGGCAGCGACTCACAACCACTGAATTCGGCGTTGGGCCGTTGTCCTTGTTCGCAGGGTTTGCAAGATAGTTCACCTGTGGAATTAAGGTAATCATTGTACATAAAAATAAAAATAACATTGTCATATTAACTTTACACGTCAAAATGCCTTATTTCGCTTTGGAATTGTGTAGACCGAGATCGCTGTAGTATGGTCTACCTTTTATCAGTTGTCTTGGAAGTAGGGTTTCTGTTCTTGTCAAATAAGCTAACAGGTCAACCAATCAGAACTGAGGGTAAAGGAACTTTTTCAATCCTGGAGCTCATTCAAACCTCTGACAAAATGGCCCCGGTCTTTCAAAAGCGGTTCGCTGGATAAGTTATCCAGTGGATAAGTGTGTGAAAGCCAAAAGCTTTTTGCACTAGATAGTGATTTACCCATTGGACAGCACTCTTAACAACTAAGACAGAGCATCTCTTTGACCAGCCTTATATTGCACGTGAGATTTGGTCGGTGTTGTCTCAAATGGACTGTGTATAGGGGGAACGAATTTTGATTCAATGCGATAGCATTACCCAAAGCAGTACCTTGAATCAATTCGACACAATAACTACGCAATCTCTCATAAAACCTCAAAATGTCCAGGGCTAGTCAAAGACATACTGAGGTTTGTAAAAACGTGCGCGAATAGTATAATCAAACTGTAACAGACTCACACTTAGCCTTGAAGACAAACATGATATTTACTCTTGTGTCGAGATATGAGCTTTATCAGAGGGTACATGAAATCACCTTATACAATCAAAGGTGTCTTGGCAATCACGAGCACGCAGCTTTACCTACGACTTACGGACCTCTCGACAAGACACCGTTTGAACTCTCCTCTAACAAAAAGCCATCTCTTTAGGAGCCACTGTCTACTTACGAACATTTTTTCCGGTTCTGGAAGGTGTCCCGCACTTAACAGAATTTCGACTGTATTTCACTAAAGGTGCGTTTAAACAACGGCGAAAAGAAACCTTGCAACCTATTTGTTGTAACACAGGTTCAAACGTGGGTGGTAAAACGCGCAACATCACTATTCAACTCGTTTTACAGCAATGTTGCAAAAAGAAGTGCGGTTCCCCGTTTTACTGTACCTTACGTTAAAGTAATAAAAAAATACCTTGCACGTAGTTATTTTCAGGACATTTCTTGCAAGTCCAGCAGCAGGATCCGTCAAAATCAAACACTTTGTAGTGACCAGCAGTGCAAGGAACTCCACAACGTGACAAAGCCGTTCCGTTCTTTGCTCCATCGTAAAGTTTCTGTGCATCGTACAGTTTATCATCCCAAGAGGCTATCTTTACGTATTTCCCGCCTTGCAGACGATAAATGTCGTATCTACCCCGGCCGTTTCCGTTGCGATCAAAGCTGACTGAGCCAGTTTTCCCCTGAAGCTTACGTTAAACAGTATGTCTCGTAGCTGGTTGCCATCGAAGCGCCTCATCAATTCAGGACACAGGCCGTTCCTCGCTGGACAGAAGCTTTTGTACATGGCTTCAAGGCCATGCGCAAACGCATACACAGCGTCAATAACAAAAGGCACTTTATCATCAATGCGCATGTCCATATCTTTAAGAGAACGCGAGCGACAAGCACTTTCGCTCATGCGGCAATTAAACTGCGTTTCCCAAAACTCTTCAAACCACGGATTCACTCGCAAACTGTGGTTATTAGGTTTTAAAGAAGTGAAGTATTGTTTAAACGAAGTAAAGTTTGCCTCCGTCAAACTTATTGTTATCGCTCCTTCCGCATATTTCTCGAGACCGTCAATGGTTTTCTTCCGCGTTCCCCAGTAATCGCTCGCTATCCATGTAAATTTACCAGCGGCATCTTGACGTTTAGCTTCTTGTAGGATTCTTCTAGCGTCTGTATCAGTACAAAATAAAATAATTCCACGGACATTCTGGCGTTTCAGAAATTCTTTGACCATGCTGGCGATTTGTTCGTCGCCGCTCGAACCTCCGTCAATCTTAAACGTCCCCGCGATGCAAATATTTGCCGCTTTCGCGTCATTTGTAAATTCCCGTATCCCCCGCTCTCCGTAATTTCCCTCGGAACTCACGGCGAACACAGACGTCCATTTTAATCCACGCACAACATCGATCATCGCGCGCGCCTGGTAGTTGTCAGGGGGTACAGTGCGCACGAAAAAATCGTACTTTGCTTTGTCGCTGAGATCTGTTGAAGTAGAAGCATAACTTATTTGCGGTAGTTTGAACAACCTTAAGAGATTCGCGATTTGGATGGAAACAGTACTTGCCGCTGCTCCAACAACTCCTGCCATGATTCGTTCTTTCATTGAGGAAGACGCTGAAAACGCATTTGGACAGCTTACGGTCCTGTTTTTAGCAAGTGACTCCATGACAAACTTGAGCGATTCCTCTAAAGCTCTAGTGTCTCTTCCACAAGTATCATACGCCGACATGCCAAGGGTAATGTTTGGCAACAGATCAGGGCTCTTGTTGATCTCTTCTATCGCAAAGATCGCAGCTTGAAATCGGTGAATACCTCGCTCCACGTTTAAGCTCCCACAAATAGAGCCATGTTCTGTGATGTTTTTATTGTGCATGGGAAATAGCCCTCCCAAAACAATATCGGATGGTTTATCAACAGGGAAGTTCGCATTATAACCCAGATCTATATCTCCAGATTTTCCCCTAGTCGAAAAGCTCGGATAACCAGGTGAAACGGCAAATATTTGGCCGAAACAGAGGCTTGTTAAAGAGGATATGAAGAGAAATGAGTTAACAAAGACCTTGAAGGCGTTTGCTTGGTGATGGCGCTGAGGACGCCCTTTGAAATGCAGAATCATGACAATGATGACTTCGGAAGTGGTTTCCTCTGTAAAACCCTTCTGAATAAAACTTTTTTTTTAGAGTGGCTGCTCTGTTTGTTCTAAAAGTTCCATACACCGCTGTATTTGGATACGAAGCTTGAAACACCTGAAATTTAGATAACAGACTGTTACAGAAAATTTGTCGCTTTAATTAATTCCTTGTAAAAAGGTGTAATGCATCCCTCAAAGACTAAAAATTTAAAACACAACAGAAGCTTAGTGGCATTAACCACCTTTGATCTGGGAGCAAATATATGATGCTTTACAGAAGAGTTAAGAAGAGCTTTACTGTGGATGAGCACAAAATCCAGTTCGTTAAAAGGCAATGGCGAGAATTCAGACACAGCACTGATACATTTTTGAAGCATGGAATTCTATTTAAGTAGGTATACAGTGAGCCGTACCATGAGTTAAAGTGAAAACTCTTCGTAGTCAGTCAAGTCAGGGCAATAATCAAAGTCGATTCACTAAAAGTTACGAAGCCAAGAAGAAACAAAACCAAGATCGGCAAAAGAAAACCAAAGTTATAAACCTGTTGGCCTCACTAAAATTACCTCCTAAGACGTTTTGGAGATAAGAGTACACGACGTTTGAAGTGCTAATTCGCATAATTCCTTAGTACTGATTCAGTTAAAAACAATCGATCGGCGGCTGGTTTAGTTCAAATGCCTATAAGTTGCTAAATAGTGCCGGCCAGCCGGCGGAGATCAGAGTGACTTAACATGAATGCAACGTCGTTCGGCTGCTCAGAAAACGTAACTTGTCAACGAGGTGAATTATTTCTAAAAGATCTGTGACCCGTTCAGTTCTGTGGCAGTGAAGTCATCTCCTTGAAAAAAACATTGCTGCAGTAGTATTATCACTGTATTATGTAAATCGGCGCTGAAACGGAAAAAAGATAGAAATCAGTACTCACATAACAAAATCCTGATCAAGAGGTTAGCGATGGTAGTTCTGAAGATTTCAGGTGGGTCCACAACACCGTCCCTAAGCTTTGATAGTTATCTTCGCGTGCTAGCCGGCTTTCTCTGCCTCTGCGGAACCTTTGTTTGTTTTTTCCGTCTGTGTTGGGTTGTTGTTGATGTAATCTGCTAATCTGCATTCAAATGGATGGGAAAACGTTTTAACATTGGGAGAGTGGTCGCCAGTTTGATCAGAAAAGGAAGACAAGAAAAGGGGCGAGATCCACAAAACTCTGATAACTGGCGACAAAGCGGGCAAGCGTAAAGTATATCTGATATGCCGATCAGAGAAGACACATCGCTTTTTGAACTAACAGAGTTTGTTTACTAAAGGCTTGGGTATTTTTCTTCTATGTACTTGACATGGTCCAAAGATCAGGAACAGAGGCTGAATCACATGTACACCATCAAATAGAAAGAGCACTCAGACGTAACAAAAACAATTAATCATGAAACTCATTTCCGCAAAGGATGTAGATTTTTTGATGCTCAAAATTTATTTACTAAGGTTTCGAGGAGAAATCTAATTTTTGCGGCGATTTTTCACTTTTTGCCGATCTTTTGCGGAACAAAAATACAGCCTTACTAAACGTAAGATGTAGTATAATGTTACAAAATATTGCTGCAATAAAATTCAGCTGCCAGTTTTTGTGTATAGGTAAAAACGGATTTAAACAGTCTAGACAGTTTGTAATTGTAGAGAAATAAACAGAAAAGAAGCGTCTTACAAGTCGTTCACCTTTTCTAAAGTTGCAAATCACAATATGGATCGAATAGGTAATTACTTAATAATCTCTATAATTAAAAACAGATCAAAAATTTTTCGGATGATGTCTTCATATATTTAATTTCAATATTTAATTTTTTTCGTCAAAATTAGCGTTCTCAGATTCCACGCTAGTTTATTTTTAGGAAGAACTAAGCGGTTTTTTACTAACACGTTTTCCCCACTGGTCAAGCCCTTTTTGCCGTCATAGAATTATTGCGGTGTCGTTAACTATTCTTGTGGTTTTGCTTCTTTCGAGGCCATTTGGTCAACAACTTATAACTTACACCAAAAAGAAAAAATGTCAGCTAACCGTCGCTCAATCTCTCTTTCAAGTTTGCCAACTTTTACGCTAAAAAGGAAAACAGATCTTACTTGCTATTAATACTAAGGGTGCTATATATGGTGTACATGGCAGAGTTTGAGTGTGCGATATTTTTACAAACATTCTTGTCCATAAATACTGGTATTTCTGGACTAAGTTCAATATCTTCCATGATCCAAACGCTGTGTGGAAAAGAACTTGTAGTTTATAAGATGGGGGCTGCCGGAAAAACAATTTGCGTCAGATGAATGGGGAAAATGCTCCAGCCGGCTCAAAATGAGGCTAAAATGTAAAGTTAAAAGAGCTCTTAGACATCGAAGTAAGTTTAAGAGACTTGACTAAATCAAGAGCCGAAATGATACGATGTATTAGACTTAACTGAGTGTGTTGGAGAGGTTAGAGGGATTAATTCATCACCACAAAGTGATTGAATTTGCGTCTAACTTTCATCGGATATCATGCCGGCATTACCACAGGGAAGTAGTACAGTAAAATAAATAGCAACACGGGAAAGTACTGCTCAGTAGCCCTCATTTGAATGGTCACACTTTAGGATTTCATCCACAGGCTTAAAAGTTAGAACCACCTTGTACAACATAATAAACAATACCACAGGAAAATACTGCTCAGTAGCTTTCACATGAATGGTCACACTCGGATTTCTTCCACAGACCCAAAAGTTAAAAACACCTTGTACAGCATAATAAACAGTACCACAGGAACCCGAAAGTACTGCTCAGTATAGCTTTCATTTGAATGGTCATACCGTAAGAATTTGAACTGCCGACTCAAAAGTTCGAGCCACCCCAGTCGTACAGAGGTAGCGGAAGATTCATGTTATGAAACATGTTCTATCGTTTTCAACCCATCTGATCAGTCCAAGTTATTATCTGAACGTTAATTGGATTGATTGCTCAAAGTAAAAGATAAATGCTTACCAATAAACCTTGGTTGAATTGGCTTTTTACCTCTTCCTATGCATCATAATAACGTATGTAAAAGTGACCGGACGAAATGACAACACCTTTTGCGTGTCAAAATTATAAGTTGTTGATGACCAAGGTCCGCTGCGGTTGTAATATTGGACTTGTTTCGAGAGTGGTACTTGAAAACTAAAAAAAAAAAAACCTGTTTGCCATCAGGAGATTTTGCGAATCTCTGACAGTTTTCATTATGTTGTCAAGGAATATAGATTTTGTTGGAGGGTTTAACTGGTTGAAAAACTACGTTTCTCGGAAGATACAATTTTAGAGACACTCAACATTTTCATACAGTTACATTTATAGATACTGAACAAAATAAATTTCCTGCTATGATATCTCTAAACTTCAACACTTTGCAAAGAAAACGGAGACAGGAATTTCCGGATTCCTTTGGTGATATTTTTATCAACAGATTTGCGTCCGTTAGACAAACAAGGATGCAGATGAAGAAGCTTATTTGGCGAAATAAACATCATAATCGCTGAAGAGGCGACCACCCACATCTGAAGGGCGACTGTGGGGGAAGGGGGTGAGGGTGCAGGTATCCGAAACAATTGGAAGACGACGGAGGCTGAGAAAACGTCACTATCAAAAACTGATTTAAAGAGCCCATGTCACGGCTGTCTGTTTCATTCTTTGGATCAATTTAAATTTCTGGGAAACTGCCCACTTATCCCTTCTCTAACCTAACATTTTGCTCTAAGTGAGAACTAAGTGACAATATTGGCTTAGGGGAGGGGTAGGTGGGTAGTTTCCCAGAAAGCTAAATTGATACCATTCTCGGTCTACTTTCTAATCCTCTCGGATAAGGACGAAAAACCGTAGGTCCCGTAGGTCATAGCACTTGCACTTATGTGTTCTTGTGGGACGTAAAAGGACCCACCCCACTGTTCGAAAAGAATAGGGGAAGTAGACCCCCGGTGATGTGACCAAACTTTACACACCATTCACATCATGGGTTGGGTGGGTAGGGTAAGCTCATAAAAAATGGGCCGATAGCGCCCGCCAATGGCGTCTTTGTGTGCTGACCTTCGAGCTTCAGTACTGTTAACATGTTAATATATATTGTAAAGAGTGTACGTCTGGTGTCCTCTCATCCATGACTCCTTCCTTCCTTCCTTCCTTCCTTCCTTACGCGCTATGTTGAACTTAACGTTAACGAGAAACTACTTGTAAACGACAAAATCACAGCTTTTTGTCAAAGAAATACTGAGTCGCAAGTTGACTGTATAAAACGTTACAAACAACAAAAATGAACTTTGAAAAACTGTTAGGCTAACAAGTTTTCGAAAACCCACGATTAGAATCTGTTTTAATCTTCCTGGAGTTTGTCCATTCGTGCCTCTTTTTGTACAATTCATAAAATATATTTCAGCTTGTTTTAACTTGAGAGCAGGCTCTATTTTCGTTTCGCTTTGTAAATAACATTCCGGCGGGCATGGCGAAACGAAAAGAGAGCCCAATTTTAGCGTTAACCGTTAGAGAGAATGTATAAGTACCGCTCAAATTAAGCCTGATCTCAGGTTAGCTTGTTTTGATGTTCGTGACAAATTATTATCAACGTAACGTAATTGCCCTGTGTTGTAATTTTGATTCCTTAACATAGCTTTTGCAATACTGTATGTACTTGTATGGTCATGCAAATAAAGCTCGTTGTTGTTGTTGTTGTGTTGTTTATATCTTCTTTTAATGTTTAGAGCAATTATTTTAATGTTTCACACAACTTGGTGGCAGCTGTCACGGGTAGAATTTTGAAATATTACATAACGCAGCTCCTTTAATTTGTGTTAATTCAAACTCTATCGCCTTTATTTAGTCTCGCTCAAATTGTCAAATGTGGGCGAGTTTTCCGGGAGTTAAAAACTTGAGGACTGTATCCAAATTCAAAAAGGGACAGAAAATTCGTGTCTTGTGCTCACATCGTCTGCACAACGTCAAATTAGGAAATTTTAAGTCGTGGTCGTGCTCTAGATGTCAAAGAAATGCATTGTACAAACAGGTGTAATGTTCGGGCAGAGCAGCTGTTGTCGTTGTTTTTTTACTAGACTTTCTCAAAGTCGTTCGCATGGTTTTCTGGTCTGGTGTAGTAGGACCCGGCACGAACTTTCGCTCGCTCGCTCGCTCGCGCTTCGCGCTCGGCGCTCGTACGATCGCGCTCAAAAGCTCGACTTGTGAGCAAGTCTATTTTTTTACGGTCACGTTTCCGTTGTTTAAGCTAGCTTTAAACTCCTTAATCAGCTGGACCGTAGGCCCATATTGAGGTGCCTACTATAGGTCACTTTTACCTGTTTTCGTTAACTGATAGGTGGCCGGCCTCGCGAGCGGGCGAGATAAAGTGAGTCCTGTGTTACGACTGGCTACCAGAACGGACAGGACAAGCCTACTTTGCCTGCACGGGATCGCCCGATTTGTCCCCCGGGAAAACACTAATTTTGTTTTCACTATTCAACAAGCTTGTTCGGTCAAGATGACGTGAGTGAAATCGATCCTGCTTAAAGACCCTAGAAAAACGAAACCGGCTCACAGGAACAAGCATCCTTTTTCCGCAGGTATCACGCATGGATAGTGCCGCATCTTCTCTGATTGGTTGAAAGGCTTTATGTTGTAAACAGGTAGAAAGGGATAATGAAACAAAGGCAAAAATTCCACACGTTTCTGTTGACTGATCTGTCGACGTGCAGCAATGAAGTAAGAGGAATGCCAAAGAATCAGGTTTCAAGGAACGTGGCCTTGAGGTCACTCGATGTTCACTAACAACATTGCGGAAGTTTTGATTACATATCTCGCGTTATTCACTTCACTGTTATATTAGGTTTTCAGATTAGCGAACGGCGACAACAATGGACTCAAGGTCCTTTGGTAGGTGGGTGGGTACCTCCATAATGAAAAGTTCGGGCACTTTTTGAATCCTTTTGGAACAGGAATTTGATGGAAATGTGTTAAAAACAAACAATTGACACTCCAAATTTTTTGTTAGTGTGAACATTACAGAAGTGTTTCAGTCGAGTGACACAGAGAGTTCATGACGCACTCGAGAAGGCGACCTTTCTTATTCAGCTATGGATTCAACAGAGGTTCATGTTATATCTCAGTGTTACATAAGTTAAATTTTCATGATTCACAAAGACTGTTTAGATTGCCTTGAAGAGCCTGTAGAATCAGTTTTAAGCAATAGGAACTAACGTTGGACTGTATGCAATTCTTTCAGTGAAGAGCCGCTTTCCTTTATAGCATTCATAAAATTGCAACGGCAAGAGAGATTTTCGATGGATTAATTTGATCATTTCCGTTGTGGTTAACTAGCCCATTCAAAAAAGATTCGTCTTGAAAACGTTGACTGCGATAACATACAAAAACAACCATCACTGGTCGGATAATGACGATGAAAATGAAAAAGCAGGGAGTTATTAAAATCTATGATGGCTCACCTCTCATAAGATTGAGGTCACTCGCGATAAACAAGAATTTTTCTTTGACTGTATTGTAGCTACTTCTGGTCTTCTTGAAAAGCCTCTACAATGCACTTCACACAACTTCTCTTGCCAGTTTCATCTCGAAGCTGCCACGGTATTTCTTCTTCACAGCGGAACACTGATCACGTTTATGCACACTGCACCTACCGGCAGAACGAAATGATTTGAAATGCTTAATCGAAACATTTATATTCTCTTATCATGGGTAGTATCTGTTAGAGCCACGTGCGTAGAAGGAAATCGTTTACAAATCTTTTGGTTTCAAACAATTGAACTCGCTCAACAACAACACAAGTTTCTGAACCATAGCCAAATATGCCTTTGACAACAAGTTCCGTTTTGGATTATATTAGTTCAAGTCGATTCAGGACATGATGGGCCAAGATTATTTCTCGGAAAGCTTTAGTAATAACAAAAAACTCATGTAGTCTTCTAATTGGTTCTGTTGATATAAACGTCGGTAGTAAACCATTCGCGGAAATGCAACAGTGCTGGGGTTCAATTTATATATAGTTCGAGACAACGGAGAGGAGTGAATCGAGTTTTACTTACCCGTTTGCGACATTAGTATTGAAACAGTGGGTGAAGCACTTTGCTGAACGAAAACAAAGTCACGTGCATATTATACTTGACCTTTCAAAGCATTGTTGAAAAGTGGAGTCTAATTGTGTTTAGCTAGAGCTGAATCTGGAAAACAATTGTGTCTTCCAAACTCAAGACAAAGCAGACAGAAAAAGAGGTTTGTTTTTAAGCCAATCCAGGTTCGAAAGAACTGCCTTTGGCAATGTGTTTAAAGTTCCCTGTCGAAAGCTTATTAGCATATAAAGTTTTGCATAACATTGATAAGCGAAGGGTGTTTTATTTCCTTGTTTACGATTCTAGCGATGGAAAGCAATTCAAGATCTGCGGTATGCCACAGAGGCAGTGGGGCGTCATGGGAAGCCTCCCAGAATTCATTGCGTAACGTAATAAAAACAAGAAAAGCTGATCAGTGATTGCAGCTGTATTTTTGCAGGGCCATAACTAAGTGGATTCTCTCGTCCATTATGTACCCGCGGTGCACAAAGCAGTTTGGGTGAACCTGATCCTCAAACAGGAAAGACTGGCTGGCTTGATACTTCATCCATCTTTTTAATAACATTAAATCTTAAAAGTAAGTTGAGTTTGTTCGTCCGGGTGAACGTAGTCCTGAATAGGACTGTTGTTGTTGACAGTGACTGACGTTTCGACAACCTGTGCGGTAGTCATCTTCAGAGTCAAAGTGAGTTGTATCACGTCAGTTGATGGTATTCAGATCAATAACCAGAGTATAATACCATCAACTGACGTGATACAACTCACTTTGACTCTGAAGATGACTGCCGCACAGGTTGTCGAAACCTCAGTCACTGTCAACAACAACAGTCCTATTCAGGACTACGTTCACCCGGACGAACAAACTCAACTTACTTTTGAAATGACTCCTAGGTTCAAACCTTTCACAGATTAAATCTTAAGCTTGGAAGATCACTGGAATGCACAAGACTCGGTGGTTAGAGAGAATAACATCCATTTGGACGGCAATCTAAGGATAACAGTTTTAAATTATAAATATTTCAAAGTTCTTATTAACATCCTTCCGTCCACGTAGACTTCCTTTTAAACCATTTGCCCATTCTTCATCAGTTTCAGAGTACAGTCGAACCTCTTGGTACGGACACCTCTCTATTACGGACAGTTTCGAATGTCCCAACAAAATTCTCATATATTTTCTTTAAAAAAACCCCTCCATAATACGGACTCTCTCTAATACGGACAACGGACACTAAATCTCGGCCCCGGAGAGTAAATTCATAAAAACTTAACCTCTTTATTACAGACACTGCGGTGATCAGGTGAATCCCGAATCCCGATCAGTTGAATCTACATAGGGTGAATCCTGTCTGGCTGATGAGCTATGTAAGGTGATTTCAAAAGCCCAGTCGCTGTATATCAAACAACGATTTGCGAAAGGAACATAACCAACTTTTTTATGGCTCGAATAACTAGAGATAGCATAAGGATCTTTTCTATTACATTTTCTACTGTAGTTACCGTTTACTGCGATTACAATAAATAGCAAAATACGCTTTCAGAATCTGCTTTACGTTACAACTTTTTACATTCAGTATTGCGCTGTAGCTCGTTTCGTTTTAAAGCAGTGATTTTTCTACGACTGTACTTACTTTGTAGCTGCTGAGATGTACAATGTTGTATGCTACTCTTTGTACTGTGAGTTAATAAATTTAAATGCAGTTTAAAGACGGATGTGAAGCTGGTTTTAGCTAATGAACCGCTTAAAACTGTAAGTGGAGTCGTAGAAGTGACGTCATCGTATTGACGTCTTTTATGCGGACACCTCTCTAATACGGACACTTCGCTCCTTCCCTTCTTTGGAGATCTCCCGAGTAATATTTTTGACGCGTTTTAGCCTCCATTTTTAGTCGGTAATTTACTGAGTATTTCATATTTCCATAACTGTGAACTCTTTCAAAACGCGACAATTTCCGGCATGCAGGCCCGACGAAATAGCTAAGCCGTCCTCTGTTTTTTGTAATGTCAACCGTGAATACTTTGTAATAATAGAGAGGTTAAGGATCACGTTTACGTGAAACGGCAAACACGAATTGTTCTACGTGACCAAGTTTTGCCATTACTTTTCGTTATACTGTTCATTAATACACATAAATTAGTAGTTTCACGCAATCTGTTATCCATAAGAATTGTTTTGAGCTGTTTTTATCTGCTCGTTTTCTAATTTCAGAAAAATATTCGACTTGAATCCTCCCACAATCACTACCTCCTGAGTGACTATTAAATGTTAACGAAAGTATAATCAAGGGGGATTAAAGGCAACCAGAAACGAAGAACTTTTTTGAGTTAATAATAACACTGACAATATTGAATGAACACAGCCACCTGTCGATCATACAATGATTGTTGCTCCGATAAGAGAAAGAAGTGGGGGGGGGGGGGGGGGGGGGGGAAGGGTGGGAGTGATGAGAGGATGCTGTATTCGCGCGCTAAAACTTTTAGTGTTTTCCAAGAAAACAGAAATAGCTTTCATCCCCATGCTAACTTGGCTAACTACTTTTACTTCCCGAAACTGAATCTTGGATGAGCTTAATACCGACTCAAACTACAGCTATACATCTCTCCAAAAAACAAACGATCGAAAGTTTAAGACGACAGTCATTAACAAAACCCTCGATCCAGTTTTCACTGTGTACAAACCCAAGAGCGCTTCTGAAAGGAACCGATAATAACTCGATAACGCTGATATAAATCAAACATCAACAGTGCGAATGAAAATATAACAGATTTCTTCCGCTCAAACCCACCCATTTGAAAAACTTCTCAACATGGTCCTAAGACAATCAGGATTCAGTGCACTGTTAGCTTAAGAGAGAATTATCATCGGAATAAAAAAAGAAATTCATCATCCACTATATATACGATATTCGTCTATAGCTTTTAAGTTGAGATGTGAAAAAAAAACGTGTCATTTATGAACTAAAGTGTTTTGGTTTGTTTTGATATTAGGGACTTTAAGATCCAACCACGCGGACGGCAAGGAGAACATCAAAAAACAATTGGTTTAATAAGCAAAACAACAACTTTGCACGTGCATCACGCTTTTTTGTACATTTCTTTCCTGTTTTTGCACGACTACGACGTGAAAATGCCTAACTTTGCGTTTTATAGAGGACGTACACAAGCAACGACGAAACTTTCTTTCTCTTTCTGAGCTTGGCTTTGGACCCTTGAAATTCAGCTTCAGGAGGGTTCGCCTACATTTGACAAAGTAAGTGGGTACGAATAATTGCTATTAAGAATGAAGGAACGGAAATTCACTTTTTAAGCGACGCTCTCGTTGTCGTCGCGTCGTTAGATCTTAAAGTCCCTATTAATGGCGGAGACGCGAAAAGGTTTTGAAAAGTATTTTCAAAAGTTATTTAACAATAACATATTTAAAACATCGTTAGAAGATCAAGAGATATAAAAAAAAATGAAACTAAAAATGGTTCGTTGATCGAGAGGATAAACCTGACAAAGGGGAACATAATTTCCCACTCCCTCGTGGTAGGCGGAAGTTTCCATTTTCGAAATCAATTTAAAACGGAGAGTCTAGATGCAAAAAAGCGAAAACTTACTGATGAGGATCAATTGTTTTCTCTCCCTTGTCGACGTGAGTTTCGCACACCTAACGATTACAAATCGGCCATCACAATTTCCTCGTTCATATGTTTTGATGTTATATACGTGACTTTTCATATGCCGCGCGCCTAATGCCAAGTCATATTAAAATATAATGACTGTCTGAGCTGTCACCAAAGACTGTATTTTCGCTTTCAAAATTAGCAAAATCCATTTGTAAAAGTAATATACTATCTTACACAAAGCGTACTGATTGCTCAGTGTCAATGTAAATTTTGAAAGTTGTCGGCTTCAAAATCGTCACGGCGCTGGTTTGTCAGGTGTGACGTGGGTAACTTTTTCTGAGCAGAATTAGTATCTGTTCCGCAAGAAAGAGCTTCCCTTTTCGCCCTTCTTATGAAGATTAATCGCTCGCACGATAACTCTGTTTGGGTCGATTGTGAAACAACTTAAGTTCAATATTTCCCATTTAACGATGTAAAAACTGAAATCCGCAGCCCTTATTTTGTGTTTCTTGCGGTACTGTTTATAATGCTGTAGAAGGTGCCGGTTAAGTGTGACCATTCAAATGAAGGTTACAGTGCAGTTGCTTCCTGTGGTACTGTTTACTTAAGCAAAAGACCACACTTTCTATGGGTTTACCGGCGTGATAACCCACGCGGGATGTTAGGAGAACACGGGAAAAGCTTGTAAATCACGAGAAAGTGTGGTCCATTGCTTTCGTAAAATAACTTTAAGTTTTCTGTGAGTTTACCGGCACAATAAACCATAGGTTTTAAACCAATCAGAACGCGCGTACTATCTTTAGTTAGTTATTTTATAATATGTTGCACAAGGTGGTTCTAACTTTTGAGTCTGTGGATGAAATCCTAAATAAAAGTGTGACCATTCAAATGAAAGCTACTGAGCAATACTTTCCCGTGGTACTGATTATTATGCTGTACAAGGTGGTCCTAACTTTTGAGTCTGTGGATGAAATGCTAAATAAAAGTGTGACCATTCAAATGAAAGCTACTGAGCAGTACTTTCCTGTGGTTCTGTTTATTACGCTGTACAAAGTGGTTCTAACTTTTGAGTCTCTGGATGAAACCCCATGGTGTGACCATTTGAACGAAACCTCTTTGGCTGCTTTACCGCACGATACTTCATCTTTTATCAACGTGATCCAAAATGAAGTTAGGGATTATCTTCGGCGTGCTTGGAAGATATCACATATATAAAAAGACGTCAGTTATTGCTTAGTTAACCAAGAGAAGGGATTGAGCGTGAAGAAGACGCCTCAGTCCTCGGTGGTCAAAAACAACACAAATGAACAGTTTTTAGCGAGCATGCAAAGCGACCAGTACTTACCGCATTAAAGTAAAATTCAAAATTCGAAGCAAATTTCCGAGAATACATTTTAAAGAATATATTTCTAAAACATTCGGGAAATCTAAAACTGGACAAATTTTACCACATTCTAAAAGAATTTAAAGCAGGAAAAATTTTGTCGAGTGAAAACCTCCAACAATGAAATTCAACACCAGATTTTTTTGTTTAAATCCCAACACTTCGACATTCGAAACTGGGTAGAATTGAAACTTACTGAACCTCCGGTGCACCTGTTTGTATCAAATTCTGGCTTTTTTTTTTTAAAGAAAAAGAATCATTGGTTGCGAGCAAAAGAGGCAATTGAACCTTACGAAAAAGCTACTAATTAAACTGACTGTTTTTGAGAGAAAATTGATTCGCGTTACCGAAGGACTATACACACCTGAAATGACAAGATCAGTTCTATTTATATTTACTTTTCAAAACTGAAAAGACGCCGAAAATTAAAACAGGGAAACTTTAGATTACCATTTCAAAAGGCAGAATAATATTAGAATAACAAAGTCTGAAAAATAAATGACTGTTTGGCGGTGTAACGTTTCGAACTAAAACGGAGAATTGGCGATGTACAACTTTTAACTTACTGTGGCTAAATTTTGTATTGTCAAACCTAAGGACATCAAAGAACCATGTTAAATGCTTACTGTGCCGATAAAGCATTAAAAAGGCCAGTGAAATAACTGGAGATGAGTTAAATGTTCACCTGTAAAGAGAAGTTTGTAAAACGAAACTCGCTTTTGGCATAAAAACCTCGACTGAGCAGAAAGAAACGGTTTTAATATAACGTTTACCCTCTAGTTATATGTATACCATAAACTGCACGTCGTAGTAACACAAATCTTACCTCTCGAGTGCTGGTTTCACCGTGTAAATTCCCATCAGAAACCCTATCCTTTTACTCCAGTCCAGGCTAGCCAACTTTTAAGCTGGAAATAAGCCAGGTGCTTAAAAAGGCAAAACTACTTAATATTTTAAAATACTCAAAGACAAGGCGTCTTTCCAGAGGAAAAGTAAATGACCCATTGTTTCCCATAAATGTGCAATTAACTCTAGTTGAATGCTATTTCAACCAACACAGCCAAAATGTGTAAACAAGAAATTATGATGATCAACTGCACAGCTTGAGAGAACCAATTTCATCTCTGTCAGCAATTTTAATATTCTATTTGCTAACGGAAGTGAAAATACAACAACAAAAAGAGAAAGGTGTTCTGTAAAAAAAGGCAAATGATGTTTAACGATGCTATCTTTCAACTGACAGCTGTTTCGAACTACTTTCATGCAACCGGTTAAATACGATGTTTCACTACAAAATTTTTTAAATAGTTTTTAGGGTAAAATGTCTTACACAATCCGCACCGATCCAAAATAGGAAGAAATTCCGAATAGAGGCAGTCCTTAGAAATGTTTCACGGATTTTAGAGTTGCTGGATTTTCTATAACAGTATTGGGCGAATTTGAGAGCCTCGACCTTCAGTTTCAAGTGTAAAAGGTCTCCAAGCAGCCATCAGGAACATGCAAAACTGAACCATTTGATGCAGAATAACTTCACCAAACACTATTTGCTCAACGTTAACTGCCATTAGTAATGGTTTATCTCAGCTTAAGTCATGGTCAAGTGTTCGAACGAAAAAAATGTCATCCGTCTCACCAAAAAGATTACATTTTTGCACATTTTCGCATATTTCTGATCCCAAATTGAGCTTCTTTTAGCCAAATGAAGTTAACATCTGATCTAGGGCAAGTGGAGGTTTTGTCTCCCGCACGCATTTTCTAAGATGCACATCCAGTTTTGTATGCGGAGGGCCTGAGGTTGAGCCGGCTGTTGCGAGACAAGAAGGAAGGGGCTTGGAAACGAACGTGCACACACCACGACAATTTTAAGACGCCTCATTCTTGTTTCTTGTCAGCAAATTCTGACAATCGTTTTCCTGTCAAACGATATAACCTCCATCCATCAAGACAAACCGCACCTATGCGGTCATAAAAATCCAAAGCTAATTTGTTCCAGTTTAAAACGTGCCAATCCAGCCTGGTACACTTTCTCTCCACAGCGATCTGAAAGAATACAAGGTTCTTTGTTGTAAGGTGCATAAAAACTAAAACTTTAAAAATTGCTGAAATGGATGAATAAAACTTACAGCAGAAACTCTCTTCAGCAATGCCTTTCCAATCCCTTTACCTGATACAGAAAAGGAAAATAGATAATCAACTCCTGCAGCATTATTTTGTATCACAAGCGGAATTGCCTTTAGGGCCATCTTCCAACAACTGTTCTAATGTGAATTTGTCCTACACCCCAAGGACATAACCAGATAGAGCTTCCTTTTGCACAGGGGTTAATAAATATGGATGTTTACAAACTGGGGGGGGGGAACTCCTTTATTGGGCCTAAACAAACGGGTGTGTGTGCTGGACAGGGTATGGTTTTCAGGGCCTAGAGTCTAAAACAGGGTATGTGTTTTCACTATCTGCATCTTCAGCAGGGTGTGTAGGGTGCATGGGTGGAGAGAGAGTAAAGGGCAGCTGGGATGCGAAGGGGTGAAGGGCAGTTGAGTGGCGAGGGGGCAAAGGGCAGGTGGGTGGCAAGGGAGTGAAGAGCAGTTGGGTAGGAAGAGGGTGAAGGGCAGTTGGGCAGGAAGAGGGTGAAGGGCAGGTGGGTGGCAAGGGAGTGAAGGGCAGTTGAGTGGCGAGTGGGCAAAGGGCAGGTGGGCAGATAGGGAGTGAAGAGCAGTTGGGCAGGAAGAGGGTGAATGCAGGTGGGTGGCAAGGGGGGTGAAGGGCAGGTGGGCAGGAAGAGGGTGAAGGACAGGCGGGTGGCACGAGGGTGAAGGGCAGTTGAGTGGCGAGGGGGCGAAGGGCAGGTGGGTGGGGAGGGGGTGAAGGGCAGGTGAGTTGCCAGCAATACTAATTTCAGCACTGTAGCACATGTACCAACTCTTCTGTATGGCCAGTACCTTCCACATGCACACATCGATATCACCCTGGCAGTGGCAGCCATGGACAGCTGTTTCATCCTCATTTGGAATCATCAACACGGCATAGCCCCAGGCGAGAGGTCACACTTGCAATCATCGACCCAACTGTTTACTACCAAGGCAAGTGCAAAAGCACTCCTTTAACCTTTTAAGTCCCAATATCCTCATACAAATTCTCCAAACTGATCTCCATACACTGCCTTGAAGAATTGGTTGAGAGATTTTGTTTGCTGATCAAAGCTTTTCACATCAGATGATTGTTTTATTAATTCTCTCCACATTTTCTCTAGATTACATTGTATAAACGAATTTTGTTAGGAGAAATTTGACTTTGGTCAGTGACTCTTGGGACTAAAAGGGTTAAGCACCAGCTCCACCAAACACAAGTGGTAGGTGTTGCTTGGGAACCACAAAACAGTTCTTTATATTCATAGAGATGGGATAAGCTAAATTGACCTGTGGGTTGCGAAGGGCTGAAGGTCAGGTGGGTGGGGAGGGTTTGAAGGTTGAATAAATAGGTTTAATGCCTTCATTTCAATGTATTTGAGCATTGGCTGAAAGGGCAGTGAGAACACATACATTTACAAATAGCTGACATTTACTGAAAAGCTAAAAACTAGATTAGAGCGATTTTTGTACGATCTTGAAATAAAAACGCGCAAACAAAACAAAAACAACAAACGAACGGAAATAGAGCGATTTGACTGGCTTATCGAATGGATACAAACACGCATGGCTTTTGGTTTGTTAAGCAAACGCTCGGGTGAAAAAACTTCATGCCCGAGAACTTTCGAGAAATCAACCGATACTTTGCTTTGACATCATACTGCAACACGATTGGCCAATCAAAACCAATGCCTTCTCCATATTAGGGTTTTCTTTGGCGGGAAAACGAAGAGGCCATATTTTGATCTTTTTATCCAATGGCTGATAAAACAAATAACAAACGCTTACTGAAACCATTTGTTAAGTTCATATGAAAATCACTCTAATGAAAAATTATAATGAATACATTAAATCAATCAAATGATCTCCCCATCCAACAAAAGCCTGGTTACCTTCGGTCACCTTGAGTTTCTTGAAATGTGCCTTTTTTTGTGTTGTTGGATTATGCCGTAAGCATATCCCTCAAAATAAATTGTTTGAAAAAGAAAACAATCTTGTACAAAAAAAGAAAAACATTGGCCTTTCGTAAAAATTAATATTCATTTGCAAGGAGAATTTCAGTCTATGAATGAAACTACTTATTTAACAGTAATTTTTACTAACCATGTCGGGTTACTTCGGCACATTTTTAGTAACCAGACATTGGAAACTACTAACCATTGGTTAAGGGGTTACCATTAATTTCGAGCAATGCTAAAACCCATAAATAGTTTTATCTGTTATATAAATGTACCTCTTGAAGCAGGGTTAACATAGAGGTCTTCCAAAAATAAAGTTCTTCCTTCCCAAGTAGAATAGTAATTGAAATATAATGCATAGCCAACGGTTCTCTTCTTTGGCAAACAATGATTTTCTTCGGGGGTTTGAATCACTTCAGCTATCAGGCAATTAAACCAAGGGCTTTCCCCAAAGCCATCTCTCAGCATTTCTGTATTTGGATGTAATCAGCATATAAAATTAATTTTGTTAATTCAAATTAATTGTTTACAGAGAATACAAAGGAGACCTACATGTACATTCATAGCTTTATGATAACCCAGGTAAGGAAATGATGACTTCATTATTTAAGATATTCCACAAGTCAAAACAGAAAGCTAATAAAAAATTTACTGGTAAATAATAATTATTTACCAGTAAATTATTAATCAACCAGTAATTATTAATCAACAAAAAGAAAGAAAATGTCTTCATTTTAAAAAGGATCTTGGAGTCAGCACTCTCCTTGATCTGCACAATTATTTACATCATATATACTCAGCCTTATCCATATAATAAAGGATTATCTCTTTATTTTTATTGTCATTAAAAACACTATTCATTCAAAATATTTCGCTGACAGAGTTTCTGATTGGCTCCAACCCCCAGTTAATTCTTCATAACCAACTGGTGCTTACCATATTTGAAAGATGTGTGTAATAATACCATTGAATCGAGTATATATTTTCTTGGAAACGAAGTTGATCAGTGGTATATTGACCTGGAAACGAGGCTGCTTGGGCAACAGTAAACTAACAAAAGTGACGTTTATGGCTATTTGAAGATGAAATGGCTGCAAAATATAATGCTCGATGGATGTTATCAACTGTGCTGAGAAATATACTCCCCCACCAAAGTTTTGGAGAAAGTCTACAAGGAGTTAAACTCATTGGAAACTTAGAAATATTTTCAACGAATAACATAACAGTAATTGTTTTGTATTATTGAATTCGGCTTTCGTATGATGTGGAAAATAATTATGCTGATTACGGAGGCTGTTATCCACCTAGGCCCATAACATCAGTGATTTTGTTACCTCGGCATCCTGCGTCCCTTCTTGCAGCTGTTGGTCAACGAGGTATATTACTTTTAGTATTTGTTGTGCTTTTTGATAGAAGGGGTATATTTACATTTCAGTAAACTGTTATACAGAGTTTTGGAGTCTGCCTTCAGATTAACTCTGTGGTTACAAAAGACTCAGGGACTCATTGTTTTTTGAACTGGGACGCAATGATTCTGGACTGGGACTCATGATTTTTCACAAGACGAGTTCCAGGATTCACCAAACTATAATAGGAACAAAATCACTGTTACATTCTCCTGAATCTGCTTAATTCTTCAAATCATACTCAGCCTCATTATCATCATTTGCCATAATATTAAGATCACCTTCTTCAGTTACTTTGACTACTGACGCAGGTTCTTTTTCATACACAGCTAATTCCTGCAAAATCAAAGCAGTATGGTGAACTCTGTTCCCTGCTAAGATCGATCTTTCCTCTACTCTTTGCACTCTGGTAGAAATTATATTGTTCAGGGTGCAAAGAAAGTCACATTTTTACATCTTGCCATTCAGGCAAGCTGAAGCTAGCATTTTAACTAGCCCAGATGTCATTTCAACTAGCCCCAAAAACTTTTTGACTAGCAGAATTGATTTCACAGTTCTTCTCTTATTGAAATTCCTCAAAAAACATCACCTGCCCGTCGGGCAAGTTAAAACAGAATTCACTAAATGTCATGTAAATGTAGACGCTCAATCGTTAGGAAAATTCTAATTAAATATATAAGGCTGCATGTAGAAAAGTCCCCTATAAAAAGGAAATGAGAGGGTCCAGCATATCTAATTCACAGAACCCACGGGATCCCCCCTAATGTACTTAAAACAGAAAATACATGTATGTACCTGAATATTATGGTTTAAAACCTCTCCAGGGTATGTAGATGTATCTGTTTCTCTTTTCTCTCTTTGCTGTTTCATTCAAAAATGGTCAGTCGGGTTTTGACAACAACAGTTATTTTGGAAAGGATACTGTGTCAGCCATAGGCAAGTATAGTTCAAATGCATTTTTAGAATCCCGACAAAAAGTTTCTACAAGAGAAGTGCATTCTTTTACTGGAAGTAGTGAGTGATCAGCGTCAAATTTCTCCTTGTAGCATCACTTCTTTATAAAACACAGTGTTCATGAGAATTAAGGACCTGATCACACAAGATAAATCTAATTGATACTTCAACAAATTCTCCCCACTACTTCTATTGAAAAAAATAGGGACAACAAATGATAATTTGAATTTTGATATTAGGGTTCAAAGGGTTAATGTGCAGAGTGACTAGTCACTATTTATCACAGAGACAGGACTGATAGTAGGCAAACTCATAAAGAGCGAAGTTGGGATGGGTACAAATCTAGGGATCTGGAGTAAACACATCCACCTTGCCTGTCGAGTGCTCTATTTTGATGTACTCCAGAAACTGAGGCTGTACTCACAGGGCGAAGGTTGTCCAATAACAACAAAATTAATAGACTTCCACAGGGTGAAACAAATCTGATCATTCACAGTGGTGGATCCAGGGGAGGGGACTGGGGGCCCTGGGCTCCCCCCATATTTTAGACCAAACTAGGCCTGAAGAGCCCCAATTTTTTTTTTTAAAAAGTCTGAACTGGCCAGCAGGACCATGGCAGGACCGGTCATTTTGAAAATGAAATAGGCCTTTTCCAAGAGTTTTTGATGAGAAACGATTTCCTTAGTGCTAATGCTACCTAGGATTTGACTGATCTAGCTAGATAGCTTTGATTAAAAGCGAAATTCTCATTACGACGAGAATGACCTTGCCGGTCAGTTCTGAAAAATTTGCGGACTATGGACTTCCCTTTAAAAGATTACGGATCGATCATGGCTCCAATTACTCAGACTACAGTATTAAGACTATAGTCTTTCACCACAAAGCTTAATTTTTGAAGCTGAACGGTCTCCACTTTGTTATGATCTGGTGTGAGCACAAGACGGGTAGGAGAATTAATAATAGCATAGTTGAGATTTTGAGGTATTTTAAGTTTGCGGTTTAATACCTTTATCATTTGTAGAATGTCTGGAACATCTTCTGCTACAGCCTCTCGCACTCTCCAATTTCCAGTTGAGAAATCCATGGTAAGAAAAGTAAAGAGGATGGAAGGTTCAACCTTCGAGCAACCGGCTTCTGCATTGACCGCCCTTCAGCACGCTATCGCTGAAAACCGAACCCCCATTCGGAGATGGACAGTGGAGTGCTCTTACTTGCAATATGTATGTTGTGTATTTATTACTGTAGTGTAATCTCTTGACCGTGTCCTGGGACAAACACAGGTTACCCACTCAAATTGTGTTTGATATGGGGATATCGAAAATGTTCATATTATGTAAAAAGATGCTATGAATTCTTATATAGAAGATCAAAATAAACATCTTTTTACCTGAAATGAGCAGAGAGACTCCGACTATACTCTCAGGTAAATGTCGAATAAATGTATGTTGAGACATGAAACGTTAAGTCAGTGAATGAAATCCTATTTTAGCTATGCGCTTGTTTGGCTTCATGTTTGGCACCGCGGTTTGCGTTTAATTTCTGGTAAGGGAAATGTTTCAGTAATGAGGGAACGCTAAATCAAAAAAGGGGCTAATTTCATCCCTTAATGATTAATGGGCAAATGATTTTTACAATGCCATCTTAGACAGCTGTTTAGAACTATTCTGTGGTCTATTTTTAGCCAAATGAAGTTCACTTCGTTTAATGTTACAACATCTGTTACAACAAGGCGGGTCAGTGACAGTATATGTCTCTGGCAGGCTTTGACTTACAACATTGATTTCTTGCCAGCAAGGTCCAACAATTGTTCACCGTTCAAACGATATGACCTGAATTTCTCCAGACAAACGCAACCTAAACTGTGATAAAAATTCAAAGCTCTTTTGTTCCAATAATCTGTTCATTTGTTCCAGTATAAAACATGTCCAACCAGGCTAACACAGTTTCTCCGCTCCACAGCACTGTCTGAAAGAATACAAGGTTGCCAAGAGTTTTCAGTAACAATTTTTTTCCTAACATAATTAATACATAAAGTCAAGAGGAAAGATGATGAAGGAAGAATTCGTAGCTAATTCGTTGATCCATTTTCAAATTCGCACGACCAGTTTTGTATGAAAAAAAAATCGTTAATTCATGAGGAGGGACATCAGGACGTAAGAGTACCGGCAATATTTGACAAAATTTGGTAGGAATTCAGAAAACGAAATCCGCACTTGTAATAACCGTAATATGCGGCTACAAAATTTGTAAAGTACATACAGATGAGCTTGGGTGTGGCCCGAGGGGTGTGGAGGGTCCCTAAGAAAGACCGCTATTAATCTCTGCAAATTTGCACTCATCGTGAACTTCTGCCAATCATTTCTATGCACGGCTCGATAGCTATGCAGTTGCAGACGTGACACTGCAACACCTGACCTTCCAATAGCTGTGCTGTATCACCTGTGTCATTGTACCTTCAACCTGTTCATAATAATAATGCTTCTATTAGAAGCGTGAAAAAATCTGTTTTGCAATCCTTGCTAAAAATTTTTCTACTCATATTGTGCGGAGAGCACAGCGACGGTGAGTTTGAATTTTGCAGTGCGCCTTCGGTAGTGAAACAGGTTTCACAGACTTGTGCTTCAAAGAGCCGCTTCTCTGCACGAAACGGGAAATATGGATTTCGACGAATACCAGGAAAGCAAGAAACGGTAAGAAAACGGACTGATATATACTTTGTTCACTTTTAAAAGGTTTCCGTTAAAATTATCACACCATCTTCGATTCATAAATCGTTAGCAGGATCTCTGACCAGACATTTTGCTGAGTAAATTTTAAGCCATCTGCCTGGCATCTTCTGAAATTTAAGGGTTCGTTAGTTTGATAATCAATAAATGCGATCGAAACTGCATCAAGTTCCTTTCCCGCGGCAAAAGTTAAAGCATAACTTTCGATCTCTTAATTTCTTACGCTTCAAAAAATAGTAGTTCAGCCTTATACACTCAGTATAACCAAAAAGTCCAGCTTGTATCACTCAAATATCGGGCTGACTGTTAATAAAATAATTTTGATTGGTAGAATCTATCAAGGCGAATTTGAAACATGGACATATTAAGCACGATCAGCTAGTAACTGACTCAATATACAAAGGATCGTCCACGCTGGAAGATTTTTAATATTCTTACTTGAAATTTTCACTTCATACCATTCATGAGAAGCCGAATCGAATAGATCGTGTCGGAGAACGCAACATATAAGTTCTGTCCGAAGACTTTAATGATTGGCCGCCTACATTGGAAATAAAAATTTATCTCTTTGAGAGCCTTTGATTCTGATGAGGGAAATAAATTGACGTTTTGATAGTTTGGAGTGCACAGAGGGCCATGATCAGTTTTTAGGAAACTTGCTCCCACACGTTGTCTATGTTTTCTGTATTGTCGATTGATTACAGGAAAAGCATAGGAGAAATGATCTCCAAATTCAGCTAATTTTTTGTTATTGTATTGTTTGCGTGTTGTTCCTTTGAACTCAAAAGTTGTTAAACTTTTCAAAGAGAAAGTGACAAATATATGAATTTAGGAAGAATAGCTGGCTTTGAATTTCGATACAAACCAACGGATTTTCCGCCATCTTTGACCCGATTATTACCAATGGTGAAATTAGAAGCGCGAACTCCTTTATTTTAAAGTCTTCTTTGCTTTTAACTTATTCAGTTCTCCTGAAAATAACCTAACAAAACAAAAACAAAGTAAATAATACCATAGTTTAACCATGGTTTTGAAATTTTTGAAAACTGTGAGTTTTTTTATTACTTTTTTCAGAAGAATGTCAAATAGTGATCGAGTTGCGGAAAAAGAAAGAAGACTTAACGCAAACATGATTGAAAGAAGAAGAATGCAGAACATTAATTCTGGTTTCACAAGCTTGAAAAGATTACTTCCACCGACAGATAAGAAGCTGACGAAGGCAGCCATTCTGCAGCAAGCTGTACAACACATTCTGCGCCTACAGCGGACTGTTGTTCAAGTCCAGGAGAACAATAATTCTTTGCGACAAAACTTAGCCGAAGAAAGAAAGCAATGCCTTGCTCTAAGAAAACAGTGCGATGCTTTCGTCACGGAGAATTATGCGAGACAGGAATGTTGCAGAGGCCTTTTCTGTCCTCACATGCAAATTAAACTCCCTTCTACACCCCCAGAAGATTTCAGCGACAGGACAATGAGTCGCTGGCCTCTAAGGTCATGTGACAAGTTGGATGTTAAACTTGGCGAATACAAGAATACAACTTTTGATGGTTTCAGCTGCCAGGATTCGAGGCAATGGCCCAGAGTACCAGTGATTCGGGAGAACACATGGGAGGTACATGAGAGCAAAGAAATGTATCCAGCTGCCAGTGCTGGGACCTGCAAAGAAGAGCCTTCGCCTGTGTCCCAAGAATCCAGCGGTTTGTCTTTGTCACGTGAGTTTTCAGAATCAGCTGTATATCAGCACAGGTCTTGGGCAAATAACTTGCATTGCATTGTGGATGCAATTAATTTGATTGAAAAAAAATGATAACTTTATATAGGTTGTTATAGGGTGCACAAATGTACAACTGGGTAGTTTTGCTACCAAATCTCCCTTACATATATGGAGGACATGTTAACCAATTGTATAAGCCGGCGAGGAAGTGTGTTTACAAATAGCTGGTCTAAATTTTCCCTTGGGTATTTCTCAGTGTTTATCGCAACTAGTGTAGCTGGGCTAAATTAGTTTTATAATTCAGAGTGTTAATTGCAAATAGCTGGTCTAAATTTGCTTGGTATTTTTCCAGTGTTTATCGCAACTAGCTGGTCTAAATTGATTTTATACTTTAGAGTGTTTATCGCAAATAGCTGGTCTAAATTTGCTTGGTATTTGTTAGGGTTAATCGCAACTAACTTGTTGAATTTGCTTTGTCAATTAAGGGTCTTAAAAACAGATAGCTGGTCTAAATTTTTCTTTTGTCAATTTGAGTGTTTATTGCAAATAGCTGGTCTAGATTTGCTTAGTAATTTTTAGGGTTTATCGCAACTAGCTTGTCAAATTTAAGATCTTTAGCACAAACAGAAGGGGTAAATTTGCTTCGTTAGTTTTGAGTCTTTATCCCAAATAGCTGGTCTAAATTTGCTTTGTTAATTTTTGAGTGTTAAGAAGAAATCTTAAGAAACCAAAAGGCCGGTTGTAGCCGTGTAAAGGAATCAGTTGGGGTGGGGGGGAGGGGGGAGGAGTTTTGTTCAGAAAAAATCCCTCAAAGGTTATTGTTATTGACAGTACAAATAATAGCGAAAACTATCAATCACTAAATTTTCGCGTCATGTATAGAATAATATTATATGGGTTTTTCAATTTGAAAAAATTAGATCGCCGCCATTGTATTTTGTCCATCCGAACTTTGGAAGGGATATGCCAGGCATGAGTTGCTTCTACAAATTTGAGGATATATTTGGCAGATAACTTGCTGTGGTCTTTGTAAATCTAAGTAATTGTAAGTAGTTGAGAAAAGCCTATTTAACGCTGGACGTGAGCATATTATAGTGACTATATACTGTACAGTTGATATCATCGACTTAGGGTGGGTAGGAAAGAGGCACCCCTGGCATGGGAGGGGTGAGGATGGAGTTTGCCAATGGGCTTTAATGGCCCTGTAGAGTAGTTAACAATAAGAAAGTTTCTCACCTGAGGATCGCAACTGTCATGTGTTGTATCATAAAGCACATTAAAGGTGAATCTTGGCTGGACCAGACAAGAGATCAGTGTCTCATTTTTTTGCGATACTTGGGCGCACCGGATAAGTTATTCAGACTTTTTCGTTGAGAAATACCAATTTCAGGGCACTGTACCAGCCTTACGCATGCGCACAACCGGTGAACGATGACCATCCGCTAACCTAAGATACGGGAACTTTCGTTTCCTTATTGAATTAGCGGTTATTTGTCAGGGAATGCATCATGGCGCAAACTCGTCTCAAGGGCTTTCCTCTTAGAATCTGGGATGGAAGCTTCTCTCAGATTTCAAGAAAAATGTCCTGGGAACGAGGTTTGTTTTGGTCGGTAGCATACGCGCATGCCCAGAGACATAACCGCCTCTTGTCAACACCCAAAAGCAAAAAAGTTAAACTTGACTGCCACGTCAGTGCCGTTAGCATAAACCATTTTGTCGCCTTTTAAGCTACAATTTGCGGTTTTTTTACATACGATTTACAATGTTTGGTGATCGTGACATAAAGCAAAAGCAGGCTTGTTTTCCAATATGGCGGTGTCCATTTTCGTTCCTTCGACAAAGCGCGAAGGACTACGAAATGAGATGCCTCGTTCGCTTTCTCCTCCCCGCCGTCCTTTGCGGGCAAAATAAAATAGCAAAAGAGACGTCCGGGAGCAATACAGAACCCGAAGTAGCATTTCTAACTTGTACTCTGTTCAGCTTTCATATTAAAGTAAATTGGATGCAAAGTTACAGCCACTGAAGTATTGACAAAACAAATAAGGAATAAAGCAGATCAGTTCCGTTACAATTTTTACAAGTTATTTACTTGTAAAAGTTATTTATAAGTTATTTATTTTCACTGAAACCTAAACTGTCAGATTCATCATTTTCGCTAAGATCACTGCCACTATTCTTTCTTATGTGTCCCGGTTCCTTTTTATTCGCAAACTTGGTACCATCAGCGACATCCTCTCTGAATTCCTCTGAAACTTTTCTTCTGCGCTCAACATAATACTGTTGTAATTTCTGTGCCTCCAGTTTTTTCCTGTCCTTTGCTCTCCTGTTTTGAAACCAGACTTGAATCCTATCCTCAGTAAGATTTGTTGGTTTTTCTAACTTTATTCTATCGTCGATGTGAGGATATTTGTCCTTTTCGTAAACAGATTCGAGAATTTCCAACTGTTCTTTTGTGAGGTTTTTACGTTTCCGTTTGGATTCTTGTTTCTCTGTCGTGGTTTGTTCTGGTGAGCCTGTTTCTAATAAACGGGGCTTCTTTGAAACTGAAAATCAGCAATTATCAGACATAAAATTACTTTTTACGCAAACAAACTGATAAACAGACTGAGTGTAAAGAAAAGGACTTGCTTAATTTTCTCTCCACTCATTTTGCAAAAAAAATATTTTCGGGCTTCAAAGTCCAGATTATCCTGGCTCCGGAGGTCCGTTCTCGAAATGCCTATAGGTTGAAATAACCGTACTGTTTGATAAAGCTCGCCGCGAATTATCGGGAAATAGAGAGATTTAAGGATCGCGTTTACAGCAAACGGCAAACTTGAATTTGTACCACGTGTCCAAGTTTTCCATTCACTTGTCGTTTACTGTTCATTACAATTACACGATTCACGCCAATTCTATCCATAAGAATTGTTTTAACCTGTTTTTATCTGCTCATGTCTCATTTTGAAAATTTCTTATCTTGAATCTCACGTTTGCCGTAAACGCGATGCTTAATCTCTCTTTTAGGGAAGAAAAAAACCCTCTGGCGCCTTCAGGATATCCAGAAAGCAATTATCAAAAAAAAAGCAAGTCATTCGACTAAATAACATTTTGTGTGTCTTTGAGAAATTTTACTTACCTGGTTGCAAAGACTCTTTTTCCCTGAACCCCACAGTAAAATCCACACCCGTTGAATCTTGTTTCCTTGGTGGCCCCACAATGCATTGCGCCGAGGTCAGCATCCCATAATATAGTTCTTGCTGGGCCTGTGCCAAAGGCGAGAACTGATACGCCGCTGGTGCAATAGGGGATATGTCGTATAGCGGCGAAAAAGGAAGTCCGTGCGCTGAGAAATAGTGAAGCTGAGATATTGTTGGATTGAGCGAAGTGTAATAGACGTAGGGCATCCCGTAGCGAGCCTGCTGAGCTTCTAAGAAACCCCTCATGCCTTGCCTCATCATCACAAGAATTTCTGCTGCCTCTAACACATCTGGAGTAATATTGTTCGTCTTTTGTTGGGGATCCGCCATTTTGCTGGAGAGTATTTCTACAATAGGAGTTATGAAAACCTGACTATTATGAATAGTATTCCCCATTTTTGCACAAACCGTAATGCACCCCCCCCCCCTCCCACCCCGAAAAAAAATCGCATAACCATTGTCTTCGATTTCTCCTGGGAAGACTGTAATGCCAAGTAGAAATTGGAAACAAAAAAATATATAATAGAACTGACGCAAGATCGAACGTGTTCTGAGCACTTCTTGAAAACAGGACAAAAAGACAAGGAGAAATAAATTTGAAATGGAAGTTCCAGGTGTATAAGGATAGTATAGGAAAAGGAAAATTTTAAGCTAGCAAAATATTTCAGATTCATTAGAACATTTGAACTATCTTTATCACTAAGACGTAAGAGTTATCATTTAACGAAGTTTGTTTTGTAAAAGTTGGAAGCTTTTGGAAAATCAACTCGATGTTTCAAAGGCGCAAATTATTTTTAAGTTTGAACATTTTTGGGTTTCGGATTATTACAATCAGGAATAAATGTTCAGCGAGAGCGCTCGCTCTTGTTTTACAAGTTTATAATTTTCTTTAAAGTTTTGTGGCAAGGCGAAACAAAATTAAAGTTAAAAGAATTCAAGTGACTAAAAGTAAAGACGCAATCCGCTTTTATAAGGAATCTAATAAGCTTAAACTTAAATAGTTTTCATGAACTTGGAAAAGTAAACAAGTAAACTTGACCCACATATCAATGAATATCACAATAAAAACTGAACTTAAAAATCACAGGCTAATTTCTATCAATTAACGATGCTTAAATAAGGCTAAAATAGTATTATATGATAGCCAACAATTTTGCTACTAGCTGTTTTAATAATTTATACACAAAGCGACACCGTGCCAAATCAAGAAATAACAAGAGATCACAAGAGCACTAGGAAAGGCAACGCGTAGAGCGATGATAACTTTGAATGAAAAATACTAGCATGGAAGATCCGATTTTGGATTTCAATATTTAAAAAATGTTTTCACGTCGAAAACGGGAGGAAATCGTCACTTAATTTGACGACAGAGCGCTGCACCAACCGACTATTTTACAACGTTCTAATTGCTGGCGAATGATTGAAACTACGCCAGATTTTCTAACGTTTCTCGCATAGAGTAGGAAAAAATCCGTTTTATTGGTAGAAATCTATGACTTGGTCATTGCTTGAAATGCTAGAAGACTGCAGGAAGAACGATTTTCATTGAACTGTATGTCTGCTTGGTAGCTCAAAATTTGACACCTGGTAACCGCTGCTTGGACTTATATGATCACAGTTTTTAAACACAACGAAACGAAAAGTCTAACAATCTGATCTGTTTAAAAATGCATGCTCATTTACGTTGCAAATGACAAATTTAAGACGACAGAAGGTATCGGGAGGCCTATTTTCTGTCATGCCCGCGTGGCTCAAAATAATAAACTTTGTTTTTATATAAGAAAACTTACAGGTTATTATTGACCTAATTAATGGCTTGCTGTAGCAAGTCGCCGTTCGTCGGTTTAGCAGCGTTTTCATTTTTCGTATCAGTAACGAGCCATGAGAGAAAGTCTACTGCCTTAAAAGTGTTTAAGAAGGCAAGTTATATGTTTTCACCTATTTTCACCTAATTGATCAAGTATTGATATCGCTGAGCTCTGTCAGACAGTAGACGTGTGTAGTTAGCGGTACAGAAGCTGCCTGGAAAAATGTTTTTTTCTGCATGTGTATGTTTCGTAGAGCCGATCGAAACAGCCTAAGAAACCTTTTAATTACTAACTCACCTACTTCAGTAGACGAACACTGTCACGGAATTCCACATTTGGAGACGCTTCTCGTCGTAGAGAACTGTTGAGTTTGAGTTCAGAACACACGATCAAAGTTATGCCGTGATTATCCATGGTGAAAGTAATCAAACTGACGTCAGTTGAAGCGCGATCTGTGATTGGCTATTTGCGCCCTAATTGCCGTGAAAGGGGTTGTAGAGTTGATCTTTTTGTACAAAGATAAATGATCCGTATTTTACTGATTCATGTCTTTCTATGACAAAAGAAACCTTGGTCGTGCATTTTGATATTTCTGTCACCTGTTAGTGGTGAGTACAAGGGCAATTGCTTGCACCGTGGTACTGGGGGAGTGGGGAGGGGAAATCATCATCATCATTCGCCGTCTCAAACTCAGCCGGCATTTCCATATCATTTCCATATCATCCGCCCTCTTAAAAATGCAAGCTGCGTTTAGAGCTAAGATTGTTGTTCTCGGAAAAAATAAACGCAATTTCTAGAGACCTTACATTTCCCGGGGAGCATTCCCAAAGACTCATGAGTGGAGGATAGTGTCTATGGCACTGTATGTATTCCCTCCAGTTGGTTTTTGTACTGAGCAAAGAAACCCGGCACTGTGGAAAAAATTCTGACCACGTCCCTTCACATGCGTGACCATTCTGGTCCCAAGAGCCCGTCGTTTCTTGGTCACGTGGTCGGTTACAAATTAAGCCGAGTGGCTCTGGGGACGAGAATGAAACTCGGCCGTATCGGAGTTGCAACAGTTTAGTCAGGAGGCAGCTCGCCAAAAAACGATTTTCGCTAAACATTTTGAGTAGAAGCAGGCAACATAGCTTAAAATCTTCGTCTTGCTATCCTAATTAAGAATTGTGCTGTTGCCTATTGGAAAGTCAGGTGACTCTTCATAACTGATCACGTGACGCATTTTATCTCCCACACTACTGTCTATCGAGCTCTAAACATCAAGTAACACAGATTCAGCTATTTCCCCATCGTATTGTGCACTTTTTACTGGGTTTATATAAATGTTACAGTTCAGCCTCGTTTTCATGCTACAGGAGCGAGGGCCTCGACAAAAAACCCGCTTAATGACAGATATCATAACATTTGGAGTGGGCAACATCGCAATTCTTAATCAGGATGGCAAGATGAAGATTTTAAGGCATGTTGTCTGCTTCTTCTCAAGATGTTTAGCGAAAATGAAAAATGAGCGCCCTGCGTGACAGTGCTTCCTGACTAGTTGCTTATTACTCCGTCAGGGGCACCCAACGACAATTTTCGGAAAATTATCTGTTCGGAAGACGATTTGAGGTCTAGAATTTTCGGATCATTTTCTGAAAAATTTCTTGCTTGCCTGCCTCTCCTAGGATTTTCGAACTTCAAAAAAATCGTATAATTGCCCATTTTTAACGGATTTTTACCCTAAAAAGGTCGCCTAGAATTTTCGGGAGCCTTTTTTCTGGCTGAAATTTTCGAAAAGGTAATTTTTGATCCCTATAATTTTCGGATCACTATACTTTCAGCTAGGAAATCCGAACAGATGAAAAATTTTTAGGGGATAAAAATAAGCCTTTATCTACCGTTTAAATACTAAAGTACGTTCAACAATGCTATGTTTATGTCGTTTTGAACTATATTCTCGTTGGGTGCCCCTGACTCCGTCGCTTTCGATCCAGCGAAAACTAGATTCCTACTTTTGGTAGGTCATTTATTAAATTATTAGATATATTTTTTTAAAATAAGGAATGCAAACACCTCAAACAGGTGAATAGGCTTTGCTTGATTCAAGTCAAAATCACCTGGTACAGCAGAGTAAACAGTACCACCCGATATTAAAGCTCATTTGAATGGTCATACTTAATGATTTCATCCGCTGAAGCAAAACTGAAAATTACCTGGTACCGCAAAATTAACAGCACCACAGTAAAGTACTGCTCAGTAGCTTTCATTATTGAATGGTCGTACTTAAGGATTTCATCCACAGAATCAATACTGGGAATCACCTTGTTCAGCAAAATATACAGTACCACTGAAAAGTACTGCTCAGTAGCTTTCATTTGATAGATCACACACAACTGGAATTCATTCACAGACTCAAGCGGTAGAGCCACCTTGCACAGCATTTGCCAATTCACTGTACTCAAGACGTAAAAAAAGCATAAAATGTTCAGGGGCGTAGCCAGGATTTTTTCAGAGATACACACAATTCTCCAAATCACTTTGCACCCCCCCCCCCCCCCCCCCCCCCGAAAAAAAACTTTTCTTGATTAAAGATTTGGTTACGCTGTAAGCCTAACAGTTTTTTTCTGTATATGAAATGACATTAGCAACTTATGAAATACTTTGTCGGGTGTTGGGGTCCATTTACCGATGCACGTCAATGATTTATCATATAGCCTGTGTAGAGGGGGGTCTGTACACAGGCTACTATCATGCAATAAGGCTCCATACTTTTCTGGATTCGTTACCTTATTTTTTGATACTGGGATCGTTTCGTCGCTTTTAAGCAGATGCAGCGTGCGCCAGCCTGTCCACAGGCCCTCTATTTTCTTTTCGAAGTCCGTCGAGTGCGCGTGATAAAAAAGGAAAAACCGCGGGGGATTTGTTAACCGCCAGCGCAAGGTGGTAGGGGTAGGGGAAGAAGATTTTTCGAAAAGAACGAAAAGAAAAATAAAGCAACGTCTGTGTACGGGCTAATACAGCGCGTGAATCCTAATTGAAAAGGTGCAGACTTGGTCGGGTCTCTATAGATTTTGAATCCGAAATCTAAAGTGAATCCGATGCCTAGCAAACTCGCAATGTTTTGTCGTGTAAACAATTTGTCTAGCTTCTCCGGATACTTTTCCGCATTTGATCAAACGAGTTTGCAGTAAAACCAAAATGGAACTGTCACTTTCATGAATATAGTTCATTATCCTTTTCTCTGACTTATTGCATTAAGGTATGGCACGAGATCCCGGTCGACGAAAACGACAAAGGACTCCAAGTTCTAATTATGTCCGAGAAAGGGAGGGAGGCAGGGCTGACCCTTTTCACTGACAAAAAGATCTGTTTAAAAGAAAGTGAAGTTTGGCAAAAAGTTATTTCAAGTAAAATTATTGTCACGCTTGTCACACAAGGTTTGCCGTCTTCTTTCCTCTCCTGTCCTGTTGCGTAAGTTCACTCGAACTGACAACTTTGCATATATTATTCAGGTTTATATAATGCCTAATACGTCATCGCACGGGATAATGAATCAGTTACATGACTGTGAATAGGATGACTTAGCAACGACGACGGTGAGGGCCGGGAACGAAAACGTCCCTAGCCGACTAACAAAATGAATGCGCGGTTTTTTTTTTAAACTTGTTCGCGTTTATTTCCTTCCACTCTCTTAACTCTCTTAAAATGACAAATATAGGTGAACTTCCTTAAGGAGTCTTGGGGATCGCACCCAAGTTCGGACTCCAAACAGCGTCGCAAAAGGAAATTTTTTACGGTGGTGTTCATACAGGTTGTAAAGGAAAGCGTGCTGGACGTTCAAAATTTGTTGTTTTTTCACTTGTTTATTGGGCTCATTGCCGTCGCCGTCGTAGCCTGGGTCGCGAGGAAACGCTTGCTACGCAGGCTATCGCTGTCGCCTTCGTCGTTGCTCCCAGGATTTATCGATGTGCGTAAACGGTTAGGAATCCGAACACGGTTTTAGTAAAACTGCCTGCTATCTGTTCACTAGATATATACATGTATGTTATCCAAGATTCGGCCCATTACTCGATGATTTACTTCCTTTCTCGGGAAACGGGCATTTGGGTGGAGAGGGAATAAAAAGGCCGTTGTTGTAGAAAAAAATATATTTCAAAGAAACAACCAGAGGTGAATGAATTAAGGCAAACTGTGCTCTTTAAATAATTATCTTTAGATATTTTGCTTTCCTTTTAGAATTAATTTTTTATTTTTTATTATTTATTCATTATATATCTGTTTTGTGCACGACTTTTTCAAAACTTCCTTGATTTAAGCAGATGTAGCACACGAATCCGAATTGGAAAGTTGCCGATTTGGTCAAGTCTCGATAGATTTTGAATCCGAAAACTAAAGTGAATCCGATGCCTCATAATTTCGCAATGTTTTGTAGCGCAAACAATTTGTCCAACTTATCCGATACTTTTCGGATTTGATCATACGAGCTTGCACGGCGAGGGCAACGAAAACTTCCCCAGCTATCAAAATGTATGTGTTTTTTTCTTTCTTTCTTTCTTTGTTTTCTCGCTTTTCTTTCATCTCTCTCAAAATAGCAAATATAGGTGAACTTCCCTATGGAGTCTTGTACGCACGTGCGTACCGTGCGTACAGGTAGCTACGCCTCTGATGTTTACGTTTTACTTTGGTCAAGGTCGGAATTTTAAGCTGAGTTGAAATTAACTCTCATATATTGTCACTTAAGTGTCATATGGCATAACAGATCTCAAGAGGGCTTTTTAAATTAAGACAAAAACGATTATTTGAAGTATTTTACTCGACCAACAACAGCGGCATAATAATTATCTCAGTCCTAAACGTTTGAGATGTTGGCTAATTTTCTTGAAACTTGCTTTAAACATTGCCATTCACTTCAGCCAGATTTTCAAACTTTTATATTGTAAAACCCCGTTAAAGCTAGGCACCACTCATTTCATTTTGTGGTCCAGATATTATTTACAGAGCTGTACAATGCCGTTTGTACATTGGAAATGCGACTTTTATCAAGTTGGAGATGCAATTAAAAACCATTTTATATATTGGGCGCGCCAGGGTAGGCGTAAAGGTCCACAACTTGTAATTATCCCAAGACTGTTGTCAGAGCGCTGGCTGATCATTCCAAATTCACAAAAAATGCTCGTCTTCTTCACTTTTGTCACGCTTGCCTTTGTCTTGTCAACATCTGAAGGTAATACTCTAAAGACTTTTCTAACGAAAAATTAAATTTACTGCGGTGAAAAAAATTCTTTGACTTTCGTTCATGCAATTAGAAATGATCCTTTCAAAATCTCATGTGTACACCTTTTTGAGGTCCTCTTAAAAATTTGCAAAAAGCCAAACGAGGACTCTCTCTCTCTCTGTGTTTTTTTAATTCTTACTTGCAGTAATGAGGTAAAGCGGATATCTGCGAAGATTTTTTAAAAGTTAAACATAATCACAGGAAATTCATAGGGTAATTTGACCAGAATTATTAGGCCAAAACGCGATTTTGGGGGGTCCAATACGCACAAAATCACGGCGGTACAGAGTTAAAAGGAACATTGAATAGTCTGAGAGCGCAAAAAAAAAAAACAAAAAAACTAAAAACATTAAAGAACGTAAAATGTATATCAACGAAAATGTGAGAAAAAGGTTGATGAGGTGGAAAAAAACAACAAAGAAATGGCTTTACTTCTAGGTTTTTTTAATTGGCTGCTCTGAAGGTGGTTTTTGAAAAACAAAAGATAGTCGAGCAAGAAGGATTTTAACATACTAAAGTTTTTAGAAATCCAGATAGATATATAGGCTGTAAAATTCTGTCAATTGACTTGCAGTTCAGAAAACCCATTTTAAATCATAAGCTGAGAAACGTAAAACAAGCGAGAGAGCGAATTATGTTTGCGTATACCTCCTGGCAGGCTGTGGAGTACGTCCCTCAGGGAGCCGTATCCGTGGGGGCGAGGAAGCCACACCGCATTCATGGCCCTGGCAGGCCTCTCTTCGTTACGATGGGGAACATATTTGTGGGGCATCTCTTGTTACTCCGGAGTGGCTTGTCACGGCAGCTCATTGTGTGTCCACTGATCTCAATGCTGGAAAGTACCAAATTGTTTTGGGTAAGCCTTAATTTAGAAGTCTTTCCGTTTCTGGGAGGTTACAGCACTTTTTTGTCGAAAGTACCGATAGTCCCAGCCTAAAGCTAAATATTAAAACCGAGAGCTAAATTAAACTTAATGAACGCGCGGGATCTAACTGACAAAACCAGTTCATTATGTTTTGTTGACCATGTGAAAATATGGCCGAGTCTAGCCTGATGACTAGGTGTTATCGACTCTTGTCACCGTTTCTTTCATATTGCTCAAGGACATTCAAGACAGTCTTGGATTCTGGATTCCGCGCCATGGATCCCGGATTCCAGCTACTGGATTTCGGACTCTTTGTCAGTAAAACTTGGATTCCAGATTCCTTGAGATGTAATTCCGGATTCCAAAGCCCAGGATCCCGGATTCCACAAGCAAATTTTTCCCTGATTCCAGATTTCACAAACAAAAAAATCCCCTGCTCTGGAATCCGGATTCTATTACATAAGGCTGCTCTTGCCACAGACTGCGCGCCGAGAGAACGTGTGTTAAACAGCTAGGGATGGGCGGATTCGTAGTCATTTTTTTTGTAGAGTGTATCTTATTCGTAATGACATATTTTTAGGAGCTCACGATAAGAAAAACGATGGGGAAGTTTATGATGTTTCTAAAGTGGAAATGCATGAAGATTATAGCTCTTGGGCCGGGATGAAGCATGACGTAGCAGTCGTGAAGCTCTCGCGGCCGGCAAAACTTGGTAAAAAGATCAGCACTGTTTGCCTTCCATCTCAAGGGTCACGTGTCAAGATTGGAACACAATGTTATGTAACGGGTAAGTACTGGATGACGTATGGGAGACTTGTTAGTGACGTCTGATTGTTTACCTTCCGCCAGATCACTATAGCCTACACAGCAGGCGGTTTTTGGCGGCGTGTTTTTCCTTTGTGGTTTGTACCGTAAGAGGCAAGGCCGAGCGAAAGCCAAACACAGTTCAAACGAGAAAACAATTGGGGAGGGGGCGAGTGGTAAAGGTCAGTGAGCCTTTTAGTTCTCTAGCCTCCTCTCCCTTCATTTTCTCGTTTGACCTCTTACTTTCAGAAACCACGAATCATGCGTATCAGAATTGACTTCAAGAGTTAAAAGAGCTCGTTTAACTTATTACTCTGTGACATCAGCAGAGTAAATATCAGCCAAAGAAAACAAAACAAAAAAATTGAGCGACAACAGTTGTGAATAAGCCACTACGTACACTTTTTGCAAAGCATCGAGTTTTTTTACTCTCATCGCACAAAAAGATCAGTCTGTAATATAAAACTGAGATTCTCACCGAAATGTTATCATACTTTTTTCTTTATTTATTCAGAAGTAACATCACTGAACTCGATGAGAAAATGAGGCGCATATACTTGCGAGAAAACAAAGTTTTAATTTGCCAACAAGGATATCGAAGGCGTGGAGAACGTCTTAACGACAATGTCACCGCGAGGCAAAACAATGCCTCGGACGTTCGCACGTGCTTTTTGAATTTAGTACATTTCTTGACTAATCTTTGCAAAACAACCTTCCAAAATACAATTTAAAGGTTTTTATTGTAGAGAACACAAAGACATGAATCAAGATTAATTTGCTTCCACTGACGTGTACAGCATCCGTGCAACTATATGGAGCGAAAGAAAGTTTTTACGTAGAAAAAAAATTTAACTCGCTCCCACAGGATTGGTTTGGGACAGCAATATGGTCGCCGTATAATTGTATTTGGAACACAAATATGGCCGCCGTTAGCGTCATGTGAAAACGCTCTGTGGTTTCAAACTTTAAGAGTATACTTCATGAAACGATATTTTCCTTGGCTTTGAATTCGCATTTACTATAAAACTATGTACAAACATTAACCATAAAAGACTGCAAAGGACCGCAAACGAATATGCCGAAGAACGTAGGATTTATAAAGACCTGATCAGCAAAAATAATAATGTAGACATATTAAATTCTGCAAGCAGAATACTGCAATGCTGATCGTAGTACGTCGTATTGATGTCTTGCAGAGTTAATTTTCACGTAGTACGATCAGCATTGCAGTATTCTGCTTGCAGAATTTAATATGTCTATAAAATTTTATTTTCATTTTTTTAAAGACATAATTGTAAACAACAAACCTTATACTATTTCCGTTCACTGACAAGGTTGGGGTAGAACAAGACCAATCATAGCTTCCATAACTGCCGCGCGTTTGAAGCAAGCCAAGGCTCCTCCGGCCACATTCAACGACTGCAAGACACAGCTTGGCCAGCGAGTGGATGATGACGTTATGGTTTGTGTAGGAGGCAAGGGAAGTAGCCCGTGCCATGGGGACAGCGGCGGCCCCCTATCTTGCTTAGAAAATGGGCGTTGGATCCTTCGCGGCTCTGCCTCGTGGGTCAGCAGTTTTCTTTGCCGCAAGAGAAAGTACTCTGTGTATGCCCGTGTGAGCTCTTATATAGACTGGATCAATGAGCGGATTCAAGGCTGAAAAATGGTAAACATGCGATTAACAATTATTCGCCGTTTTGTGCTGTGTGAAAAAGGTTATTGACGTTTTTAGTGCTGTTTCTTAGAGGAAAGGGCTCTGTGGCCTGCGCATGCGTAGAAGGCTTTTGTATTAAAACGCACTGCACGAAAAAACCGGATTTACACAAATTTACTCGATGCAAAAATATGGTGCAAAAAAGTGCAAACTCGATGGAAATCAAAAGCAAAGGTGGTAAATACCGTATTTTGCATGCCAGTTTACATAGGGTTATAAAGTTGAGGGCAAATGCGCTATTTACCCACAGCTTTTCTCTTCAATTAACTGTAGTTTACACTTTTTTTGCACCAAATTTGCACTGCGTAAATTGGGTGCTAGAGATTTTTATTATTTTTTTTTAATTCTAAATTCGCAATGATTTACGGGGGAAGCCACGAAAACGAAGTAAGTCCTATTAGTTAAGAAATTGTGAACCAGCGACGAAAATATGACTCAGCTTCGAAGATGTTTTTTATTTGCTATACGTTGAAGAATTTTAACGATTACGCAATTTTCCTGACAAACTCAACTTTGTAACCCAGTTCTTTCACGGTCATTTCCAAACCTACAAACAGACACCAGGGTGATCTGGGTACTAGAGAAATTATACAATGAATAAACCACAAAAACTAGAAATTCGGCAATCATTGATATCAAATTTGAAAAAAAAAGAACTAAAGCCGAAAGCTGAAGAAATCCTAGGAGTGGTACTGTATTGGTCCTTTGAATTAAAATTTTACGTTGATCAGGTTTTACTATTGTAGTCAGTGCCAGTCGAAGTAATCTTCGTAATTGCTTTGCTGCACAGCCGGACTTACGCACTCAAGAAGAAGGAGGTGGCGTGCACTGGTCAGTACACGACTGAAAATGCCTTGAGCCGGCTATATTAAAACCACTTGGTAAAGTTTTTATTTTCTTTCATATTTTGCAGAACTCGGGTAACTAAGAGCATAATGGAAAAGAGAAGATTCTACTGTACAAGCTTTAATTTATCAGTCAGGAGCAAAAGAAACAGAAGATGTCTAAACTGAGGTCATGATAAAAATAAAGGGGCAATATGATAACAAGTCTGAAACTGTGTCTTGGTTAAATTTGGTTGTTGCATTCTGTCTGTTATATATAATGAGTACTTCCAGAGGTTTTACGAGAAACCCAGTACCACCCGAATACTCGACAGAGAAAGTCAGGGAGCTCTCCTAAGCCGGGGCTAGTAAAGAGCTTTAGATTCCAAGACTAGGACGACAACGAGAACGCGATTTTATCAATACTAAGTAGTGCGCGCGCGCGAACCAAAGTCATTTTGGCGGGAAAATGTGGTAGCCGTCTTCATTCTACTACGAGTTTTAGCGAGAATGTCGTAGTGGCGGAAACAAGTTATAAAATGTTAGAATCATTTTATCATTTTAAGATAACAGTGCTAACTTTTTGGGTGAAAAAAAAAAGGTACAATGAACTTTTCAGGATTTATGATTTTTGAGAACACGCGAAAAAACTTTAAGTCAAATCTCCTACTTCTAGTCTTCCTCGTCCTCTTATCTAAACAGGGGCACCCATCGTCAATTTTCGGAAAATATCTGTTTGGAAGATGATTTGAGATCTAGAATTTTCGGAACATTTTTTGTAAAATTTCTTGTTTGCCTACCTCTCCTAGGATTTTCGAACATCTAAAAATTGGTGTAACTGCCCATTTTTAGCGGATTTTTACCCTATAAAGCTCACCTAGAATTTTCGGGAGCCTTTTTTCTGGACAAATTTTCGAAGAGGTAAGTTTTGATCCCTATGATTTTCGGATCTCGAGACTTTCAGCTAGGAAATCCGAAAAGATGAAAAATTTTTAGGGGATAAAAATATGCCTATATCTACCGTTTAATTACGTTTAACAATGCTATGTTTATGTGGTTTTGAACTATATTCTCGTTGGGTGCCCCTGTCTAAAGCTTGCTATTTTCGGCTTCCTTTTTTACGAGATCTTTTCCTTGACAAGTAAAGGCGAAGGTTCTATCCCCATAGCATCTTAGCATCTTACAAGTGGTAATAACGTTTTAGTTTTGACGAAAAAGGAGTAATCGTTTTATTGCTAATTTATGAGAATGAATTAAAGCACGTTTGATTTTCCTTTAGAAGATGGTCTAGCCCTCTCTCCACCATAGAGGCTTTTTTGTGTGGTAGGAAGACTGGGGAGATCTAGAAGGAAAAAAGGCAGCACGCGGGGGATGATGGGAGGAGAAAAGAGAGGAAGAACTGGGCCTCAGAACAACTAAAAAGTTTTCTTTATTCACTCCGAGGATTACCCATGCAGTATGCATTTGTATCGAACGTTTGCAGAAATTTCACAATGAAACAAAGTACCGTGTTCACAGAGTTAAGACAGTTGACCTATCTCTTGTACCAAAAAGAGACACCATAGCCAGCTTTGTAGATCACTGAATTTGCCATCTGGATGCCTGGGCTCGAGTCGGGCTGTGCTGAGGTTGTTTCTATCGTTCTTGCTTTTTTATTTTCTCTGACTGTGTCGCCGTAGTTCGATCTACTGTGTCTAGTTTTGCCACAAAACTGAATTTCTATGAAACTTAAAACCCCACTCCAATTGTCAACAATTGCGGCTCGGTGTTTTCTTTAATTTGGAATTTCGACCCCGGAAATGCGATTGGGAGAACATTTAGTCCAAGTAATGGGATTGCTCCCTCTCTCGCCCCCTTTCCTCAGACCCTATAGTTATAGACTGGTGCATGATCAATAAGGCTAGTATTTAACAATTATTCCCCGAGCCCGAATGGGCTCTGAGTCAATAACCCATGAGGCCGAAGGCCGAATGGGCTATTGACTCAGAGACCATTAGGGCGAGAGGAATAATTGTTTTAGAAAAATCCAACCAGTTGGTAAAAAATATCCAGACAAAACAACTTAAAGCAAGACTTTAATCCCTTTTTTGCCGCCAAAAATCCGGCGCTTTTCGCTACTAGTGGGCTATAACATATAGCCTCGTAGTAGTAGCTCAACCAAACAGAACACAGCATTGATAATAGACCACTAGTTGGATTTCACTAATAATGATTAGCAGACTTCTATATTAGTACACTTTGCTCGTTCTTAAACTTGTGTCAGAGGAATACATTGAGACTGTAGAATTGTATTGGCTAGAATTATACAATAACATCATCTTTTTGAAACTGTGAATAGTTCTGAAACAAACAGCCTTTAATCAACGATGTCAAACTTGACACAGAAACATAGCTGGCCAGGGCTTGAGAAAACTAGACAAAACCTCATATATATTAGCAAGACCGCGCAGATCAAAGTAGCGCAAAAGTGTTTTTCCCTCAGTGTCAAAAGTCGAAAAAAAACCGAGTTATATTTTGAACTTTACTGAAGGACGGATATTAAGGAGAAATATAATACAGGTTAACCGAAAGTGGAAAACATCGTAAAAGTTAGATAAACCGAAAAGTGATAAGACAAGGGTTAGAAAAATTTTCAACATGGATAAATGTTTTCAGACACCACGGTCGTTGCCTGTGGAATCTTCAGTGCGAGGCTCATCGAGTCAGTCAGCGTTCTACTGTTCCTCTCTAGAATAATTCCACGATCAGCGGAAAGTAACCAACATACGAGCAGCACGTGATCAGCACGTGCACGATGAACTTGCATTGGGGGTTTCATCTTTATAAAATAAGCTAACATTATGAGACAGGCGTTGTTAGGGTAAAAATTGCCGAGATGGGACAGCGCAACTCATCGCTGAAACATTCTGTCTCACAAGAGTTTTTATTCTTACACAAAAAGCGCAGGGCTTGTTTCGTTTTCCTATTTCCCTGGAACTCTCTCAGCTCTTCCTCTACAGCTGTAGCCTGGGCCGGATTTTTGTTTTATCTGTGGTCCAGCCTCCGGCCCACTGCTGTCGCAGGTTGAAACTTCTGAAGAAGACCCACAATTGATTATTTTTGTCTTGTTTCAGTTTGTTTCTTTGTATCGTAAAGTCTCCAGGTACTCTAGTTTTCCTCTCTCCTCAAAAACCAACATTTCCAAATTCCAGTTTGACCAGTAATCAGGTAGACGAAGTAGAAGAAGAACCCCAATGTGGATGTGCTACCTCTAAATCATGATTTAGGATGATTTGATTATTCTTATTATTCGTTATTTAGGATGATTTGATTTATTAACCGAGTGCTGTTTTCCTCACTTGTTTGTAATTTCATTAAGGCTTATTAGTATTAGGCCTTAGCAACGTCTGCATTAAAAAAGCAGATATAGTATGTGCGCATGCTTAGAAATAAACTTTGACCTCAGAACACAACCAGAACCGTGTCAATACTTTGTTGTCTAATTAATAAGATAACGATTTTAAAGTGTCTTAGTCAAAATCTTGATAATAATATCACGTGTACGTGGCATGCGTTATCCAAAAAAAAAACTAAAGACAAACAACGCGTTATAAAAGGAAAATAATATTTCCCTCTGGTGAAACAATTAATTTACCGTGGGAAAGTGCTGAGTTCTACTTGATATGATGAAGGAGGAAAAGGCATGCTTAATATGGTGTCTAATAATAGCATACAGTTCAAGCTTACAGGGTTCAACTTCAACCTCGTTAGAGCCCTCGTTTTCGCACGACCAGTTTAAACCAGATTTTAACCGATGCTAGTACATATGCAAACCTTTCCTTCAATATTCCATTTTTACGTTGATGGTACTTTTTATTTGGCAGTATTAAAATTTAATCAGCTTTCCGTATGCATGCGAAACGGGAAGATTGGCGTCGCCGGTTTTTCTTTACAAGACCCGGCACACCCTTAAATCTTAGACTGCAGCTTGAATGGAGCTGAACAAAAAGACCAGTGTTTGTCTGCCGGTCAACCCATATTACATAACCGTCATTCAAAAGAATAATAAAAGAGACCTCTTGTTTTTAAGAAGGCGGTACAAAACAACTCTTGAAATAGCTCTCTCGCAGAGCCGAGTCACCC